TCTGTCAGTTTAGCCTATCTGCCTGTCATTCTGTCACTATGTGTCAATCTGTTTGTCAGTCTCTGTCTACATGCCCATCTCTCTATCCGTCCGCCCGTATTTTAATTAATAAGTAATAAACATATCTTATTTTGAATATTTTCAATTGCGCTTTACTTTCAACGTAGCCGGTGTTTACCGTTTGTAAATAAGTTCGTGTTTTAGCATAGTTGTTGTTATGATAATTTATAATTTGGCGTGTTAAACAGATCTATTCGTTACGCATATTTTGGTGCCTTGTATCTAGTATCGCCATACACAGTGAATTTCACCTTGTTTATCCATAACTAAAACTACATAATGTACACACATGCAAGATAACTAAACATATTTGTTTTATATTTACTTTTAACTTGACAATCTCGTTTCCTTAACAAATAGTTCTGAAAGGGAAAGGCTACAACTAATTTCAATTAGTTCTTGTGCAAGAAACTAAATTAAATAGTGGACAAAATAATAAGATGTGTATGTGTGAATATTTGTTGATAACATTTTCCCCTTATTCTTTTTTAGTCTATTTGTTTTGTAGTAATTATGTTGTCGTTCAAATGGCCATCATTCACATCCGGGGGGGGGGACTAAAATTTCCGGGGGTGGGGGGTGGACACAGTTAAAAGTATATATTGTCTATATAAATTCCATTTCATTCGGGGGGAGGAGGTAGACTTTCTTTGGGGGGCAGAGCCCCCCCCCCCCCGAAGTGATGCCTGAAACAAACATTGCACACATATATGCATCACATAGTAAGTCTTGTCTGACCCGTGTTTTACATATGTGTATGGACAGAACCTGTTACACATATGTATGTTGAATAAACCTGTTTGACATTCGTGTGATAGTCTGACAACTTAACCTGTTTCACATACGTGTGTTGATCGAACATGTTTCCCACATTGCTAGTGATAACTGAATCTATTTCACACACGTATGTTGAATTCACCTGTTTCTCATAGGTGTGATAGCTTAACCTGTTTCACATAGGTGTGTTGATTGAACCTGTTTTCCACATGCCTAGTGATAAGTGAATCTATTTCACACACGTATGTTGAATTCACCTGTTTCTCATAGGTAGGTGTGTTAGCTTAACCTGTTTCACATACGTGTGTTGATCGAACCTGTTTCCCACATTGCTAGTGATAAGTGAATATATTTCACACACGTATGTTGAATTCACCTGTTTCTCATAGGTGTAATAGCTTAACCTGTTTCACATAGGTGTGTTGATTGAACATGTTTCCCACATGCCTGAAGTCTAGTGTCAACAGAAGCCGCGGACATCTAAATTTCCGGTAGTCTACAATTTCCCTTAGCCCGTCGTATTATCGCACGTCCCACAATTCACCGCTCGTGGATAAAAGGACGATGGGAATGCTGTATTGATTCAACGCGTGCTTCTTCCATGCACTGTCACCCTGGTACCGACCGGACCCGACCCTACGGGGGTAGTGGTGAAAGAGGAGTCGAATTTAGGAGACACCCATCTAAAAGGACCCCTCCCCCACACTCCATAGGCAATCTTAGCTAAAAATAGGGACTCTCCCCCTTTCCCAGTTATTTTAACCCAGTTTAAACGACCTACTTTAAGACGCCAAAAAAGCTTTTACACGCGAAACATCTGTGGGGGGTATTGATTTTTCTTTCCATGCTTTGCCCTTTTTGTAGCATGTAAATTGAAGGTGACGATGCATGAATCGTTTCAAACAAAAGCCCCTTTAGAAAAACTTTTAAAAATTTATTTTGAAACATCCTGTATGCAATTTTGCATGCAAAGATTTCTTACACTTAAAACTCATTGTAAAAATCATGCTTTAGTCCGAAGACGCCTCACACACTAAAAAGATCGTCTTTAAAAAAAAAAAATCGATTAAATTTTTATCTTGATTATATCGGCGTTTCCGCGTTAACCCTTTGTTTATCGGATGGACAGAAAATTGCTTAAATGTTATTACTGACGCCAGATAGAGGATTATAATGTTTCCAACTACTAGGAGCTGTTTGATATAACTTCAAGCAGAGTTTCATCCAGGCATCTCTTCGTGTGTGTGTGTGTGCCCCCCCCCCCCCCACGAACGAAATGGATTTTATGAAAAAATATATATACTTTTAACAGTGCCCCCCCCCCCCCGAAAATTTCAAGTGCCCCCCGGAGAAAAATGATGTCTGGAAGAAACACTGACTTTAAGTCATCTCAAAAACTGAACGGTTTATTAACCATTTAGCCTATAAAGTGGGTTTTTAGTGTTTCTATAGAATTGCAACAGCATTAGGCCAACACTTAAACCCGATGAGTACATCGAAATACAAAGACCTGTATGATTTAACGTAGGCTCTAAAATCTGAAGTATCAGAAGTAATGTAGACCTCCTAGCGTCGTGTGCTACTCCAGCGTGCCAGTGCTAAATAAATTCTCGGGATCGAATCTAGTTCTAAAAAATATATATTTAGACAAAAAGATTGTCGACTTTTGAAGTATCATTGATAGTTAAGTCTCCCTGACTCCGTCGTCTGAAAAAAAATGTACGTGTACATAATAATATTATGAAATAATAGGCTATATCTTGACAGTAATAGCTAATCCCCATTTAAATCAAAGAACCGCATGTCTCCACATTCTAGGTAGATCTATGTCTACTCGAGTTTCTTCCAGGCATCTCTTCGGGGTAGAGTCTACCGGCCCCCCGCCCCCCCCCCCCCCCCCCGAACGAGATGGAATTTATATAGTAAACATATACTTTTACTAGGTCCGCCCCCACCCCGGAAAATGTAGACCGCCCCCCCCCCCACCCCAGAGAAAAAATTCTGGAAGAAACACTGATGTCTACATGATAACGTGATCACCACCAGTGGTGCGTTTTGTTTTAATTTTTTTTTTAATTGTTAGCTTAAGAACTAAAAACGGATTAAGTTCCAAGCCAGATTGCTGTTCAGGGTTCACAATGCATGTGTTTGTCCTAAAATTAAGAATGGTCGCGTGACAAGCAAGCTAGTAGACTGGAATCTGGTAGCAAGGTAGCAATGTATGAATGTGCTTGTCGTCAACTTTTGCCACTAGGCTACGCTCCCTCATGCCGGAAACATACTCGTCAAATTTACGACTTCCACGCGGAATTTTTAAGCGCCTTATAACGCAGGTAATCCACAATTAACACATATGCTAAACTTTTCGTCAGGGATATGATTTTCAACACCAGAACTAATTACATCGAGTTTTAAAGCCACACATACACACACACACGTACACACACATTCGTCTTCTCGAAATTATAGATATAATAACCAGAGTTTCTTCCAGGCAATAGCCCCCCTCCCCCCGCAGAAAGTCTACCGCCCCCGCAAACAAAATCGAATTTATATATAAAATATATAAATATATACTTTTAACAGTGACCACCCTCCCCCCGATAATTGCAAGTCTCTCCTTCTCCCCCCCCCCGGAGAAAAAGTCTGGAAGAAACACTGCTAATAACTACAGCCTTGTTTGGCTGAGCACAGACCAAAAAGTGTTCATCATTATTTTAAATGCAAAAAAAATGTTTCATCCAAACTCCCATTATCTCATGTAGCTCACACAAAAAAACCAGAATAAACCCTAAGTGCGTGACCTCGTAAGGTCAATATGGCCGGCTCCTAAATCCTAATGGAGCAATAAATTTAATTTTAAACTATGAACAATTTTTGTCGGAAATCCGGAAATTGGAGAAAGCGTAATTTCCGATAAAATTGGCGAATAGAGGAAGGGGCGGCGATCTTAATGACCAAAGAAGGTTTAGTTGTTCATCTTCACATTGTGCTCGGCTGTGTAGTAAATTGTTGACCACGCGATAATTGATCTAAAAATAGCACTGCAATGGCTGTCTAGTCTTCGCGATTGCCTCTCCTTGAGACACCCTCTATCTCCTCCCCCTCCCCTCCTACACGGCTACGGCACGACACCGTACGTCATTTAGGTGTCGGCCGGGACGCCGCCGTCTTGACAAAAATGACCTCTCGTCTGATGGGCGTCTCAAAGTGCTGTGGCCGCATCAAAGGTCGTAGTGACAGATAGGTGCGAACGTGATGCACACGAGTTACGCGGGTAAATTAAACACGGAGGTCATTTTAATGTATCACCGTCTGACGCCGGGTCAACGTTTAGGGATTAGAGACACATGGAGTGAGGAGGGGGAGGGAAGGGGGATAACCCGGTGTAATTTTTAAAATTAATTATCGCTTACGTTAAAGAATTTTCATACAGAAAGATACTAAGTTTTTTTTTTCTTTAATTATAACAGTTATTTGTGTTTATAAAACTCTCAGGACTGTTTTAGTTGATCAAGTTTAACGGTTACTATCTATTGAGTATATTATAGAAACTAGTTGTAAATGTAAAGCCTAGCCCCAAGCTTAACCTTAACCTTGAGGTTAAGGTTAAGCTTAGTTAACACACAAAACAATTGATTTCACAAACACACACACACAAGGCTATGTATTTCTTTTACAAATATTTTAGAGGATATAGGGTTTATTATATTATGATCTTGATTTCCTTTTTAAAAATATTTTTATGCCATCATTGCATGTTTTAGCAATATTGCTACATAGTGTTATTTTCCAAATTTAATCCTTATTTCATATATTTCTCAATATGTTGTTAAAGAACAACTACAAATTACCTTTTTTTCCAAATGAGTTAAAAAATTTAACTCATGGATTAAAGAATTAATTTATTTATTCATACAGAAGTAATATTAATTTTTTTTACCGGGAAAGCAAGTAGACAAGGAAACAAGACCTTCTCTATTTTAAAACTTTCTTACTGTAATAATAGGGCTGGTAAGTAGGTCACCAACCAGTTCTACGGCTCAATAAAACCTGCATGAGCCATAGAGCTGGTTGGTGACCTACTTACCAGCCCTATTCCCACTCCTGTTCTTAAAGATTCTACCATATCAGTATTGTAATTCCTATTCCTATTCTTATAGATTCTACCATGAGCCGTTTAGATCCCGCCTTCAGTAGGGTGGACCCCAAGAGGTCTGGCTTCTACACCTGGAGGATAGAGGTTGGTACACCTGTTATAGAACTTCATAGAAATTATACCGGTTTTATTCCTTAACAGATTTGTGTGCAGATGTAGACCCTGGGTAAAAACATGTATGACGACTTGACTTAATCCTCTTTACTCCTTGTGGAGCATAGAGCCTCAACCATAACCTTTCATCTTGTCCGGTCTCCAGCTGTTGATTTTGCAGTCTCCCAAGACATCCCTGCTGTCTTCAGTTCTTCAAGACCACTCTAAAAATATTTATTGTCTTTAATTTTTTAGGCTGAAAACTTGTTTTCATTCATTCCTATCAAGATGGTATAGTCTACATGTTTTATTATTTCTAAGCGTATAATTTATGCCTACCTATTTTGTTACTTAACAGATGAAACACCTATTTTACTATTAAGCGCATGATAATTTCTTCTATACCTATTTTTATTGTATTGTGTTTATATGTAAAAGAAAAATGACAAGAGATTTTTAAAGAAAAAAAAATGGAAGCCACAAATGAGATCATTGTATTTACAAAAACTATTATAAAATATAAATCAATGCTACATTTCTACAGTAATCACTCAAGTGGTATGATAAATCAATGTCCTATTGATGTTTTGATTGCTTTATGGAATGCAGTTTCTTGTAGTGTTTTTTTTTCCTGTTTTTCAGAATATGCAGGTTGTTCCAATAGCAAAAGAGTTTTTTGGTGAATTCTTCAGAGGTGACTCATACATTGTGTTATCTGTAAGTTGATGTTTACATTCATTTTTTTCTACTGTTTAAACTGTAGTAAATGTTGACATCTAGATTTACTCCTTTAGGTCCAGGTTTTGAAGACAGAGATTTTGGTAACTTAAGAAACATTTAGCTTTGGTATTTCAAACTAGATTTACTAAATATAAATTGTATGTTTATTTGATTTCAATTTAATTTGAATGTAGATTTTAGAAAATCATTCAACAATGAACATTTGTGGAGCATTAAATGATTGAATTAATACAATAAAACTGAAAGACTGCCAAAACAAAAACAACTTCTGTGATTTTTTGAATTAGAAAAAAATGTATAAATGAGCAGAGTGCTCTTTACATAAGTTTTGTGTAAAACAAAAGTCCTTTTGTATTCACTATTTTCATTTAAAGCAGGGAATGAACAATAAAACAGATCATAATGTACTGATTAGTAAATTGTTTGCATCAAGTTTCTAGCTTCAGGGGTGGGGGAGGTGTAGGGGTGTGAGCATTAACCAACCCCCATGACATGTTGAGTAATGGTAAATGTACCAGTTCTTGACAGCCACTTCATTCTCGTGGTGCAGTCATGGTATCAAAGGTTGTCTGCTCTTGAAGTAAAACCTTAATGGTTTCATGTGTGTGTTTAGTATAATTATTAAAAAAATCAGATTGTGATCTGAGCTTAAATAGCCATAAAACAAAACATTTTTATATTTAGGTCTATGACTGTTGTGTTTATTTAACCACAGCCTACTGTAGATGCACCAATCTGTTAAATATTATTTGAGATCAATTGTCAATGTTGCACCTAGTATATAGAACTATATATTCATGCATAGTACTGAATGATATACATGTATCTATTAGATTTGTATACATAGTTATAAATATTACACAGATTGTTACAAAATATTAGGATATCTGATAAAATTTAAAGTTATATCATTTTTACTTTCTCGTATATACGAAGTATAGAGAAAGTCTTGTAATCGTGCAAAAAAAAAAAATTTTTACAAATCTCGACGTTTCACACCTCACTGATACGGAAAAACATAATTTTGCAATCTTGTCCGTATGTCTGTGTGTCTGTCTGTGTGTCTGTGTGTCTGTGTGTCTGTCTGTCCGTGTGTAAACACGATAACTTGAGAACCGTTACAGCTAGGTTGATGAAATTTCATATATAAGTATTTTATCAAAATCGTAGATCCGTATCAACTTTTGAGCGATTTCCGATAACCGGAAGTGGTACTTTTCCTACTTTGAATTTTTCAAAAGCCTATAACTTGAGTACTATTTCAGATAGATAAATGAAATTTCATATGTAAGTAAAAGATCTAATTCTCTACCTTCTATCAAATTTTGAGTAATTTCCGTTGACTGGAAGTAGTACTTTACGCTACTTCCGATTTCTCAAAAAACTAATGTAAATTTTAAAAGTAATAATAATATTGCGCACCATTATGCGTTTTTTTATTTGGCGTTCACTTGGTGTGCAATTAATTTGTCTACGAGATTTTATTCTATTTTTAAAACTTTAAGTATTTAAAATGGATTAAAAATCATGTCTATAGCCCGAGTTCCCATCCCCTGTTATTTTATATAAGAATATTCGAGAAAGTTTAGGGGAGATCACTCCCGGTTTATTTAAGTTAATTTTTATAATACTTAAGTTTTACAATAATTAGTAAAGTATTTTATTTTTAACACATATTAAGTTTTATTACTTTTAAGTTTAGTTGGTTGTGGGTATTTTGAAAATACACATTGCAGATCCATATGTATTTTTTAAAAATTTACAAATATTTTTCTTTAGCATGTCATATCAGTGGGTTACATTTTATTCAATTAATATCAACAATTACTAGGGTTTTGAACTTTTATAAAATTATAAAAACATTAGACATGGCTTAAATATGAGAGAATAGTGGAAATATTGGAGAAGTTTCTGTCCCGTCTATATTATATAAATGTTGTAACTTGATGTAACCCTCATTATCCATGTCACAATTAACAAAACCATACAGATTGGAGAAGAAGGCAATGCTTCAAAAGGTGGTGTTGATGCACAGGTATTTCAATATTATGCAGGCTCACTGTTTTAAAAAAAATGTATTTACATCTATGCGTGTAGCTGAAAGCTCATGAAGAAATGTGTTTGGTTGGATTTTGTTTTAAATTTCAAAAACAGTTAAGTTACTTAACTGGCTTATCAAAAAGTTAAAACTCTATTTAAAAGTAAAATTTCAGCTTGAAGCCAACCAGGCATATCATAATCAGCAGCTGTAATTTTTTTTTGCTTGTTTTTATAACTTACCCTTGCAAAGTCAAAATGTATTTTTACATTTTATCTTTTAAGGATTTAAAATTACTCATGTTGGTTTTAATTAATGTGTGTGGAAATAACATAATGGAGTTTGTAATTAAAAAAAATAATTTTACTAGTTCTTTTTCCAGTCATTTGTAGCCTACTAACTGGGTTAGATGATTACGTTTGTGAGGGTTACTTGTATGCTTGTCTTATTGTTTATAAAAAAAATAACAGAAATATTTAAAATGCTATATTTAATTAAAAATTAATTGTAAATAGCAAGCTATATAATGCCCATGGAACAAAATGTATATCCAATATTAGTTCCTCGTTGAGCATAATTTTTTTTCTAGTGGCATAATAAAGCATTGATTAATATGTACAAAAAAAGTGGGATTGTACTAATTGACCCTTAAGGTTGGTGATGGAACTAGAACTTTTAAGCTATGTAACAAGTTATTTGGTTGAACGTATGGTTTATTGGAGATAATTAAAATATTGTTAATTAATTAATAAGTTGCATAAAATCCTTTCTGCTCTGCTTAGTCCCTCATTAGACTTTTGATACATAAATTATCTTTATACTCTCCTATTTATATTCAAACAGCATTGAGTCAGTAAACGTAACTTGATCAGGCTCAATATTTAAGAGATTAATTTGTTTTAAAAGCTAAAATTGTTATATTAATAAATTAAATAGTTCTTTCAGTAGTGTAGTTCCACTGTTAATGTTATTAAAAAAAATGTTATAAAAATCAAGATGTTTTTTCAAAGATACTACCTATATTTGTTTTTAAATATACCATAAATAATACATTGCCCAACACGTTGCTCCCTTTGTTTTCAACACCATTTGTCATGCAACATAATTCACAATTCACCTCTCACTTGATTGGTGTACTCTGTAATTCACACAAAAAGTTTGTTACATTATGTCTTTTATTCAAATTAGAAATATTTTTAATGCTAACATTAGATAACAAAGTGACTGTCATTTTTTGAAAAAAAAAAAATGCATATATTTAAGTCAGTTAAATATCTTCTTAGGCTGGCCTATGTGTTAAAAAAAAAGATAACACTGACATAACACATTTTATTTTTTTTAAATGTGTCTGTCATTTGAATGTCTGCAGTTTTCTGTGTCACTTGAGCTGGCGACATACCTTTAGATTTTATCTTTTGGTTTATTTTTACATCACTGCTATCCTAAACTTTTGTCTTTCATTTGAGCTGCCTCACAATGCAATACTATAATCAGGCTAAATTTATTATGTTTAAAATTTTGCAATTATCTTATCATATATTTCTCACAATCAATTTTGTTCATACTAAAAGTAGTTGCTAGTATTTTTAACAGTTCAGTTTCTGTTCTAAAATTATTTAAGCCTACTTCTAAATTTATTTAGATTATAGTTTCAAACTTTAACATTTTTCATATATGTAATATATTTGACAATTTTATTTTCTCTTTTTTTTAAAAAAATGTGATATTACACATAAGAAAACAAAATGACACTCATGAATTTTTTTAATTTCTTGTACCGAAGCTTTAAAAAGAAAACAATTTGTGACTTAGACCTAAATCATGTCCAATTATGAGTTATGTGTCAGTTATTCCTCATGACGAAACCTATATTAATTAGTCATTGTTTCTCAGTTCTTACCACTAAAGTATGATAATAACTGTTCTTACAATTCAGTTACTATTTATTTTTACCACTGAAGTATGTCATCAATTACCATAAATTCATTTAAATCTATATTTATTTAGTGAAAAAAAACTTCATAAGATTTTAGAAACAAAATGTTCAAGCTTCTATAATGCAGAACCCTAAACATTTTATTTACATTAATATTAAGGTGTGTAATGTAGTTCTGGTACTAATCTCCTTTATTTTTGTTTAGATAAAGGACACCAAAGGTGGACCCTTGGACTGTCATGTCCACTTCTGGCTTGGTAATGACACATCCCAGGTCAGTTTTTTAAATTGTTCTACCTTTCAAAACATGCAACCTTATTGAATTTTTTTTTAAATATCTTTTCCACCTTATTAAATAAAGGAAAATAGTTTTGTTGTCATATTCGTTAATTATATTATTTTTGCTGTTTTATTTGTGTGGTTATTTCAGCACTTAATGATACTTAAAATCTTTGGATGAAGCAGGCACAGCAGCTTGTAAATCTGTTAAATTCTCATCAGTATCAAAGATTTTTTTCTCTGTTTTTTTTTTGTTTTTGTTTTTCTTACACTTTGTCATGGGAATCCAATGAGTTGTGGTTTAGTGGAAGAGTATCTGATTGCTTAACTGAAAAGTCATGGGTTCAGTCCCTGGTCTGGGAATAAGTTGGTCTTCCTGTGTTCACCCATTTTGTTATCGTAATTGATAACATTCTGGGAATGTAAAGACCCCCATGCACAATACTGACCACTGCCCATTCATATAAAAGATCAGCTGTACTTATTTTGACCTACTGACTGTTATGTCTGAAATTGTAAATTTTTATTTTGAATTTAATAAACCTTTTCTCTGTGTTTAATGTTGTAGGATGAGGCAGGTATAGCAGCCTACAAATCTGTAGAACTGGATGATTTGCTTGGGGGTGCACCTGTCCAACACAGAGAGGTTGAAGGTCACGAATCCCAACGTTTTCTCAGTTATTTTCCTAATGGAATTAAGTAGGTTAAAAATTGAATTTTCTGATATTAAAAAATGTATTTTCATTTTTAAATTTTTTAAAAGTATTTACACTGTATTTTAGTTTTTTTTTAATGCAAAAGTAAAAAATAAAATTTATATTAGTTCTACATTATTTTTTTTACTGGTTAGCCAGTATGCAGTAAAAAGGTATCATCATTTTTTTAATATTATTTTTGAAACAGAATAAAATCTGGTGGTGCTAAATCTGGATTCCATCATGTGGATAAAGGAATATTTCAACCCAGACTGATTCATGTCAAAGGCAAAAGAAACCCCAGATTTTCAGAGGTGTGTGTGCATCTTTTTCAATTTTTGCATTATTTTTATCAAAATAGCAACAATTAGTAAAATAAACAAAAACCCCAAATGAAACCTGAATATTTGAGAATAAGAATTTCAATTTTATAAAATGATGTTCAAGCTCATTCAAATCTGCTCCTTAAATTATTGTATTGCATAACCTAAGTGACTTTAGAGTATGTTCGGATAAAATTTATAAATACATTGAAGCTTAATAATAATTTCTTACTAACCATTTGATTATCTCTTGATGTTTTTGTCCTCTGATCAAAATCCTTTTAGCTACCCATAATAATTTTAGGTCTGGTTAAAGCCCCAGAATTTATGAAGCTGTCACTAGTAGCAAGCAACCTTTAAGTTATTAGTTAAGTGGATGAGGTGCAAATATGAGTTAAGAGCTATCGCCTGTCATGCTTCAGTAGCAGAATTTTATTATTTTTATGCAATCACATTATCAAAATTGTGTTGATTTATTTTCCTTACAGTGTCCTGAAATAGACTGGGACCAAATGAATCATGGGGACTGTTACATTGTTGATCTGGGACAAGTTATCTTCCCTTGGCTGGGTGCAGAGTGCAACAAAACAGAGAAGATGAAAGTAAGGAAAGGAAAAAATTTGAATAAATTAAAATGCTTAACCTTTAGTTTCTGGTAATAGAGATGTCTTTGGCCAGAAGATGACCAGTGTCCTCCTGAGAACTTACTGCAATATGATACTAAAGGAGTCATAACTTTTGTAAATGCTATACAGATTTAATGTTGTAAATTTGTTTCATGTTATGGAAGTTAACCTTTTTTATTTATTTCTATGACAGACACTGGAACATTGCAGAAAGCTGAGAGATGAAAGAGGTGGCAAGGCCAATATTTTTGTTGTGGAGGATGGGCAGGAAGATAAGTTAGACAAAGATGCAAAGCAGGTACATTTAAATAAAATTGTTTTAAATACATTTTTCATATAAAATTAGCAGGCACTTACAAAGGTAGTCTACATCCAGATTTAAAAAGTATTTTATTTTAATACATAGTTTGATTTAACTCCCCTTAGTTACACAAAATGCTATATTTAATCACAAATAATGTCTTCAGTAAATATTTATACATATCTTTTTATCTTCCACGAAAAGTGCCAAAACTGTACAATACAATGCTAACTTACTTTCCTATTAGTTGCTGTTAGATATTAATATATATCCCCATTTTCGTGTTAAAAACCAATCATCATTGCATCTTTATCAATTTACATCATTTGTTTTACCGTACAATTCAAATTAAGCATTTGAAACTAACTTTATTTCAGCTGTTTGAGAAATATCTCGTCATTCGTGAAAGAAACAAAGTTAAGGGAGGAAAAGAGGGTGGTGATGATGAAGTCAACGAAAGACAAATCTCAGCCAACATTAAACTTTTTTCGTATGTTATTTCATCTTTGTTATTCGTGTTCAGTTTGTTGAAATGTTTTATAATGTTATATAATAAATAAAGTAAATTGGTACATTTTTTAAAAGAAAGTATTTTGTATTTTTTAAAAGTTATCAATAAGTAGGCCTAATACTTATTACTTATATATTTTGTTAAAAGAATTATTATAGTGATTTAAAAGAAGCCCTTATGCTTGTTGCTTGTGTATTTTTCAAAGACATGTTATGCTTATCTAATACTTACTTACAGTGGTGATGTTGGCGTATTGCATTAGTAATCTGTCCTTATTTTTCTTTAGTTGTCGTGAAGAAGATGGAACTCTGCGTATTCAGGAGGTTAAGCCTGGGCCACTTTCTAGAAAAGATTTACTCTCTGATGTAAGTGTCTAGCTTTTTATGTGCTAATCACTGATGAGTGTTGTTCATACTAGCGTCAATGCTAAGGATATAGCTATGCCAAGTTGGGTGAAAGAATTTGTTAATTTGAATCTTAAAATAATTTCCTTTTTAAATACAAAGATTCTCTTGCTGAATTTGAACATTTAATGAAGGTTCATATAGCTTTTAGATATTGTATTTTTTAAGAATCAAGGTGACCATCATCACGATATATGTATGTATGTATGCATCAAGCAACAAATAGCTTACAGATTTTATTGCCAATTAGTTAAATTAAAAAAGTTAATATGACTTGTGTATGGCACATTAAGCTATCAAAAGCACTCAGAGATTGATTTTTATTTCTCTTACTAAGTGATTGTTTTTATAGCTACAAATAGCACTGAAAGATTCTGCATGTGGTTTTAATGGTAGCAACATTGACAAAGTGTTTAGTTCAACATTAACAGGATACAAGTATCCTCAGACTTGTATAAAAAAAATTGGATTATATCATCATGAGTCACATGATGTAGTTGTACTTATTTTTTTAAACACTCATAAATTATGCTTAAAGGACACACTTAATTAGTTACAAGCTCATTAAAACATTAAAACAAGACAGTTTGAGATTACTTCCCCTGTTTTCAATTTAACCTTTATTATTCCATGTCTTTCATTAAGTTATACATATTTAAACCAAACATATCTAAAAGCTGTTTTTACTGATAGCCCTATCAGAAAGTTAGCAAGGTACGTAGGCATGCAAGAAATACTCTACCCTAGTACATTCACTCACATAAACTACTTTATGTACTCTCTGCCTCTTAATTTGTCTCTCACATTATTTATTACTTTAGATCAAAAACATCTGAAGAAAAATTATTTTTTAAATTTCAAAATAAAATGTTATTCATTTAACATGATTTTTTAAACAATATTAAACATTTTTATTTTTGTTTGTTAAGATTTGAACAGAAGCAACTATTCAAAACTAATAAAATTAATTAACCAGTTTTCACATAACATGTGATCAACCCTAGTGTTTATAAAGTTTATGTTTCCATAAACTAATTTAATTGTCAGTGCATGTATTGACTCTGTTTTCTCCCTTACCTATATAACATGCATTTAAATAATAGAAGCCTTAGTTGTTATCTTTAAAATTGTCACATTTATCTCTTTTTAATTTGCTTATTAATAAATGCAATTATCTATATATATAATTCTCTTCTTCGAGCCGTTAGAAAACAAGCTGCAAACGCTCTCCCTACCTCCCCACCCCTACATGGTTTTAGTGAGCTGTGTTCACTCTAAATGTTTACAAGCAGAGCCAACGATTTTAAACGTAGGGGGGGGAGGAAGGGGGGGGGGGGGGGAAGGAAGGGGGGGGGGGGGTTATGGTCCTTAACGAGCTACTAAGTTATAGTGTTTTAAAGAAATATTTTCAGTGTCAGCGTTGGTACTGTCGAATTCACAAATTATGAATTATTGAAAATTAGAAACAACTAAATAGCGGCGTATGTTATGCCGCGGGCCGGCTCGTTCATTATATTAAACTCATATGTGTATAGCAACTTTAATGATACTGTATTTTAAAAATAGCCCAAATATACTGGAAACATCTTGGAGACATTAACTGTACTTTTTTGCCCTATTTTCAACTTTATAAAATCTTATAGCCAAATGTAATAGAATATTAAATTAATCTAGGCCTTTTGTTGGTTATTAAAAGTATCAGCTGACCTCCACAAATAATTAAAATATTTGCTTAATTTGAATAATTATGTTTCAACTTATAAGACTATTGCTAATAAATTATATATTTATTTATGTGGATTTTTTTTTAACAGGACTCATTTATAATAGACAATGGTCCTTCTGGAGCATGGCTTTGGATTGGTAAAAAAGCTTCACCAAAAGAAAAGAAAGAAGCTATGAGAAATGCTGTAGTAAGTGAAGATACATTCAATTTTAATTAAATGAATTCACCTGTGTGGTAAATCTAAAAATAAGATAACTATTATTAGCGAGGAGTTTTATTTTATTATAGGTATTTTTTACTTCAGTGATCATAACTACCCGCAGTGGCGTAGCGAGGTCGGGTGTCACCCGGTGCGACACTTAATGGTGTCACCCCCCTCAGAGGCATAGAGACCCTTCCAAGGGACAAACTTTCAAACTTTCGATTTGCACCCCCCCCTCAAACTTTCGATTTGCACCCCCCCCCCCCCTCAAACTTTCGATTTGCACCCCCCCCCCCACAAGTTTTCGATTTGCACCCCCCTCGAGTTTTTCTCTATATATTTTGCTATTTTTTGCCTTGGTAATGTAATTAGTGATAGTATCAATGTATTTAAATGTACAACCATTAAGTTCCATTTCGCTAATTGCTGTATTAATAGTGTAATCCTTTTTTTAACTATTTTGCTACCAGTTATGTGTAGCCAATGTTGGTAACAATCTTGCTGATAGATTTCAATATTTAAAAAATTCCAACAGGGTTTCTTAAAAAAGAAAGGTTATCCATCAGACACAAAAGTGACAAGAGTTGTGGAAGGGGCAGAGCCAACAGACTTCAAGTGCCTATTCAAAGACTGGCCTCAACCCCCTCCCCCAGGCAAAGTTTATACCAGAAGCAGAATTGGTGAGAAATTCAAGTTGAGCTTCTCTTTTTAATCAAATAATGTCATTACAATAATTATGTTAATTTTTTTCACGTGTGTAACGACTTCTTTTAATAAATGTTTAGCAAGGACAGTCCAAACGAAGTTTGATGCATCAACATTACACTCTAATCCTGCCTTGGCTGCAGAAACTCAGATGGTAGACGATGGCTCTGGCAAAGTGGAGGTAACGTTACACATTTTAAATTTCGTATTTCATTTCAATCAATTGAATAATTTACAGCTTGAACAGCGTTTTCCCTTTTTTTTTAATTCTAGCAATGTTTATCAGTTAAAAAGGAGTTGAAAATTAAAAATAACAGGTTGAAAGGTCAGACTGATTAAACCCAACATCAATCATTAAGTAAATTCAGCAGAAAATATGTCTTACATTTAATTTATTAAAGAATTAAAATATTTCTTCTTCTTCATACTTAATTGTAATGTTGGAAGGGATTTCCTACAAAAGACTTAAGTATTTAAGTATTTAGCAACAATGAGCTTTACTTAGCCGACCACACAGAACTCTAATATTTAATTACTTAAACAGAGTTTCTATTTTTAGAAATATACTCCATTAATTTTTTTTATATTTCAATAAACATTTTTAGTAAGAGTTCATAAAAATTTTTTTTTATTTACTTCCAGGTATGGCGCATTGAAAACTTCCAGATGGTACCACTAGAAACAGTACACTATGGAGAATTCTATGGAGGAGATTGCTATGTTATTCTTTATACATATAATGTTCAAGGGAGAGAAGCATATATCATCTATTACTGGCTGGTAGGTATTATTAATAAATTTTAAAAATTTTACTAACTATAATTTTTTTTTAATTTGGGTAATTTATAGATTTTTTTGCAAATAGCTACCCTTTTAGTGTTAAATATCTATTGGAATACCTCTCAACAATTTGTTTTTGGATATATACATTTGTAATGTTCAGACATGATGTTTTTTTATATTTCCCAGGGTTTGAAGTCCACAGCTGATGAGCAAGGTACAGCTGCTCTTATGGCAGTGCAGTTAGATGATAAACATCATGGTGCTCCTATACAGGTTGTTAAAAAATTAATTGATAACATATTTAGTAAAATTATTCCCTCCGATCTCTGTGTAATTTATTCAAATTATCACTTATATGATGATCTGGATTACTCTACAACTACTGATGTAGAAAAATTTTCAAGTAACTTCCATTGGTTATGGCATTGATAAATAATATTATGAGACCACACCCTGCTAATTTTGCTTTTATTTTAGCATTTATACATTATTTTTAAATAGTTTTTTTGTTTGTGTAGAAATGGAACTTGTTATTGAAATCTAATAAGTAGTATTCACTTGTATTTTGATAGAGATGTACATTTTCAAAAATGTTTTGTCTAGGTGAGGGTTGTACAGTACAAAGAACCCCCACACTTCATGGCGTTGTTTGGTGGAAAGATGGTCATATTTGAGGTGAGCTTTTTCTAAAGACAAGTCAGCCCCAGTATAACTTAATATTTATTTTTTAACTGTTATTTCGTTAAATGCATGTGTAATCAAAAATATTTTTTAATTATTTCATTAAATGCAAGTTTAATCAAAAATATTTTTTTAATTAATTCATTAAAATTCTAATAAACTGTTATTTCATTAAATACAAATGTTATCAACAATTTTTTATAGTTCATTAAAATTCCAATAAATGTTAAAGATATTTTAAAACATTAGCGTGTACAATCATAAAAATGTGTTAAAATTTTTGTTAAAGGGAGGTAAGGCAGGTTGGACAAAGGGTAAAGTGACAACCAATGGCTTAGATTACGAAGGACCTGGTGACAAGTATATGCTTCAAGTCAGAGGCACTTCTGCACTTACCTGCAAAGCCATTCAGGTAATACATTATTTTATGGTGGATATTTCAAGAATTATTGAAGCAAGATATAAAGTTTTCATAAAAAACAGTTGATTATATTATTTTATTTTTTTTGAGTCTTCTGGATTAACAAACAAAAGGTATAATAAAACTAATTATGAAAAATCCTTTCAGGTACCACTTTGGGCATCTTCCCTGAACTCTAATGATGTTTTTGTTATCTTCACCAAAAGTGCTGTCTACAGCTGGGCAGGTAAAGGCTGTACAGGAGATGAGAGGGAGATGGCCAAAAATATTGCTGCCAGGTCTCCTAGGTAACGAATGCAGCAAGCCTCTTTATAAGATATCTATCTGTTCCGGAGAGAATGTTTTGTCTTTAATTTTACCTTTTTTTTTCTTTATCTGATTCCTCTTATCTTAATCTTAATTAAAAGTTTAGAGGATATGTTTTTGTCATTACCTCTTTATAAGATAGTTATCTGTTCCGGAGAGAATGTTTTGTCTTTAATTTTACCTTTTTTTTTCTTTATCTGATTCCTCTTATCTTAATCTTAATTAAAAGTTTAGAGGATATGTTTTTGTCATTACCTCTTTATAAGATAGTTATCTGTTCTGAAAGAATGTTTTGTCTTTAATTTTACCTTTTTTTTTCTTTATCTGATTCCTCTTATCTTAATCTTAATTAAAAGTTTAGAGGATATGTTTTTGTCATTACCTCTTTATAAGATAGTTATCTGTTCCGGAGAGAATGTTTTGTCTTTAATTTTACCTTTTTTTTTCTTTATCTGATTCCTCTTATCTTAATCTTAATTAAAAGTTTAGAGGATATGTTTTTGTCATTACCTCTTTATAAGATAGTTATCTGTTCTGGAGAGAATGTTTTGTCTTTAATTTTACCTTTTTTTTCTTTATCTGATTCCTCTTATCTTAATCTTAATTAAAAGTTTAGAGGATATGTTTTTGTCATTACCTCTTTATAAGATAGTTATCTGTTCCGGAGAGAATGTTTTGTCTTTAATTTTACCTTTTTTTTTCTTTATCTGATTCCTCTTATCTTAATCTTAATTAAAAGTTTAGAGGATATGTTTTTGTCATTACCTCTTTATAAGATAGTTATCTGTTCCGGAGAGAATGTTTTGTCTTTAATTTTACCTTTTTTTTTCTTTATCTGATTCCTTTTATCTTATCTTAATTAAAAGTTTAGAGGATACGTTTTTGTCTTCACTGTTTTTTTCTTTATCTGATTTCTTTTATCTGAAATCTTAATTAAAAGTTTTATGTTGATGAATATTTACAGAACACTGACAAATGTGTTTGAAGGACAGGAAAAGCCAGATTTTTGGAATGTATTGGGTGGTAAAGAAGAATATGCCTCAGAAAAACTTTTACAGGTTTGAGAGTTTGATTTGTGGTTTTTTGTTCAATAATTTTTAGGTAAAATGTATCCTTTTAAAACAGACTGGAATTTACAAATATGTGTAAAAAATCTAATCCAACTTTTTAAAATTGAAATTTTTTTAATAAATAAATTATTTTCTCTTTCATCAGGATGATGGCAGTCACCCACCTAGGTTGTTCCATTTATCCAATGCTAAAGGTTTCATTAGTGTTGAGGAAATTCACGATTTTGTGCAGGTTTGTTTATATCAAGATTATTCTTTAACACTTGAACACTTTTCTAATTTAACACTGACATCAAGAAAAGCTGGCTATAACTGAATAATTGAACCATGTATAAACACTTATATGTATAAACAGTGTGTAGACCATTAAAAAAACTGGACTGAGTTACACAATTACAATAAGCACTTATACTGCACAGTTTGGTCTTGCGGTATAGCGCTAGACTGCTGAAGTTTCTAGTTGGAATCAGGGTTCAGGTCAGTAGAATGTCCCTTAGTCCACCCAGCTCTGATGGGTACCTAGCTCACATTTTGGAAAGTAAAGGTGGCTGGGAGTAGTGCTGACCACACTATCTCTTCATAAGCAGAGGTCACAGAAACAGGTGAACTCTACTTCACTTGCCCATAAACCACCAGGTTAGAAAAGGGAACTTTACTTCCACTGCTGTTCACGTATCATATGATGTTTTGTTTTGTTGTGCCCCACAGTCAGATCTGATTGAAGATGATGTCATGATCCTGGATGCCTGGGAATGTGTTTACATCTGGCAGGGAAAGAACAGCAACAAAGTGGAAAGAGAAGAATCACAAAGATGTGCAATAGTAGGTGTTTCAATTGTTCTGTTTACATTTGTGTTTGTTTGTAAAAGTTTCTATACTGGAAACTTTGTTTTTGTTCTGGTTCATTCTTATTTTTTCATTAACTGTTAACCTTTTAAAGAATAGAATAGTAATTAACAGATTATTTTAATATAATTAAAGGGAAACAACTCTCTAGTTTTTCCTAAAAATAAACTAAAATTACTTACTTTTTTCCTTTTTAACTTATAATAAGTTTTTTTATTAATATATTTTTTTAATTATTCAAATTTTGTGTTGCATTTAAATTTGATCTTAAATTTAATGTAAATATTGTAAAATAAATGTCATATTAATTATTTTTTTTAATTATTCAAATTTTTTACCACATTTAAATTTGATATTACATTTACTATAAATATTGTAAAAAGTTATTTATTTTTACTTCCTTCGGTGTGCACAAAAGTGATAATATAACAGTAATTTTTAAATACTAAGATCTTGTTTTTATTGAAGGAATACCTCAAAACAGATCCATCTGGTAGGGACATGGATACAGCAATATTTAGCATTAAACAGGGGCTTGAGCCACCATCATTTACAGGTTTCTTTGGAGTCTGGGACAGAGACCTATGGAGTGTATGTTAACTTACTTATACTTAATTCATTAATTAATTAAACATTTTTAATAATACATTTCTACAACTCTTTTAAATGATGACTGTAATGAGTAGTAAAAATGGTAATAAATCTATGTATGATTGATCAACAGAAGGGACTGACTTATGAACAACTCAAGAAGCAGATAGCAGATGGCAATATTCCAATTGAGCAAGTACATGAGGTAAAAATAATCATTTTTTTTTCCAAAAATAAAACAATAAATTATCATAAGGACAAGAAGTTAAATCCATGGAAAGTTTTTTATTATCTTACTTACATATTAAAAGTATGTTTTAACCTTGATGGTGTATAGGCTATTATAGGACATAAACATTGAATAACTGACAAAAAAGCAGAATTTTTTTTTTAAAGATATTACATGTGAATGTATTCACCTATTATGTGTATTTCAGAATGTTTCCAATGGAGGTCAGGATTTTAATGAGGTGCCCAAATATTCACTAGCAGAACTGCAAGTTGCCTCAGAAGAATTACCACAAGGTGTGGATCCATCAGCAAGAGAGGTAAGTGATATTTGTTAAACCTGTGACTACAGTATCTATCTTTCATACAGCTGTATTTGTATTCTGTTTGAAAACGGTAGCTGCAGTTAGGATTTTGTAATACATATTTATTTCAAAAGCATTGTTAGTAACCCTATACAAGTACAGTATTATAATTACAATGGACTTTTCAACCCATCATCAGCACATATCATTATTGTTAAACTTCACAAAAAACAAGTAACAAAAACTTTTACTAAGACTAACAGCTCAACTTGTAATAAAATGTCTTTCTTGGGGGTAGGGAGGGAGTGGGGGTGTTAAAGAAGGGAGCTTGTTTAGTTAAAAATTCAATGTTCTATTTTGTTTGTATTCTGAATTTACAAATAATATAAGATTTCACTAGATGTAGGGACTAAATGTGTAACACAATGTTATTAAACTTCTAGTATATTTGTAGTTTTTGGAAAAATTGTTCATCAAAGGATATTTTTCTTTGGTAAAACAGGTTTTATGGAATTCATTTTACTTTTTTTATAAAGAAATTGTAGCATTTACAATGACATTTATTAATGTATATAATTGAGTTAATGTTTATCTTTTTCCTAGATTCACTTACTGGATGATGAGTTTCGTAAACTATTCCACATGTCCTACTCTGATTTTAACAAGCTTCCAAGCTGGAAACAGAAGCAGCTGAAAAAGAGCTTTAAACTTTTTTAGTTCTGTATCTACCTTTTTTGTTTAGTATTAAAATCTTCAAACAAATTTTTTTACTGAGAACTTATCCATTAGTAGTATGTGCTACTTATTTATATCTAGATTATTTATCAGATTTATTATGTAGACTGAATGTTCTATAGATATCTGTCCATTGGGTAATTTTTAAAAATCCTTTTTAATAATAGTCTTATGATTTTTTTATTAGCTTTATGCTTCCAATTTTTTATTAGCTAAAAAAATTGTGTTTTTTGTAGTTGTATGAAAAAAAGGAAATTAAAGCAATATACGTAGAATTAGTAAACGAGCATAATTTTAAGTGTAAATGAGTAAAAACAGTCAATGTTGGTAGATGTGCTCTAGTACATTTCTCAAATTTTTTATAACTTTTGCTTATAACTTTAGCTTGACATTATAAGACTACATGAAAAATGTACCATTAAACAACATAATGTATTAAAATTCAGCTGAGGACTATAAATGCATTGTTTATACTTTAAGCACATCTCAAACTTGGGTTTGTGAAGTTCTTTATTTGATTTGTTTAGAGATAGTGATGAGTACAATTTTACCATATTTTTGTACGCAGTTGATGTTGGACTTTCTATATAGTAAAAACAATTGAATTACAAAAGTATTCATAGTTTTCCTGTTTCATAGACCTATTCAAACAAAAATGGAAGTTGTCACTGTATGTGTGACCAATAATACATTTTAAAATGCACACATAGTCACTTTGTAATTCTTATTACACATGAGTGATTTTATGCAATTTAATCAATATGTTTTAGAATATTCCAGTTAAACTACACAGGAACTTTTTTTAAACTGCTGTTTTCTTCTTAATAACACCTACAAACGCTGCTTCCTTTTTGTACTACATGTTTGTAGTATGTGCTTTAAGTTAAAATGTATCATAGTATGATCGGCTGTACTCAACTAACATCACCTGAGCTAGTATTTATTTCACTAAATCTCCACATTGAATTGTTTTTCCACACTTGTTACTATATAAATATAGATCTGTGATTTTTTTAAAAATCTTTCAAAATGTTCATTTATTACTTTCTGTTAACTGTTTATATACTATGTAATACTTTTAGTAAAGTATACAGAAAGAGTAATACAATTTTTCAGTAAGCAACTCACTTTTATAGAGTTAAAAACAATTTACATTGAATTTACCTGGTTTTAATGTGTTGTCATTGATTATTTTTTTTAAATAATGCTATTACTAATTTAATGTAAAACTAGTTAACTGCAGAATCTACTCTTTTTTTTTTAAATATTGTTAAGTATATATCAAATTTAAAATCTAGAAATTTTAGATCTAGAAACATAAACTTAAGATTTATTATCAATACATTTACATCTTATCAGTTACTGTAAAAACCAAGAGAAAACTGCATCACATAAATCACATTCATCTAAGTCAAATCATTCTGTTAGAACTTGTGTGATTCTGATATTTGATACATGATGTGTGTTATAACTTATCAATATTCCTAAGCTCTCATCGTTATTTATTTTTATATAATAAGGTATACAAAACTTTAACATACACTTGAGCAACATTCCATTTTTCTAGTGTGTTAAAACCTATGTATTTAAAATTAATTGATTCATACATAAAAGTAAATGCATCTAAAAAATGTTGGCTTTATTTATTTTTTCCCTTAATTATAATTTTAAAGCAAGGGGAGAGGACTAGGTTGTTTTTAAATTAAAAATATCTACTAAGAATAAGATGCATGGTAATGGGTGCTTTGTTGTGATAGTGTTTCTTGTGTGATTAGCTTGCAGTTAAAATATGCACTTTCTTTTAAACAAGTTTGGTCGTTGCTGTTTATAAAGCTTACAATTTATTAACCCTTTTTAAAATAAAGGAGATGGTGATATTTTTTAATGGATTTAAGCAATACAAATCTAGTGAGCTGCTAGTTTATATATATATATATATATATATATATATATATATATATTATGCTGAATGTGAAAAGATATAGAATCTGTTTAAATAAAGAATATATCTACATTTTTTTTACACAAGATATAAATAAATCAGTTTTAGATTGTGAAATTTCAACAAGGTTAGCAGAAATTCAAATTAAAACTTTATCAGAATGTTCACAGAGAAATCTTTTTGGAAGGCCAGGCTTTTTATTTTCTGTAGATGGCATTTTTTTTATAGTAACCCTCTCAAAATATTTTTGGGTAAAATGTAAACAAAAATAGATATAGAATCACAATTTTATATCCACAAAACTTCCCTAAGGGGATATCACTTCCCATATTTTGGTTATTCACAGTGGGTTTTTGTGCATAATTTATATGTATATAAATCCAGGCTTAAAATATATATTTATAATCTAAAAACAGAATTTTTAAATTAATAATTAGCTATGAATGGGAAGATAAATAGATGAAAACATGGAGGGGTTGGTCAGTTTTTTCTATTCTGTTAAAATTAATTATAAGAAAAAAATATTTTAATCATGATAATCAATATTACCAGTTGTTTTTTTCCCATAATTTAATGTAATTTTATTTACATTACTAAATATAAAAAATTTTTATTTTGAATTAAACAAATGAAGTTTGTATATGTAAGATGTTTGTGTAATAGATTGAAATAATTGTGAGGTCAAGGGAACTCACTCTTCTGTATTAGTTATATTTATAATATTGTTATCTTAAGTGATGTCCCTTGTGTTCTTCCTCTCTTTTCGCAACATGGCGTCTGTACATAATAAAGACTGTTAACAACCAATGTGGCTTCCTCGTCAATCTATTATAACTGGCGACGAAGGATAAACATCTACTAGAAAGAGCACCTACTTACGCAAAAAAGAGGTTTGCTAGAGCTTATTAGCTAATTATTTCTAGAATTATGGCGCTGTATGGCCAAATAAAAGAATTTGATGCGAATGATGAAATCATTCAAGATTACCTAGAGAGGTTAAGCTTTTACCTAGAAGCTAACGACGTGACGATAGAAGCCAAAAAGAGAGCTGTTTTGTTAACAGTCATAGGGCCTCAACAATTTAGGCTACTAAAAGACTTATGCGCACCAGCCAGTCTAACTACCAAGAGCTTTAACGAGCTGAGCAAATTGCTAACAGACCACCATGCGCCTACCCCATCAAAGTTTTTATGTAGAGCTAGATTTGACAGTAGGACTCGTCAACCAAACGAGTCAATATCAGAATATGTTGCTGCTTTACGTCATTTAAGTGAATTTTGTGAATTCGGAGACACGCTGTCTGACAGATTATGTGAAAAGTTTGTGACAGGTGTAAACAGCCCTGATATTCAAAGAAAGTTGCTGCTCGAGTCAGATCTAAAATTAGAAAAAGCAATACAACTTGCAATTTCATTCCAGCAGTCATCAGATGCGGCGAGATCTTTAGCACCTTCAGAGATCCATGCAGTAAACAGCAGGTTAGTCAATAAACATCAACCCCATCAGAGCATTCCAACTTATGCTAAACAGCCTGCTCGTTCAAATCCTAGATCTAAATCTAGTAATAATTATCAAAAATGTCATCGATGCAAAGGTCCCCATGCATCTCATCGGTGCAAGTTCAAGTTAGCAACTTGTTATAAGTGCAGTAAGCAAGGTCACATTGCCAAGGCCTGCTTTGCAAAGTCTTCGTCTGTTGCTAAATCTAGCCAGTCAAGACAGTACCGCAACCAAAGGCAGCACTATGTTAACTCTCACCAAGACTACCTAACCCAACCAATGAACCACTCTACCTGTGAAAATGCTCAAATTGATTTGCAGCCGGATTTCAACCTGTTCTCTGTTAAATCAATAAGTCATGCTCCCATCAATGTACAAGTTAATATCAACGGTAAGAGCATCAGCTTCCAACTTGACACTGGAGCATCTCTAACAGTCATAACAAAGAAAGATTTTGACGCTGTCAAAGGAGAATCAGTGCCTCTACAGCCATGTCACAAGTGTCTAACAACATACACTGGTGACAATGTTCCGGTAATAGGAGAGTGTATGGTTCATGTAAGTTATAATGGTCAAAGTGTTAAACTTCCTCTTCTTGTGGTTGAAGGAAATGGACCGCCATTACTAGGTAGGAACTGGTTAAGTGATCTTAAGTTAAATTGGGAGAGTATTTGTTCATTGAAGAATGTAAAAGAATCTAGTCTTACTTCAATAGATAAAGTAATATCTGAAAATAAAAGTGTTTTTGGCAATTCAGGTTTACTAAATGATAGAACAGTGAAGATAAGCATTAAAGACACAAATCCAAGATACTGCAAAGCTAGAGTTCCACCTTATGCAATGAGGAATAAAATTGAAAATGAGCTAAGTAGATTGGAATCTAATGGCATTATAAAGAAGGTAGACTATTCCGATTGGGCGACACCCATTGTGCCAGTGTTAAAGAAGGATGGTTCTATAAGAATTTGTGGAGATTATAAAACTACACTGAATAAGCAAATAGAGCTAAATAGGTACCCTATACCTAACATTGAGGAAATTTCTTTGAATTTGGCAGGAGGAGACAAATTCACTGAATTAGACTTTAGTCATGCTTACACTCAACTAGAACTGCATCCAGATTCAAAAGTCTATACGACAATAAACACACATAAAGGACTCTACCAATATGAAAGACTATGTTTTGGCATATCATCTAGCCCTGGAATTTTCCAAGCTGTCATGGACAGTATTTTTAAGGACATTCCAAATGTTTGTGTGTACTTTGACAATGTGTACATAACTGGTAAGAATGACACTGAACATCTTAAAACACTTGATAAAGTATTGAAAATTGTTGGTAAAAAAGGTTTAAAGATAAACAAAGATAAATGTCAATTCATGCTGACAGAAATTAGTTTTCTTGGTTATATATTAAGCAAACAAGGCATCAGACCTCAACCTGAGAAAACAAAAGCCATTAAAGAAGCACCCAAACCTGAAAATACCCAACAACTAAGAGCTTTTTTGGGCTTGATAAATTACTATGCAAAGTTCATAGGGAATCTGTCTGGTAAACTATCACCACTGTACAAGCTGCTACAGAAAAATGCAACTTGGCACTGGGGTAAACAACAAGATACTGCTTTTAATACAGCAAAAGAGGCTTTGTCTGCTGACACCTTACTAACTCACTATGACCCAGGGAAAAGACTTGTATTGACATGTGATGCTTCACCAGATGGTGTAGGAGCAGTCTTGTCCCACATGGATGAGAAGGGTGACAGACCCATTGCTTTTGCCAGTAGATCTTTGAACCAGGCTGAGAAAAATAATTCTCAGTTAGATAGGGAAGGCTTAGGCATCATTTTTGGTGTTAAGAAATTTCATAAGTTTCTGTTTGGTAGGAAGTTCACCATCTTTACAGATCATAAACCATTGCTGGGTTTATTTGGAGAAAACAAAACCCTACCTGAGCATGCCTCACCAAGGATTCAAAGATGGGCTATCACACTAACTGCATACAATTATGAATTGAAATACAAACCTGGATCTGAGAATAGTGCAGATAGTCTTAGTAGATTACCTTTAAAAAACCAAAGCCTGAGCTATGTACCAGAAGATGTATTTGTTCTCTTCATTATCATGGATAACTCCAATATAAATGTGAATGATATTAAGAGAGAAACACAAAAAGATGAGTGCTTAATAAAAGTATATGAGTACTGTAAGAATGGTTGGCCTGAAGAGTCTATGAATGATGACTTAAAGCCATATTAAATAGGAAATAAAAACCTTTGTGAAGATAATATAAAAGATGGAGAAGATACAGTCCATTATCAGTCAGTTACCTAAACAAAGTATTTGTAACTTAATAAATGATTGTGGTGATATGGCAATTTCAAATGTTTTAAAGAGAATACATTAGTAAGAAGGAATGTGATCATCAAACAACTTTGCTAACATCATTAGCACTTACAGAAACTAAAAGGGTAACATCAAAAGGAAAGAAAAAAAAAAGATTTTTGCCATTTAATACACCCACTTCAAATACTAAATGACAGTTGCAAAGTGATATGGTCCAGGATATTACTTGTAAACAGTATTTTTGGTTACCAGGAAAGCACTATCAGATTACCTGAGAAAATTGATCAATCAATGAAATCTATGTCAATTAAGGATCTGAATAATAGCATAATACTTTCAGATGCCAATTCAAAAATAGTTCCATTAAATCATGACAACTCATGCATTGAAAGAGAATTTGGTGTTAATGAGAATGTGTATCTAAGAAACTATGGGAGAAGGGAAAAATGGATACCAGGTCAAATTGTTCAATGTACAGGACCTGTGCCTTATAAAGTTAAAAATAACTTGTGCAGATAATAAGTGTGAATCTGCCAATCCCACCAAATCTGAACAGTTCACACCAACTCAGTTTGTTCCACAACCAAGTTCTGTTGATATGAGTGAACCAAGTTGTCTGGAGTCAGAAAATGTAAATTCTGGAGTTAATGATTTAAATCCTAGACCTCCTGAGATAGAGAATCCAGATGGTCAGAATATTGAGTCACCAAATCAAAAGCCACTGAGAAGGTCAAGCAGGACAATCAAGGTCCCAAATAAGTTAGACCTATGATTCTAAAGGTCAAAAGGACTTTGACATTATTGTTTTGTATTTTGATTATGTTGTAGCATATTGTGCATTGTTTGTAAGGATGTAATCTACCATAGTGTTCATGTTACAATATAATTGGTGATTTCAGGATACTATCAATTGTTCTATTGAGAGATGTGTTATTGTGTTCTAAGGGTAAAGGGATGTAATAGATTGAAATAATTGTGAGGTCAAGGGAACTCACTCTTCTGTATTAGTTATATTTATAATATTGTTATCTTGAGTGATGTCCCTTGTGTTCTTCCTCTCTTTTCGCAACATGGCGTCTGTACATAATAAAGACTGTTAACAACCAATGTGGCTTCCTCGTCAATCTATTATAGTTTGAATGAGTTTTTTAAATAGCTTTTTACTGTGTACTTTTTGTTTAAAATAAATTTCTACCAATAATTAATGTAATTTAATAGCAACAAATATGTAGGCCTATTTTTCAAAGCAAAAAAAAAAAAACTGAGTTAATTCGATTATCTTTTTTTTTAAATTTTTTAAACTCTGGAGTGGTGTTTCATCATCATCTTTTCCCTGTTATGCCCAAGACACACGGAGCCACCCCAGAAAGCTCTTTCCACTTTTTCTGGTCTCTGGCAATTTTCTTGGCAGTCCCCCAAGATAATCTTGCCTTTGTCAGTTGCTTTCTGCTTTGCGCCTCCACATCTCCCCTGGCCTTCCCTGTTTTCTTTTTCCTTGAGGAGTCCAGTTAAGCGCAATTCTTATATGATGTCATGTGCATTCATTATTAAAATGTGCCCCTTTTTTTTCAAACAACTTCAATATCTCATGGATGGGACACATTTTAAGAATGGATCCTGATACAATCACAGGAATAGCGCTGGAAGTCTACAGTCTTTAAAGCTCAGGCTTCTTGGCTGTTTTCACCAATCAATGACTCAGTTATAAATTTTATTTCCTCACATGTTGAATGCAAACATGAAAGATTTCAAATATTAGATGATTCACTTAAAAATATGATTTAATTATGTACACTTAAAAATAATAAAATTTTATTTATACTGTACTTTGGCTTACGTCATTTAAATGTTGATTTTGTTAAATTTGGAATCCACATTTGACTCATTTTATGTGTGTACCCCTCAGAATTATGGGATGTCATGGTCAGATGGTAGAGCACACATGTTGGAGCCTAAGTCCATCCAGCTCTAATTGGTACCTGACTAGGAAAACTATCCATTTATGCAGAGGTCATTTAAACCGATGAACTCTAAATAAGTCAATTTTCAAAGAAATAGAGCTACAAGGATGGTGTGGTCGAATGGTAGAGCATTTGGCTGCTAACCTGAAGGTTTTGAGTTCGGATCTAGGGACTGTAGGCCATCCCTGAGTCCACCCAGCTCTGAAGGGTAAATGAATCACATTAAGGAAAGGCGGCGGGGCATAGTGTTGACCACACCATTCTTTCATATGCCAAGGTCAAGATACATATCAACTCAACTTATAGCCCAATCGATCATTTGGTTAGAAAGGGGAACTTTACAGCTTTGCTTAAACACAAATTAAAGAATTACTGAGTTACTTTTTTTAAAATGGTCAGGAGGTAGAGCTTAAGCCAATGGCCAAAGAATCTTTAGCTTGGTTTAAAGGCTAGAGTTTGTAGCGTATCCCAACAATTCTATGACGCATTTTAAAGAATACAATTAATTTTCAAATCCGATATTACTTGTAAATTATATTAATTAAATACAAGTACTTCATCAACTTCAAGTTTAGAACAATTATTTTAATTAAAAACCAGTAATTACATGTAACAATTATTTAAATTAAATATCAGCACCTCATTTAATTGAGCTCTACATATAAGAAGTAAGCACTGAAGACCACACTATCCATCAGGATGTGCTTATTTAGCTCGTGGATCTAACCCTTTTTTTCCCATTGTTGTAAAACTAAGAAAAACAAATCTTTGAGATCATTAAAAAGATGAGACAGAAACTCATATGTAGCTGGGAGCTTCATAGTTTAGAAAAAGAAGAAAAAGAAAATATGTCCCTTTAAAGTTTACATCACGCTGCTGATTCTTCAACAACTATTTCAATTTGAATGTTGCATCATCCTCAAATATAAAGGTCATAGAGGTATAAGATGTTTGCAAATAGAACTGTATTAAAGGGAAGTATTTTTTCAAAACCTTAAAATTAAATACTTTGGAAACGTCATTATAACATTTTATTTAACGAGCCGACCCGCTGCGTATTATACGCCGCTATTTAGTTTTTTTTCTACTTTTCAGTAATTTATAATTTGTGAATTCGACAGTACCAATGCTGCCATTGAAAATATTTGCTTAAAAACACTAACCCCCCCCCCCCCCCCCCCCCACGTGAAAGCAGCCTCCTCTTAGTTACCTCCTCTAAGTTTAAAATCGTTTCAAACTCAATTATCTGCCCCTAATAGCCGTCACCAAACCCCTCTCTATGATTGTAAAATGTAAACAGAGTGAACACCGCTCACCAGATCATGTGGGGGTGGGGTGGGGGTGGTAGTGAAAGTGATAGAGAGGAAGAGAGGGGACTGCAAAGGCGCGCTTACAGCTTGTTTTCTAACTGATTCCAGAAGAGAATTATATATATAGATCAGATAACAACAGATGTCAAAGATATTTTTTAATTCAATTTTAAAACATAATAAACAACCAGAGAGAAAAAAAACGCAGTTGCATTTCAAATACAGATGTGACATATATATAAAAATATAATACAAGGGTACCTACACATGTTTAAACGTTACTTAAAACAAAAACCTCAACATGTTGAAATTTTGTAAAACAAATATTAACTTTATTTTTTTAAGTTGGTTTTTAATTAATATTTTTAAAAAATTAAATCACATTATGTCAATTTCACATACAATTTAAAAAAAAACTTTACATATCACCAATGTTTTGAATGATAAGTCAATTTCACACAACAACAATAAACTAAAATTACTTATTATTACCAACATTCTTCTCCACTTGTTCCTTACTAAGTTTTAAAAATTTCTTCTTCAAATACTTTATTCTAATTTTTTGCTTTGCTTTAAACATTTCAAGCTGAAAAATCTGTTTCATTTGGCAATTGTTCATCTTTTTCAAATCATTTAGTTCCTCATCTTTGACAGAGATGAGGTCTTCAAGTTTCTTGAATCTATCACAGACCCTCTTGGGCGGGTACTTACTCTTGATTTCATCACACTGTTTTCTCAACTCTATGATTGTTTTTCTCACTAGCTCCGCCTCAGCAGAGACTTTAACATTCAAGACTCTGTGAGAAGCACATTGGACACAATCAAGCCTCAAGTCTGGAGCTGAATTGCTGTCTGCTATAGTTGATTCTTTAAATTTAATTGTTGGCAGTTTTCTTTGTCGAGGGATTGTGAATTTACTTTGAATATAATCTAAAACACTTGGCCAAGATGCTTCAAGATCATTTTTCATCTTGTTTATTTTTGTTTCACATTTCCTAACATTATTTGTACAAGTAGTAATGTTAACTAAAGGAGAGTTTGGCTGTTTTTCCGCCTCTGATCGTAAAAGTTCAGCTATTAGTGCGTACTTGTTGCTGAACTGGTGATAAACATTTAGAAGCCACAGGATATGACCATTAGTTAAGGAAGAGTAGTCTATACTTTTATACCTCTCCAGAAGTTGATTTAGACCTTCAATACTTGGTTGCTCAGTACTTCTGGAACATAATAAAATTGTGTTTTTGAGTTTTTGAAAAAATTGAAATGAAGTTTTATAATAATTTAAAATAAAGACACAATAACAATTATTGACTAATGTGGTGGGATTATGAAGAACATATTTCTGCTTAACATGAAAAAAAAGAAATTTTATTTTTAATTTGCAAATGTAAATGAAAAAGAAATTAAATTCTCACCTAATGGTGTCGTGATCACTGCTCATCTCACTTTCTGGGCCAATTTCTTCCTTAACACTGAAAATAAAATGTTAACAATTTAGTGATTTTTAAATAACTATAAACAGGTGTTTTTGTTTTTAAAAATTGAATCAATATGGATTATATTATTTTTTGGGTTTATTTAAAAATATGTAGAGTAGACATCAAAAGCAATGACAGAAGCAAAAAATGCATTAAGAAAATTGTAAGCAATTATAAATACAAGAAGCTTCAATTATCACTTTTTTTTCTTAACAAGTTCTTACCTATGGGTGCCAGGATCACAGTTCATATAATGTTCTGGGTCAATTTCATTTTTAACACTGAAAAAAAAAATTTGAAATAATAATAATTTTTTTTTAGCTTGAGCTCTTTCACTGAAAACATTGTAAATTAAGTAAAAATAAATGTCCATAACTGCTAGACCATAAACCTGTTTTTCAAACAGTATTCAAAAATTTCGGTCAGGAAGAAATCACACAGGCAATGCCGCATCTAATTAATCTTTTTTCTGATCCCCAACTCCTCCATGGCAGTTCCACCAGGTCCAAAGTCTCTATTTCCACCCACTGACCACAATGCTGGAACATTCTACTCTCTTTCCCCTCATAAAATACTACAGGGTCTATGGACATTCCTTTGATTATGCTGATACACATATATATATATATATATATATATATATATATATATATATATATATATATATATATATATATATATATATATATATATATATATATATATATATATATATATATATATATATATATATATATATATATATATATATATATATATATATATATATATATATATATATATATATATATATATATATATATATAAGTACACATTTCTTATCATAGGGACCTTTTCTTAGAGCTTCTTCAAATAAACAAAGAGAAATTTTAAAAATGATTTTATTCACACTTTTTAATAAGGGTATTTTCCATCTTAAATCTACAAAATATACTTTAGAATCTAAGCAAAATATTTACCAATTTGTCTCTGTAGGAACTATGTCATCATTACCGTAACAAAAAATGTAGGGTGTAATTAATGGATCTATCAAGATACTTTAACCCTTCTAACAACATTGGTTTTGAGACATGGTTAATTACTATAATTACCAAATAGAAAATCTTTAAAATAAACTAAGAATTAAAGTAAGTAATCATTAACAGGAACCTCAATGTTCAGTCAGTTTTACTCTAGCAACTCTAAAAAAATTTTAATGCTTTTAAATAGGCAAACAAAATTTCTCACCAAATTGCATCAGTGTCACTTTCTGGGTCAACTTCTTTCTTCACACTGAAAAAAAATTAGAAAATTTTTAAACAATTATACTCACACTTCAAATTAAACGGAAACCTTTTATTTTACAAATCTCAAGACAAGAAAAGCAAAATAATTTACCATATTTTCTCAGGTTTATTGTGGCAGGTGGAAATACTATCATCAATACTGAAACAAAAAGTATGTGTCTCTGAGAAAACTAAAAGAAATTCTTTAGCTTTATAAATATAAGATGTGAGGCGTGTTACCTTTCTACAAATACCCAAGAGAGAAAAAAAAACATTATGAATAAATGTAAGCAACCATAAACAGGAGCCTCAGGTGATCTCTCTTTTTTTTTTTGGCCAGATCAAGCAGCTCTAAATTTAAAGAAAAGTTTTTTTTTAAATGGGCCAACAAAAATTCTCACCAAATAATGTCAGGGTCACTATCTGGGTCAATTTCTTTCTTAACACTGAAATAAAAATTTTAAATTTTAAAATAAATAACACTTGGCAGGAGGCAACACTTTCACCAATACTGAAACAAAAGTATCTGAGTCACCAAGGAAAGTAACAAAAATATCCAAGAGAAAAGCAAAAACAACATTATGAATAAATTATAAGTCTCTTTTTTTTTTAGCTAGATCAAGCAACTCTAAATTTATTTAAAAGATGTTTTTAAAAAGTAAAACAAATATTCTCACCACATGTTAGTGTCACTTTCTGATTCAATTTCTTTCTTAACACTAAAAAAAATTAACAAAATAAAATTTTTCAATGATATTTACACTTCTAATTAAATGTAGACTCTTTATATCACTATTATATAGATCTACATAATTGAAAAGAAAAACAATGTACCTTATATTCTCAGGTTTATTGACTAACTCGCTGCTGGTGGCAATATTATCAACACTAAAACAAAAGATACAAGAAGAAAAGTAACAAAAATTCTATAGCCCTTTAAATATAAGATTTATGACATGTTAGATTACTTCAAATACTTAAGAAAAAAGTCAAAACAATGTTATGTATAAATGTGAGCAATGATAATTAATTGGGAAACGTGGCCTAACGGTAGAGAGCTAGACTGCTACCCAAGAGTCTCGAGTTTGAATCCGGGTTCAAATCAGTGGAACATCCCTGAGTCCACCCAGCTCTGATGGATACCTTACTTACATTAGGGAAACAGAGACAGCTGGGCATTGTGCTGAACACACTATCCCTTCATATGCCGAGGTCTCTAAAGCAGATGAACTCTACTTTATGTGTCTTGGGCACGAACGGGAAATGATGATGAACGATATTTAAGGGCCTCAGTGATCTGTATCACCTTTTTTAGCCAGATCTAAATATATTTAAAACACGTTTGTATGAGCAAACATAAATTCTCACATATTGGTGTCAGGATCGCAGTTCATCTCACTTTCAGAGTCGATTTCTTTCTTAACACTGAAAACAAAATAAACAATTCGAAATTTTCAAATAATTCTATAGACATTTTGTCAACACAGGGCAATTTTATTCTTAATGCAGAAAACTAAATTTTAAATTAATTACATACAATATTTGTTATTGGATGTAAGTAAGAGGTATAATAAAATTCTTGAACCTGTTAAATATAACTTAATCCCATCAAGTTAGGTTCACTAACATATTTTGTTTTATATAGTAAATGTGACTTTTACAAAAAGGCCTACGTGGGATACATGCAAAAAATTTAAACAGCACTGGTCTAGATCAGGGGTCTCCAAACTACGGCCCAATGCGGCCCTCGAAGTCCTCTCATCCGGCCCGCTGCGATCTTTTTGTCCACGGAAAAATCGTTTGTTGGTGACGGCTGAAGAGCTTTGCCCAGAAAAATCAAAGACATGCCTGGAAGAAACTGGCCCCCGAACTGAAATTTGATAGTTAATGCGGCCCTCGGACTGAAAAGTTTGGAGACCCCTGGTCTAGATAAAAGCTTTAATGAGAGTGAAAATAATTTAAAAGAATTATATTAATACACCTTCACATTTTAAACAAATGTTTTACCTTGTTAGGTCTGGTGCTCTGAAAGACTGAGGATTTGGGTCAAGTCTGTTCTCTTTCTCATTGCTGTATTTAAATTATTTAAGATTAGTAGAGTGTAGTTTGACATGGGGCGGAGGGGCATTTCTTTATACTCTGACCTGGGTATGGTCAGAAGCAGGGTTCATGATAAGAATAGAGCCAAAAAAATTGATACTGTATTATTGCTATTAGATCTAGTAATAATTTAACAAAATACAAGTATATAAACATACTAAAATAACTTTTATTTAGATCGAATAGTAACCTGTGGTCATAGAACAAATTTACTAACTAAATCTACTACTAAATATAGGTCTACTACTAAAATAAGGTCTTGTTTGAGAATAAATGTTTTTAATATAATGAAATGAACATGAACCTTACCTTATAGTAAATATTTCAACAAGAGGGAGTTCATCTCCATCAATAATGCTGCCATCCATGGTGAGCAATCACTGGAAAGTAGAACAATAATTTATAATAAAACAAATGTATAAAGCAGCTTTATAATAATAAATGGGATGGTGTGGCCTAAGCGGTGGGGCCCTAGGCTGCTAACAAAAAAAACAGAGTTAGAATCTGGGTTAAAGTCAGTAGAATGTCTCTGAGTCCACCCAGCTATGATGGGTACTTGTCTCATGTTAGGGAAAATAATCGTGGCTGGACAAAGTGCTGACTACACCTTCTCTTCATATGCCAAGGTCAAGAATCATATGAACTCTACTTCATCTGCAAAATGGATCGCTAGGTCTAAAGAGGATTCTTTACTTTTTTTAAAAATTTAGAATAATAAGCTTTTAAATCCACTGAAAATAAGATAATAAAACTAATTTGCTTTTTTTAAATGCATTGATCGCAAAATGTGTTGGAAGATTTCATAAGCAACTAATGCTTTTATCTTTTAAAAAAGCAAATTACTGGTAATTAATTTTCTTTTCTTATTTTTAGTGCATTTAAAAATGTATTGCTATAATACTATAAAGATTGTTTTATTTGTTTTATTTTCCACTTTTTAGTAATTTGCTCTAAATGAAATTGACAACATATATACTGACTAGATCTAGATTAGATCTAGGCCTAAATCTACAACTAAAATTATTTTAATTAAAACCCAATCAGTAGCTTGCAATTTCTAAAAGATGTGTAACTGCCCCTTCCTAGTCTATGGTTGACTCTCTGGCAAAAAAAAAAAAAAAAAAAAAAAAACCAGCCATGAAAAATAGTTAAAATACAGTTCAGGGTTGTTGGGTAGTGGATTGAGCAATTGCTTTAACTTGCTTATCATTGCTGTACTTTAAATAGGCCTAGACTTTAATAAAAGTTTAATGACTAATTCAATATCCCCTATTCTATGTACTATGTGTATGTTGCCATATCTAATTAATAATTATCTATGAAGTTGACATGAAAACCGTTTTCAGAAAACGTCATTCATTGTGATGATTGTGTCGTTCTCAAAATGTAGACAGACATATAACTTTATTATAAAAAAATTTATAAACATATCATATCACTCACATAGATCTAGATCTTCTAGATCTAGATTTCTCTAGAATCTAGATCTAGATTCTAGTAGAGTATTGTTGAGTAGACCAAAGCAAGAGGTGGAGGGAAGATAGCTAATTTAATTACTTAAGATTTAAGATTAAAGTAAGAATACGGCTGGAGTAGACCTAGAAATTAACTAAAGGGAAATCACTCTAATATTTCTTCAAGAATGATGGCTGTTGTTTTTAATAGGCATAGCTGTTCTACTAAGTCATTCAACGTATTGTGCTTTTGTTTTTAGTTTTTATTATTATCTTACTCTTGTCTAAAATACCGTTTTTTTAATGATGATTGAAATTTTCTACCATTGCTTTGGTCATTGCTGGTGATTCTAGATCTAGATCTATTTATTAGTATGTTGCTTTAATAATTACTAAATTTTCATAATCTGCTTGTTTAGGCCCTACACTTTTTCACTTTGTCTCTTTAGTGAGTTTAGTCTTTAATGTTTAGTTACAATAGTTACAATAGTTAGTTAATTAGGCCTATTATAATTATATTAGGCCTAGACATAGATCTAGTCTAGATCTAGTTTAATTTTTTTATTTTTTATTTTCTTATAAGTTATCATCGGTTATTATTATTGTAGTAAAACAAAAATGTTAGAGTCCTTTTTTTGATGACTAAGAAATGAAAGAGCAAAAACAGTGATAGTGTACTTTGAATTAGCTAAGATCTAGTAGCTATACTCAACTACTGTACTATTCACTATTGTATTAGGCCTAATTACTATTAATTTAATATATTATATAGGCCTAATTGTCGAGTAATTGATAATGTATCTGATTCTTTAATAAACCTATTAATTAAAATAAATATAATATTCAAGTATGTAGGCCTAATTGATTTGTACAGTATAATAATAGATAGGCCTACAATGTAGAAATTCTCTAATTAGCTAATATATCTATATATTTTAATATAGCTTGTTTCGGCTTGAATAGATCAACGGGAATCTAAATTAAAGCAAGCAATATGGGAACTGGTGGATCTTTCATGCGTTCCCATGATGATGAAGATATTTTGGGATCAGATTTGGAAGGAACCAATGGTGTTTTAAAACGTATACCCATTGAAATCAAACCAAGAGGGAAACTAGGCCTTCGCAGTGTTGGGTCACTTGGGAGAAGTAAACCAAAAGGTGGAAGTTTAAGGTAAGTTTTTCAATGAATGATACTATTATTAAGAAAAAAGTATTGCACACAAAAAAATCTTTTCAGTGAAAGTTTGTGAGTAATGTTAAGTGATTAAATCTGGGCTGTATGGGTAAAGAGATTGTGATTGGGTAAATAAAAAAAAGAAAACAGGCAAGAATTATATGGCACTGAAATTATGAAGGAGAAACAGTGAAGTTTTTATCAAATCCAATATTTACTACAAGTTTCATTGTAAAGTTTATTTTTTAATGTAAGGTATACAATTTTTAAAAGTAGTACTTTTATTACAAAATATTTTAGCATCTTGGGTCACAAATAGACTAGTCTATAACCAGCACATTGATTGCATGCCTTTTACATTTCAGATCAGCTCTTTCAATGGATTTAGAAAATCCAGAAGTAGAGCGAATCCGGAAAGATTTTGAAATGTACCGGCTGAACAAAGACAATGAAATAGCTAACATGCAAAAGAAGGAACAAAAGCTTGAAACAGAAAATAAAAGATTACGAGCTGAACTGCTAGCACTGCAGAAAACATGCACTCGAATGCGAGCAGAAAGAGATGCTGCTCTGGAAGCAGAACAGGAAGCCCTAGCTCGAGCTTCTGTTTTTGAGTGTGACAGAGATAAAGTGCAAAGACAGTTTAAGGTATTGTTGTTTATGAAGCTATGCCACAGTGCAGCCTAGCAGTAACCCAAAACTTGAGTTGGAATCCGGGTTCAATTCAGTGAAATATCCCTGAGTCCACCCAGCTCTGATAGGTACCTAACTAACGTTTGGGAAAGTAAAGATGGCTGGGTATAGTGCTGACCACATTATCCCTTCTTATGTCGAGGTCAAAAAACATGTGAACTCTACTTCATCTGTACAGTGGATTGCTAGGTCTAAAGAGGAATCTTGACTTTACTCTAATTTGATTTGTAAAGCTATAATATAAACATAAGTACAAGATATCAGTTTTATGCAGTGTTCTGTTTATGCAAATGTAAATGTTTTTAAACCCTAAAGAAATATGGTACACAATTGTTTTCAACAGAATTTAGTTTTGAATTCAGGTAACTAAATTGTGTTATTCGTAATAGCTTTTCAGAGAAACAAAAGAAAGTGAGATCCAAAATTTATTGCGAGCCAAACAAGAACTGGAGAATCGTTTATCCAAACTGGCATATGGAGGAATTACTCAGGACGATAGTGATTCACAGTCTAGACCTGGCATTGTTGATCTTGGTAAAAATATTTATTTCCAACTATTCTAATTTTATTTTGTGTTACATAAATGTAGCCTATAGAAGATAATTATGGGTTGTTTTTTCTCTTCTTTTTTCAAGTTTAATGTAAAAAAATCCATCTGACTTAGAAATTTACAAAATCAAATTTTGTCAGTGCATTTTCTTAACAAAATTCTCTTTTCTTATCAATATTTTTCTTGACTGATTTTTAGGCAATTCCCATCCTGGTGACTGGTGGACTGCGCTAGAGAGTGAACCATCTCTTGGATCAACTGTCCAGTTGCACCAGGCAGCTTATCTCAGAGGTCCTGAGTTTGCATCCACAACTTTAGAGATGGATGGGCCATTTATGAATGTCAATAAAGGTACTTGGTCAAATGTTAACACAAGATGCCCCCTCGTCAGTGAAAATGAAATAGCTCTCAATTTATTCCAAATAGGTGTTAATTTTCTACCTCAAACATGGAAATGTGTATAGCTTCACTACTGCTATTTGAAAACCGGTCTTAGTAGTGATTGACACTTACAGATTATAAAACAAAAGTAAAATTAAACCATAAGATAGTAATGCCTGCTTAGCCCCTTGCTAATGCTCCTAGAGGTATACTGAAGCAGATCAGTTTAGCATTGCTCTTAATCTTTTGGCATGGATTAACATTCCTAGAAAGCTTACATTATACCTAAAAAGCTGGACTACTTCTTACTGACCATAGTTTATGAAATTGTAATGAAAAAAAATTAAATTTAATAAAATAATGCTGTAAACACACATGCTACCTATACATCTGAACATCTTTTTTTAAAAATTCCTAACAGAGGATTGGAACCTGACTGTCATGAATGGCAACAGAGTGTTCCCAGCCATTCCTCCACATCTTGTTAGTCAAACAGTGCGAGTGTACGCATCAGTCTCCCCTGACATGGTGATAGAGTACCAGAAATTCACTGAGGTATTAACCAGCTATAAATCTTCATCGGGCATAGTGCTGACCAAACTATACCTTCATATGTCAAGGTCTCTGAAACAGTTTAACTCTACTTCATCTGCCCTATGTGTCTTGGGCACAAACAGGAAAAGATGATGATAAACCTTCAACATCATATTTTCCCTTTCTTGTCCAAGACATATGGGGCAGATGAAATTTAGTTAACCTGTCTCAATGATTCGGCATACAAGGGGAGCGTGTGGTAAGCATTATGATTTGTGCTGTGATTTATCAATTAGTTAGCTGTGAATTTTTTAGCCAGTTTCTCTCTACTGCAGTCAGGGGTAATGTAGCCAAGGCTCAGTAATCTGTATATTTATTTCTTAACTAATCTGCTACATGTCTTCAGGATTATCTTCCCAAATTATGTGAATTGTGTGAGAGAGAAGGAAAGACTTTAGCCTTTGTTTATTTACACTGTGATTTGCACAAAAATGAAACACTTGTAAGTAAAAACACTCCTACAACAATAATTTGTTTCCTTGTTGATTTACCAGTTTGTATTTTAAATAATAGAGTTCTATTCATACTTTTACATTTAGTATATAAAATGTCACTAAGTTATTATCCAGCTTACAGAAGATCAGGTTACTTAAACCAAATGTTAGTGACAAGCTTAAATGTTCATTTATAAATCCTTTTGCTTTTAATATTTCTGGTAAGTTAAAAATTTTAAATTTAATTTAATTGAACTTTAGTCTAAAGATAGGATTCTAAATTTAGCTTCTTTTTAACATGAATCTTATAAAAGAAAAGTTAATTAAAAATTTTAAATTGTGTCAATTTACAGACTACAGAACTAGAGATCAACATAAGAAAACAACAAATTCATTTAGCTGTGATATTCATTGCATTTTTGGGAAGTTCCTTAAATAGGTAAGTCTTGTTTCTACAACATTGTATTGACATTTTAAATTAATTAGTATTTTTCTACTACAAATAAAATGTTATTTAAGTGTTATTTTTTTATATTGGACTGATAATTATTTTTTAATATAATATATGAGTGTAAAAATATTTTTTAGTAAAATACAAGAATTGAACAAATGGATTATCTTTTTGTTTTTTTCCACATAAATGTTGCCATATTTCTAATTGCTACAGGTATACACACCTGGATATTAAACATGCTCACCTGGATAATCCTGGATCAAAAACATCCATCTTTCTTATGTCAGAAACTACAGACAATAAAAGGTAAATAGCTTAAATTTTTCATTCATTGTGTATCTGAAATCTTTTTTTAAATTTTAAAAAGTTAATAATGTTGAATTATACTTAAAATGTATTTTCAGTTGCAGTATACTCGGAAAAAAGTTTAAAAAAATACTTTTAACGTTACTGGGTTTTTTTTAAATATTTTTTTTACTTTGGTTGGTTCTGCCAAGTTCTATGTCTGATAGAATGAGTTTTTCTATCTCAAAGCAATAAAACTTTTTTTTTTTTAATTTATAGGTTAGAAGTTAAAAATAAACAACTGTTTCCCATTATTTTCAGCTCCAAATCCAGCCAGGAGATGAGAGAGTTGAAAAGAAAAATCAGAGAATCTGTAGCACCAAGAGTCCACATTGTCCACACCTCCCCCTCACCTGGAAACACAGCGCAGGCAGCCTACAGAGACCTGGAGCGGGTTATCAAAGCAGTAAGGGGGTCAAGTCACACATTAAATTCACACATACTAAACTTCCATCAGTCTAGTCAAAGGTCGTCCTCATTTAACCCAAATATTCATATTATTCAAGCCTTAGGTCTAGTTTTTGTTAAATGTCATTCAGTCTAGTCATGATTTCAAGTTGCAAAGCTTAATTTATCCTTCTACTTCATTATACTACGATGTAACTAAAAATAAATGTAATAACTTATAATGAAACAGTTTTGTAAAATTGTTGGTACAATTTTTTTTACTTATGCAAAAAATAACAAACATAATTCCATGTAGCAATAAAAAAATATATAAATTATTTTTTTGCTGTATCGACTATGTAAAATGAGTTTTAGCAGTAGATTTGTTAAAGTTATTTTTCTGTGTAATTATTAGAATTAACTTTGATTTTAAAATTTTGAATGTTGTATTTCATGGCTACTCTTCCTCCAGGATTTGGGCACAGATAAAGAGAATTCTGATAATGTCATGGCTGATTGCCTAGGGGGCTCCACTATTGACCTACAATGTGATTCTGAACAAACAGATTCTCTTAACATGGCAGTTGTCTCCACATGTGAAATAGGTTTTGAGAAGGTAATCTATATTAGCTTTGTTTTAAATTTCTAATTTTAATAAACATAAATATACAATGTGATTGTGAAATCTGTAAATGGTATAAATAAATATAGAAATAAATATTTCAAATAATTTTTTATTGTTATTTTATGAATAAAGCAGCTGCAATATTTTAAGTGTAGCATAAGTCATATAAAAATAGTAATGTTAAATAAATTATTTTAAAAACATTTGAGGATACATGGCGATATCATATTTGTTATGACATTCTAAAATGAGTATTTATTAAATTCATTTTAAAAATTGTGTTAAAATATTAACACTAAGCTGAAAAAAAGCTTTTTTGCCATGTATAAGGACATGTTTATTGAAATTTTAGTATTGCTGGTGGTAGGACTAGCAGTAGAATTATATTCATATTTCAATACATGTTGCTGGACTAACATTTTTGTATTTCACTGTATGATAACAGACATAATAAGACATACATTATGTGTATTTCTGTCTAACTGAAAACATGACTGACAATATATATGTATTCATATTTCAGTATTACGAGCATCTTAACACTCAGGTGTCTGCTGCTGGTCCACTTCCTCCTTTACTGGTTGTTGGTAGTCCTGGCTCAGGGAAATCCTTGCTCATGGCCAGATGGTAATCCACAGTAGTGTTTGGCTTTTGTTGGTTAAAATTAATTAATTCTTAACACGCAATGTCTTGACCATGAAATCATTTTAATTTTTTTTTATCATTTTCACTTATTATTAAATGTATGCATTATTTTCTAATTTTTATTAGCAAATTAAATTCTTGTGTTTTTTTTGTTTTTTTTTAATCCTAGTTAGTAGAATTTCATTTAATCTTTTAAAATTAAAAAAAAAGGGCCTTTATAATGTTTGTCAAATCAAATGCTTTTATATTTTAATGCATACTTTTTTTAACATTCTCTAATGCAGGCTTACTTTTTGCTAAAACAGCTAGTACTGTATTGAGGCTATGAATTTATTTTACTTAGGCTTCAACTTCAGGAAGAAAAAAACCTGTCCAGTTTATTGTTGTACCATTTTGTTGGTACTCCCTCATCTGTTAGTGCTGACCCTATAGTGATGATACGCAGGCTCACTGCCCAGGTATTCTCTTGCTGTCATATGTATTTTCTTGCTGTCATATGTATTCTCTTGCTGTCATATGTATTCTCTTGCTGTCATATGTATTCTCTTGCTGTCATATGTATTCTCTTGTTGTCATATGTATTCTCTTGCTGTCATATGTATTCTCTTGCTGTCATATGTATTCTCTTGCTGTTATATGTATTCTCCTGCTGTCATATGTATTCTCCTGCTGTTTATATGTATTCTCTTGCTGTCATATGTATTCTCTTGCTGTCATATGTATTTTCTTGCTATCATATGTATTCTCTTGCTGTCATATGTATTCTCTTGCTGTCATATGTATTCTCTTGCTGTCATATGTATTCTCTTGCTGTCATATGTATTCTCTTGCTGTCATATGTATTCTCTTGCTGTTTTATAAACACTGCTTGTGCACTCACATATACTGATGTGTGAATCTATACAACACATATATTTATAGTGTGCTTTTATAATCTGTAATTAGTTAAGGAAAAACCATCACACATTGCCAATAAGAAAATAAACATTTTTAAAAAATGCCATTTTTATTCTATTCTTAAAGCTTCACAACCTTAATTTTTAAAGATACCTGTTTTAAACATACATTTAAAATTTCTCAACTTTTTCTCATCCTATTTAAAACTTTGGTACTGTAATCAAATTGAGCTTGAGACAAATTGATATAATATGGTTACCAAGGATAAATTCAACTGTACTGTATTTGTGTTGGTAGCTTATGCAGCAAGTCTCCACACCACCTGCCTTAACATGTGACCCAGTGAGATTGGTTGAAGAGTTCCCAAGATGGCTGGAAAAAGTGTCTGCTAAAAGTTTAGGTGGAGTTATCCTTGTCTTAGACTCTGTAGACAGGTTTCAAGTTAGTATTTTATTTCTTGTTTATTTTAAAACAGGAATCTTATTTTTAAAATCATTTATTTCCAACACATAAATGAAACTTTTTTTTGTTTTAAATTCAAAATTTAAAGTGTTAAAAGGATATAAATATATACAAATTACAAACTTCTGAATTATTTTAGTCTTTTAATTCCTACAATCATACCTAAAGAAATCTTTTTATTTGTTTTTGCGAACTCACCATGACTTAAATGCTATTGTAATTGACAAAGTTTAAAGAAAAACAAAGAAGTATCCTTGTTATATTTAGTAAAATGGCCTGTTGTGTTTTAGCTTGCAGATGTTCATTTGAAGTGGCTTCTGGATCCCCTGCCAGTGGATGCTAGAGTGATTGTGTCTGTAGATGAGGAAACATGTCCGCAAGCCTGGAGGTAATTTATTTTTTGTTCAGTTTTAAGCCTGCGTTATCTTTTATTAGAAGTAGCATTTTTACTAATTTTTAGATCAGTTGTACACCATATATCCTTAGTGCCACTGTTTCCTAACGAAAAAAATATTTGAAAAAAATGTTTTGTTCATTTCAGCAATTGTAATTAAACTTGGCAGTTGCCATTGTACAAGTATTAATTAAATCACTGTTTAATATGCCAAGTCAGATATACCTTGTTGAAAAAAAAAATAGTTATAAAGGGCAACAATAACCAAGGAAGACAATTTTAATTTCATTCCTAAAACTTGTTTAAAAAAGTAGAGAAATTTATTTTTTAAAAGCTTAAAGATGGGTTTTATTCTTTGTTATTATAATGAACATGAAATATGGGAACCTTATATCACTGCTTGTTTAAACCAGCTTATAATATTGCCTTAATTGTTCTTACAAATGTGATTATTAAATTGTATTTTTTATGTAACAATTTTAATTTTTTTGTAAATATTTGAACCATGTTATAGACCCATTCACACTCACTTATGTTCATTGTGGAACAAAGTGGTATTTTAAGATCATGCAGCGTTGATACACAGCAATAAACAAAGTTTAGTCATTGAATTATGGAACTTCGTGTTATTTACAGATCATGGCCAACATTGCACATGGAGACTAACTCAAGCAAGCTGGTCAAGGAATTATTACTGGCAGAGTTGTCCTCCCTGAATGCTAGTGTAGACCCTGAGATTGAAAGAAAAATCATTGGTCAGTGCCGGACTCAATCTATGTGCTGTCCACTTTATGTGTCCTTGTTAGCAAGACATATTGCCAGGTATGTTCTTTGAAATCTGATGATTTATTTTCTATAGTTATATTAAGTTTATGTAATAGTCAATCGATGCACATTTTTTTATTGCTTGTAGTAAGCTTAAGTAGATCTCACTGAGTTTTGTTGCGAATATATATATATATATATATATATATATATATATATATATATATATATATATATATATATATATATATATATATATATATATATATATATATATACATATATATATATACATATATTTATATATATATATATATATATATATATATATATATATATATATATATATATATATATATATATAGATATATACATACATACATATATATATATATATATATATATATATATATATATATATATATATATATATATATATATATATACATATATATATATATAATTTATTTCATTCTTGTGTTGGGGTTGTAGTTCACTGGTTAACATTGTTGTATTTCACCCCTAGCCTTGGTAAAGCCAGCACAGCAGAGGTGGACCATCATGTGACGACACTATTGAACTGCGCTGACAGCTTTGAGCTCTACTGCTGCTTGCTGGACCTGGCAATGGACAACATGACCAGTGATATGAAAGTATTTCTACGACAGGTCAGTTGCAGTAGTTTTTTTTTAAACTGAATAGAGCTGTCAAGTTCTAAAGTACATTTATTTTTATGGCTGGATCATTTTATTCCGAAGCACTTATTAATAAGTAAGTTTTTGAATATTGTTTAAATTTAGTTTTTTGATACAGTATAAATATGCAAGATAAAGCAAACACAAACACATTGTAAAATGTACTATTTTTGTGTTTTCATTTCTTTTTAAAATCAGGTGTTACAATTCATCTATGCTAGCAGATGTGGGATGTTGGAAACAGAATTACTTGCCCTTGTCGCAGATTTAAAATGGCTAGATTTAGCCTATTTATTTGAGTATCTTTCATCTCACTTGTTCATCAAATACCAACTGGGAATCCTCACTTTTGTTCATGCACAGGTAAATTCTACAGATATATATATTTACATTGAATTCTCTAACTATAGCTTTGTAAGTAAATTGTTCTTTCAAAACTTAAGGTCAGTTGCGCAGATGAAGTACGGTTCACCTGTTTAGATAATCGTGGCACATAAAGGAATAGTGTGGTCAGTTCAATACCAAGCCACATTTAACTTTCTCTAATGTTAGTCACGTAATTATCTGAGCTACAGATTCAAGTCCAGGATCCAAACTCAAGACATTTTTTTAGCAGTCATGTGCTCTACAGCCCAGCCACTTCATCCCATTTTACAACTACTTAAATATTTTGAAAAAAATATTTTTTTTTAAAACTGAAAGTATTTTTTTTTATTAATTAATCAGGCTCAACAGGCTGTTTTTGAATATTTTTTCAAAAACAACATTGAGGGTTTAAATGATGCCAGGAATGTACTTATTCAGTATTTCCAAAAATTGATTGGGTAAGTCTTTTTATATTTAAAATTTAATGCTTTACAACTTCATGTTTGATGTACCAGTGTTAAGCTGTTATTCAAATATTTCAGGTAGTTGATTCACAAAACCTTTTTAAAAAATAAATTAAATGTAATGAAAGCCAGGTGATGACTATATGCATTGCAATTGTATACATTATTCTTTTTACAAGAAATAGTATATAATTCAGTGACATTTCCTCTGTAGTTTAATAATGTAATGAAAATAAAATATTATTTAATATAACTTAATTCTGTGTTTCATTCACTATTTTTTTGAAATTACTCAATAAGTGATGGTAATAGTACTAATAGTTAATGTTGTATTTAGACCAGGTAAAGCTCACAGTAGAGCTGTGGATGAGCTCCCTTGGCTTATAAGCCAAACAGGCAATAAAGAACAGCTAGAAAAATGTATACTTGATCTTGGAGTCTTTCAACAATTATGTGCCAAGTAAATATTTATTTATATAGTATATATTTATGTAATTAATATATATATATATATATATATATATATATATATATATATATATATATATATATATATATATATATATATGTTTATTATTTTTTGCACACCTCTTTTACATTAATTTTTTTTTTTTACATAAGCCAATAATTTTAATTGATCTTGCAACTTGTATTCACTTTTCATCTTAGAGGTCGAAGTTCAGAGCTGCTGAGTTATTGGCAAACAGTGGAATGGGAAAAGGAAAAAATGGCAGAGGCTTATTTCACAGCTACTAAAGCTTTTGAAAATGGTAATTGTTTTTTTTTTATCAGTTGATACTGTTTTAGATTACTTTTTACTTGTGCTTCAGTGTTGCTGACAGTTTCATACACTTTAGTACAATTTACCCATTACATTAAGTGATCCAGCTGGAACAATTTATTTAACTAATAATAAAATCATTTCAAGTTTCAATGGGGCCTGATGAAACATTGATATAATGTGTTTTCTAATTCTGAAACAAAGTGTTTTTTTTATTATGAACTGAAACTTAAATTTTTATTTTTATAGAAACAGTTCATAAAAATGGCAGCCTTCTCAAAGTTGCTGAAACTTATGAAACTCTTGGGCGATTCCTCCGAGATTTTGGCCATTTACCACAGGTAACTTTTAACTCTTTTTGATGAAGAACATTTAACTCTACAACAAATTAGTTCTTTTCTAATAGAGCTGAGGTTGATTAAAAAAAAAAATTAAAATTGTAAAACCGTACACAAAGTACGAGGTGGATCCTAAATCATAAATTAAAAGCAACGATATTAATCAGTCCAAATATTTCTTGTTTTCAATTTTCTGTTCTGGTTGTTGATCTTTATTTATGATACTAAATGCACTCATACTGCCTATACTGCAAAAATAGGAAGAACCAAATTTAAATTTAAAAATTATTATTTTTATAATGGAATCGATTATTAGATACATTTTTTTGCAATATCATTAAAATTTAATATATTTTAAAATTCAACTTATATTCCTCTTTTAAAAAATGGATAATAATCCTATAAACTATTTTAAAACTTGAGCTCTGCTGTTTCTGTAATTATCAGTGTCTGTATGTTATCAGTTAAACATCATCACACTACAACAACCCACTATAAAAAGTTGTCATCTTCTTGCAAGGCTGAAATAACCTGGGTGCATTGTGTTGTTTTAGGCATTACCTGCCCTGCAGAGAGCCCTAGAAATAAGAGAGACTGACCTTGACCCTGACGACCCCCTAGTGGCCAGATCCCTTCACCAGCTGGCTGGGCTGCATGCCCAATGGGGCAAGTACAACACAGCTGAGACCCTGTACAGACACGCCCTAGAGATCTGCCAGAACACGCTGGGAACAGAGCACCCCATGGTGGCCAAAACACTGGACGCGTTGGCCATTTTGTACCAGAAGCAGGACAAGTTTGTTACACATTTTTTTTTATATTTTCAAAGAATATGTTTTACATTGCGTTTTATCAAACAAGATGTACATAGTCATTATAAGTATTCTAAAATTATATTTAAATATTTGAAACAAATTTCTATTAAATATTTATACAACTTAGTAAATAGAATATTAAAACATAGGAACATTTGTAGTACTTTTTTTTTTTAAATTATTTAATTGTTATTAATTGTTTATTTTTATGATAGGCATGACTTGGCTCACCCATTAAAAAAAAGAGCGTTTGCCATCAAGAAGAAAATTAAAATGCCAAGAGGACAAATGGTAAGTGGTTAAAGTTTTTTCTTTTTAACTCAAGATACTGTTACATACTTTGGCCACTGAAACAGATAATGCTCTTGATGGTAACCTTGATGTCTTGCCAAGTTCTGTTTGGCTAAATAACGTCAAGCATATGTTGGTATAAAAAATATGCCTGATATAGAAAAGAACTTATAACTGATATTCAGTTCTCTCTATTTGATTTTCTTTTTACAAATGTAACTTTACTTAATATTTTAAAAAAAAATTTTTAATGCATAAATAAATTTTTCCCTAACAATCTTCAAAAATAAAGGGTGACACTGGAATTGATCCACTTCAAAGAAGAGCTCTTCAGCTGGAAGAACTAGTTATGGGCCCTGACTCAACTGATTTGGCCAGATCATTAAATGAATTGGGAGTTTTATATTATTTACAAAACAACACTGAGTAAGTACTCAGTCTTAACTATTAAACTACTTTCAGTTACAGTTTACAAAAGAAAAATAATTACACAAGTGTTAAGTATCAAGATTTCAGTTTTAAATTTTATTGAGATTATATTTGCATTGCATCAACTAAAGGAAATTCAGAATAAATATTCTTTATGGATTACAAATTTTACTCTTCCTTAACTTATTTTAAATTCATGTTTTTCAAAACAACTTTCAGTGCCGCTGAGTCTTTCTTCAAACGTTCTCTGGAAATGCGTGAGTCCCTGCTAGGGGCAGATCACCCAGATGTGGCCTGCTCACTCAACAATCTGGCAGCCTTGTATAATGACAACAAGATGTACGACAAAGCTGAGCCCCTCTACGACAGGGCGCTGAAGATTAGAATGAAGGTCAGTGTTGACAGATTGATCAGATCATATTCAATTTGTTTGATCTTTTGAATGTTTGGGACTTGACAAGTTATAAGCTGTATTACCTGCTAAAGTTACTGGTATTTATTGATAAAAATTTGATCTTTTGAATGCCTGGAAATTAAAAGTTATAAGCTGTATTACCTGCTAAAGTTACTGGTATTTATTGATAAAAAATTGTATTGTTTTATTTGTAAGTATTTTAATGGCTAAAAATACTCAGTTATTTTATGGTTAAGTCTAATCTTGTTAATTTTTTTTTGTTAGTGCCAGAACCCTGACAGTCCAGGTGTGGCCAGCATCATTAACCATTTAGCCAGGCTATACAAGCACCAGGTAAATAAAAAATTGATATTACATTTTTCTAATGTAATATTTTCTAAGACTGTGAAAGAATGCCAAACAACAGAGGGAGGAAAGTAGTGTAGCACTATACAAGCGAAGGGGGAAAAAAAAGGCAGACCTGGGCTGAGATGGGTTGATGATGTGGAGATAGACCCAGACAGCTAGGTGTCCATACATGGAGGAAGAAGATAAAAGACAAAGGTGGCCAAAGTTCTCCATGGGCTGTTCAACTACATGAATGCAATGGATGGATTATATTTTTCTAGAAATTTTAGTTCAAAAACATGTTTTTTAAATAGAAAATGTGAATATATTGATTTTCAAATTCCTACTTCCTGTGTGTAACTCTTCATTGTTTAGGGTAAATATGACAAAGCTGAGCCACTTTATAAGCAAGCAATGGACATAAGAGAAAAAGCCTTTGGGGCTAACCATCCATCTGTGGCTACAGCACAAGTTAACTTAGCTGTTCTTCTCTCACAACAGGTTAGTTTCTACACATTGCTAGATTTTGTTTTTTTTGCTGGTGTTTATTTGTTGCCACATAAATACTTGTGAAGCCCAATGTTTTTTTAAATTAATCTGTTTGATTATTAACTTATTTAACTTATAAATATGCTTTGTGGGCAAAAAAAAGAAATTTATACAAAAATAATCAGTTCATGGCCTTTTAGAATGTAAATTTTAATCTGTATTTTTAATCTATATTTTTAAAAGGTTAAATTTTTTATTCTGGAAAACAAATTTATATGTAATCTCTCTAAATTGTCGTTAGAATCGCTACACAGAAGCTGGGCCATTGTTTGAGCAAGCTTTAAAAATCTACGAGGAAACATTAGGGCCATCACATCCAAGGGTGGCTGAAACACTCAGGAACCTGGCAGTCATGAAATACGAAGAGGTATGACTTAACATGACTTATCACTGTCCACTCATTTACTTCAAGAAGTTCGTCTCTTAATTCTGTGCATAAGAAACTCAATAAACTTTCATCTATTGCTTGTATAGTAATAACTCCTGGCTACATCACATCACCAAAATTTAGTGCTTGACAAAGAAAACACAAATAACTGCTCAGACTATTCATGAAAGTTACCTCATATTCTCTATATAACTGTCCTTCCTTTTTTCCTGATGAATTTGGAACTGAATTTTTACAGGAGGATTTCCAAACAGCAGCACATTACTACAAGCGAGCTACGGAGATCAGAGATCAAGTTACAGCGTACAGCGACAAAGTCATGTCGAGGCCTGGTTCTAGTATCGATACTAATTCTACTGTCAAGAATTTATGACATTTATAAAATAAAAATTATTTTATATATCTCTATTGTATACACAGTACTTACAGTCTTTGTACAATAAATTTAAAGTTTACATTTAATGTCATCAAGTACTAGACCTAATTGTTAATAGCTTAAAGTTACAACAGATTGAATCAATGTTATTTTTAAAAACAATTGTGGTTCTTGGTCCACAATACTAAATGATAGAAACATATTTTCTGGCCGTAGCCTTATTTTTGAAGCATTGTTTGTAAGTATTTTTTACATTTTAAATTAGTGTGGTAACCAATATTTTATTCTACATTTTAAAACATGAGGTATTTTTTTACATTATGTTGTGTTGTTTTGTCATGCAATTCTCAGGGATCTCTCTATCTAGATCTGTCTCAGTCCAGTTTTACAAGAATTGAAATATGTATCTTTGTATATGCAGAATTTTTGTATATTAGTTGATTGCTGATGATGTACATTTCACTATGTAGAACTTACATTTTTTTACTGCCATAACTGACTTGTTAGTAAATAATTCATTATTTAGTGTTTGTTTTTTTATTTGACCTCATCTGCCTAATTGAATATTTATGTTTTAATCATAAGTAGTTTAACCAGCTGTTTGGTTTTCAATGTATTTCATCAGGCACTAATTTTAAAACAAGTCAGTTTTGGTTTGTTTCTTAAGTGCAATTTCAGTTTTTATATTGTATCTATTTTTGTAAATGAATGACCATAAAATGCTTGTTACTGTTTGTGATGCAGTATTAAAATGTGATTCTTATTTTGTTGGACTGTAAAAGATGAACCTTCTGTGATGTGTGTATTCAAAACTATTTTAAAAGTCATGTAAATAATTATAGCTGTAATCTTAGTTTTAAATTTAATGTATTTTATATATACATATTTATATATTATAACTATTTCATGTTCACGTAGGTGATTGTTGTGGGTTTTGCTGTACCATTGTGTTTCCATGGAAATAAGAACATGATGTTAACACTTCTTGAGATTTTATAGCTCTTAATTTACTTTAATCTTATATAAACACCTCTGTTTTGATTTACTTTATTGTTTAGTTTTTTTTTTCTTTATCCTGTGCAATACCCACCATGAACTTCTTAAATGTGGTATCAGAGACTGATGGACTCTACCCCACCTGCTCTCTGTCACATTGGTGGACTTTCCTTGATAGATAGTTACTAAACTATCTGTTGGTAGGTGGCAGAACTTTTCACATCAAGTATATTTTAAACTTCTGATATTTGTCTTAGAAATGATTAATGTAAAAAAAAAACACACCACAAGCTGTAGAATATAGTTTATTTTTATTTGTTTAAAAAGAATGTTGTAATTTCTGGTAAAGAAAAAATCTTTTTGAAACATATTCATCATGTGGAGGAAAATGTTTTTATACATTTAAAAAACTGATTAACTGGAGAAAAAAAGTCTTTCAAAGAGAAGAGTAGCACATGCATAAATAACAACACTGATTTAAATATTACTTGTTCAATGTAGCAAATAATGATAACAATGGGTTCATATGGTAGTAACCCATGCACAATTATCTAAATTTTAAATACTTAGCTACAGAATAAATATAGAATATTTTTAATGTGAACTAATTTTCTCCACTGCTGTTGATTAATGAATATAACTAATGCATATAGTAGTATTTTTGTACACGGGATGCTGGTATATTATTACTGCTGAGCTGACTAAATTATTATTTACACATTTTTAATTATCTATGACAGAAAAGTAGATTACCTTTTGTGTGCTTTTAAAATGTAATTGTTTTGTGATAACTGCCAGCAATCTGTTTCTTTAATTAGTTCTGATATGCAATGTATCCTATATAAAGTTTTTTGTTTACTTAATTAAACACATTTCAGTTAAGATTAGATTTAAGTAAGCATTAAAAAATTGTACTGACCATATTGAAATTTTTTTTACTTCATCCTTAAAATAACTGATTCTTCAAATCAATAAATTAAATATTCAATAAATTCATGGTATAAAAAATTATATTTTTTATCTTTGTTGGTAACATTTGATAAGATCTATAAACACAAAATATACTTTTTGTTATTTAGACATCATTAACTTTTACAAAGTTTTTTTGTGCAATGTTTTTTTACTTGTTGAAAAACACTATCCATCCAGAAAAAACAAAACAAAGACTTTTTTTTTGTATTGTATGTGAGATGGCATGCCAGATTGAAAAAAAAAAGCACTAGATTACCAGAATATGAACATCTTGAGTTTCCCTATGGCTTGTCAGGTCTGAATGGGAACATTTCTTATCTGGCTACCAGTAAAAATTTTCTCTTCTTAATAACCCAGGAATGCTAGTGTAGGCTATTTTTAGCTACATCTGAATATTTGATGTTTGTTTAGATCTAATTTTTAATATGTGATTTCTGATGAAAACTGACTATTTTTTTAACACATGTGTAAGAAATTCTGGTTACTTTTGATTGTTGTCCAGATTTCTGTGTTAGATTGCTGTCAAAATTATGACATGATTGAATCCAAGTTTGTCCATGCCAATGTATCATTGTTTACATAAATATTTTCAAACATCTTCATATTGACATATTGGTATGATAGACTTATGTTGTTTTCTTTCATCTTTTTTGTTGGCATGTAACTAAAATGTTGACACAATACAATAAAAATTGAATTTATAATATGACCTAGTTGATCTTCTTGTGTTTTTATATTTCTTTAATTTCACTATTTCTTAAAAATGGGGGTTAAGAATAAGTTTACATGATTTGTTTAAATATCACTGATATCATATTTAGGCCAACCTGGCAAATGTTGGCTTCTTAAAAAAAAAAATCAGAACACTGAAACAGTACACGGCAGTACAAAATAGCCACCTTCATCACCAGTTAAAAACCACTATCAGCAAAATGCCAAAGGCGCGGCGAGTTCCTTAGGTAGAAAATACTGTACTGTATGTTACGAATATGTGCGATTTACTTTTACCATATCTTACTGATGTACGTGCCAATTTGTGGTGTGCCCGGTGACACGGGAAATTTGATCCCAGGATATAATTTCATTGGATTAAAGTTAAAACCGAGATTATACAGTTTCCCAAGTGTGTTCAAAAACACTTCTGTATCCTTTCCGCCCTTTTCCATCAAACTCAAACAAACTATACCAGGCCCTAAAGTTTTTTTAAGAATATTTTTAAAAACACTTGTCGGTCCTATTTCAACAACGACAGCATTGGGCGGTATCTTTTGGGCGCCTTCATGAAAGTAAACAGGCGAGAGATAGTTGTTGACTATGTAATCACCGTTGAAAAACCGCGCCCCTTCCTCTTTCCACCGGTCCTCTGTGTAACTTGTACTGATCCACCTGGGACTCCTAGCTCGTGTTGTGATCGTGTTTTCTAAAGCATCCCGCAGTCCAGTTTTACTTTCGATTTCAGCGGCTAACGGACAATGTGGGTTGAAGCTCATGCATACATGAGATGCCTTGATGCCCTTAGCTTTCATGTCAGCAACGAATCTGTTCACACGAGCAACCGGGCCCGTAACAGTCACGGAGTCGGCGGCGTTATTGCAAGCCGGAAACACGCCTTCTGGGCAGACGGCTGCACATTCGTCCCAGGACAGTCCCACTGCTGCCATTTTACCAAGCGGAAGTTTACTGTCACTGACGCAAGCGCCGTATTTATAAATAGCCTGTAATAATTCGTCTGCTGTTACGCACTCATCTGCATACGAACAGATACTCTCACCCAACGAGTGACCTAGGATTCCATCAGGCTTTATACCCATCGCAAACAGCATATCAATTTGTATAATAGAAATAACCGCAATCCCAATAAATTGGTTTTTCACATCTCCCCACCAGCTTTCGTCTTTATTCACGAACTGGTCGTAAAAATCCAGACCATGTTTTTCCATCATATTTGAGTACTTTACAACATAATCTTTGAACAGTTTTATCTTCATCATGTCACGACCCATACCATGCCAGGCAGTACCATAGCCAGGTACAACAAACCATAAGGGGCGAGTGTTGACGAGTTCCACTGATGATAAGGTCAGCGTTTCTTTAGGAGAATTTAACAACGTGAAACCTCGAAATGGCATCGGGTAGGAAGCAGAGCCTTGAAGCAGGCTATGAAATTCGAGGTTATTTTTTGAAATATCAAAAACATCTTTCACGAGATTGGCCAGTTTGTCTTTTGTTGGCGCTCCATATGTTAGAATTATTGGTTCGTCAGTACTATAATGTTGTTGGGGGTTAGCCTTGGCCCCCTCTAGCACAATTATAGTATTTTCACAATTTTCGTTAAAATAGCAGAGAGCTAACCGACGATGATTGCACGGTATTGATTCTTTTAAAAATTCTAACTTTTTACAGTCATTCATATTGTCGATTTTTACACCATCTGATGAGTAAACTGGCCATATCATTGACTTTTCCAAGTATAATATGTTTCGTATTATATCAGCCAAGCCGAGAAAGCTACTTTTATCACAATTAGCGCTATACTGAATAGTTATCTTGTCGTCTAGATATTTTATAAAATCGTAAAAATGCGAATAAGTAATATCACTGTGTATTTCAACATAGTCTGTTTGACCAATGCTCGCAGCCGAGTCGATGACTGTGACTTCTGCGTATTCTCTTTTCACGTGGCCAGATTTTTGCAAGAGAACAGCACACATAATTTCTGAATCGGTTGTTTTCAGTTTTTCTGATTTTTTAACGAAGTCACCCACTGTTTCATTCACAGCAAAAACTATCGCCATTTCGGCTTCTTCTTCGGTCAAATTTCTTATAGCTAACCTAAATGCTTGCAGACCAACATTATTCTTAGATATAAACACATTTGTGTTACAATGAAAATTAAATATGTCCGTTATATTATCAAGTATCAGCAGCGCCGTATTTAAGTCACTTTCATTTCCATCTTCTAAAAATTCGACAAAAAATGATGTCTTAAGGGTTAAGTTTTGAGGTGACAGCCCGGCGTCTGCAACGGCTTCAAAAATTATTTCTGACATCATTGTTATAACGGGTTGTAGAGAGTTACTTCGCTGATCAGAGATCTTGAAAAAGTCCTCATGTTGATGTTTTAGATCTTCTGCGATTTCAATGTCAGAAGGATCTGGAATATTAAGTTATTTATGAAGTCCGATCTACGTTTTACAATCAAGAGAATCGTTTTCAATTTAAATTACCTATTCAAGAAATATAGTATAGGTAGGAATCTGACGAAACTTCGGACATATGTTTTAGTTTTCTAGGACGTTCACATTTTTATTGAAATGCCAATTTTACATTTTGTAGGGAGTTTTTGTTATAGAAAGAAAAAAAAGAAAAAAAAGATTTAGATAAAAGGTAAAATATTTAGCCTACCTTGATGAATTGGATAATCAAAGATTGACTGGTGAAATAATTTCAGCCCGCGATCTTTTGGAAATCTACCCGACACGCCCGCAATCACCGCCATTTGTCAGTGTTCAAGTTTCTCTTTCAAACAAATTTGTTGAGCTCGCATTAGCAATGACGGTAGAAAAAAGGCACTCTCTTTATATTGAACCATTTCAAATACACAGGTGCGTAAACTATTTACATCGGCTAATCTGTTTAAAAGCCTTTCTATTTTAAATACCTAAAAATATATTAGTCCTCAGGGGCGTAGCTAGGAGATGGTTGGTGGGGCGGCCGCCCGAGCGCCGAAACTACAAGAGGAGGGGGCGCCAAACGGGGTAGAAAAAATACAAAAAGCTAATTCTGAGCCGCATTACTGAATTTATTAAAGTATACACAGAGGCGTAGCGACCCCTCTCGGCTCCCGGGGACAAACTTTCCATTTGGCGCCCCCCATATATTTTTTATATTTATAATTCAAAATAGCAGCTAAAGTGAGCTTATTTTGGAGCCCCTAGGGTCGGTGCTCGGGGGACATATGTAACCCCCCCCCCCCATCGTCGCTACGCCTCTGAGTATACAGCCAAAGTTAAAAGAATATAAAGGGTCGGCGAGGTCGAGTCGGTAAAGCTCATGGTTGCTAAACCGATTAGTCTCGAGTTCGAACCCCCGGGCAGATGCGGCTCGTTAGCTGGGGACAGCCACTCTTCTAGGAGAGACAACTCCAAAATCAACTGCTGTCTTGTAGTTTATTGGTGGTTGGACAAAGGCTATGGAAGCAAATCCAAAAAGAAAAGCAGCCTGAAATCGGAGTCAAAGGCCTCAATGGCGCATAACAAGTTGACACGTATACATCCTTAATTGTGATGGAGGCGTGGTCGAGTCGGCATAAAAGCTAATGGTTGATAAAGTCGAAAAAAATTCGATCCCTTCCAACACTAAAAATTAAGAACGAAGAAGAAGAAGAAAAGAATATACAAGTACTAATTGGTTTTAAAAACTGCTTTAGTTGTTTTCTGTCACAATTGTGTGGAACTAAAATTAAAAACTTTTAGGAGAAAGTGACTAAAAAATGCCCCCAACCTTTTCAAATTGGTAGAGGGGGGAGGGGACCGGCAGCACTGGTAGTTCGCACAGGACGCCGGAATGGTGTCGCCACGCCTTTAGACCTCTATTAGTTTTTGCAATGATACCTTAGACTTTAGGAGATGGGCGGAGAACGTAGAGCGTGATGGGAAGTGGGAGTTTCACGCGGAGTATTATAAGGCTCATTAATGAATGACTTCGTCTATCTGTCACGTGATTTTGCAAAGCATAAGATTCATACAATTTAAAAAATCTAAATAATTTCAAGCTATTATTCTACTTGGGTCGTTGACTTAAATTTTAGATTTTCTAATTAGTTTTAAATTACCAAAACTATGTTATCTAAATGATTACCTTTATTAATAAATAGTCTGCAGTATAAAAGAAAGACGCACAAAAAACTCCACTTCATCACCCACACCCCACTCTACACAGCATTGTATAAAAGCTGTATCTTTTGCAATGAGCCTCTAAATTCTTGTTTTATCTTTATTTTCCTCCAAATTGAGAGCACTTAACAAAAGAATATTAGGAAGGCGATCCAAATCGGCAAAATGTTTGGAAACTGCGGGTAACTCAGACGTGAGTTACGTAGCGTAACAAGGCGGGGTTGGGGGTGCGATCCGCACTGGGTGACATAGATAGCTCGTTTTATTTTGTTTTTAAAGTTATATACATCATAAGGCACAATCTGATACCATCAAGGATGAGGTTAACACCAAATCAAGTACAGTTTTAGTACATCAGATATACAGCCTAGTCGTTGGTGGAGGGGGGGGGGGGGAGTACTCTGGGTTTCCGCAACGGCTATCACCCCCCCCCCCCCACATAGAAACGCCACTGTCGAGGATTAATAACATGTTGAAACTGAAATGGTTAAATGTTTAGAGGTGTCAGATTTCGTAGCATTACTTTATTGGTGTTAATTTAACAAGACACTGAGAGGAGCGAATGACAGTCTTACGCTAATGGATTTACATCTCACCCCGTGGTTCTCAAAAAGCCCAAGTAGACATCGATGTGTTTATTGATATTTTGGTTGAGTGTATGCTTTTGGAAACAAGAGTACATCAAGTATTTTGTGTTTATTGATATTTTGGTTGAGTGTGTGCTTTTGGAAACAAGAATACGTTAAGTACTTTAAAAAATAGAATTTAATAATCTTCATAACATCAGCACTAGAAATCTATAGGCCTATATTGGCTTTAATTATTGATAGTAAAGATAATAAATAGGGCAATATAACCCCTAAAGTGCTGAGAACCGTTTAAAAAAAAACAGGTGGCAATAAGCCTATCTGGTTATTAAAATGCTAACTTATACATCTAGCTAGAGAATAGTTGTATTTTTTCACAGCCAAATTGTATTGGACCAATCCAAAACGTAAACATCTTTATTTAGAAATAATTTCTTTTTTCAATTTTTTATGTTTTAAAATTGACTATTTAAAAAATTAGCTCAGGGCTTGAGTTAAATAGTATGGTATTGGCTGCATTTTAAAAATAAAGCCAGAAACTTCTAAAAACAACCTAACATGTGGGGGGGGGGGTGTGTTACTACTCGGTCGGTTGAGTTCCAAAGTCAGTATGAAAAGGTGTATGTGAAGGGGTGGGGAAATGACCAGGGGGGGGGGGGGGCTAGAAATCTAACCATGTAAAAATAAAAATGCCGAAACAATATGTTATATATCTCGGTCTATTTGATTTGAGTTAATATCTTCTTTGCTCCTAGTCGAACATGGGGCCTCAGCCTTCCACTTTGTCCTGTCCCCGGGTTTTTGTTTTACCAGTCTCCCAAGACATATCTATTCAAGTGTGACACGCCAGGCGTTTGAGTGGAACCCCAAAGGAAAGCGAAAGTGAGGTCGCTCAAAACAGACGTGGAGGGAGGCTGAGTCTACTTGGCGAACTGAAAACAGCAGGGATGTTTTTGGAGGCCTATATACCAAATAATATATAATTGACGATAAAGTTAAGCCTGGGGGATCTTCACGAGGAAGTAGACTAGAGAGAAGATCCAATACACAGAGAACACATCGGGCCCTCCATGAAATCTAGGAAGAGCGTCGGCAGAAGATAATGTGATATGGCGGCTATCATCCACCCTCCCCTTATGAGAAGAGAACAGTCTGACTACAACCACCCCATCATTGGGCGACTATCTCTCCACCTTGCATTTCCCTCATCTCACATGCTTTACAAGTGACATGCGCTAACGTTACACTACAGCCCTTGCACCGTAGCAACACAGCATACACCAATCAAGACTACAAACACTGACAACAGTCCAGGGGTTCTTTCAGACATTTTTCTCCGGGTGAGGGGGCTCTTTGGCTACCCGTTGTCCAGATTAGCATAGCAAAAATATTGGTTAGCACCAGTAGTTTGTTTTTTTAGTGATATTTTATTTCTAATCGTTTCTACAGTATCTTGACTGTTACGACTGATTTGTGCTAGTTTTTAGTTCTAGCAGCAACTTAACAACGGAATGAATATCTTACTTGATTTACAACTATACTCACTAAAGTAAATTAAAACAGATAACTGCTATGGCCGATACTCCCTACCACAGTAACAATACTAAAAATAACTTATCTGAACAAGCAGAAAATTGAAAATTTCAGTGTTTCTTTCAGGATGGGGGGGGGGGGGGGGGAAGGAAGACAGCATATATTGTAAGATGTGGCCTGGTTTTCCTTGTCAAATGCCTTTGGTGTTCAGTGGAAATACTTTCAAATATGGTACATCATTTCAGATAAAAGCTTGTTTTTAGTGTTAGAAATCCACTATCACAGTTCACAGCCCTCTTCCTAGGCCAAGACATTACAGCCCTGGTTTAAGTATAAAATGAGACCCCCCCTTCCCCAGTGTTTACAACAGACATTCAATTGTGAAACTATTTAAAAAAAAACAACAGAACAATAGTATGCATTGTCTTTTTTATAATTCTCCTGAATCTTCAATAAAACATAATGAGTGAAATTATTTATAACACCTTAACTGTATAACTGTTGCAAATACACAGGCCATAAATCTACACTACTCTCCTTTGAGTTTATTAGGCGAAATTTTTTTTGGAACTAATAAGGGTTGGTCCCAACTCCAAAATCAAACAGTTCTAAAAATATAATATCTAATTATCTTTTAAAATATAAATGTGATTTTAATTACTTTAATTCAATATATTATTTGGAACTAATAATCATACAAAACAAAACTTAATCTTACACAGTTAAGCAAAATAAAAATTTGTGGTTTTACATTCTGATTAAAAGTTTATATAAACTTTAAATGACTTACACTACAAATCACTACTTATTAACATTTATAACGCAAGTGACGAACTTTAGTTAAAAAATACAAAATAAAAAAACCAAAATACAACCAGATGAGCAAAATTATGGCCGAAAACAACTTCAGTAAAATTTGGCAACGTAAACTTAAGACCACTAAAAACTGGCCACATTATAAAGAGAGAAGAAACTCTTTGACAGAGTCTTGTTCTCTCTTCAACCATTTGGCGTTTAGTCTGATGTTTTCTATACTCTGTTGAACAGTTCTTTCAGCAGCTGGAACAGGGTTTTCTTTAAAGAAAGCCTGTCAAAAAAATACAACATGGATGCTTTAAATTTATTTCATTGTGATTAAAAAAAAATTAATTGAAGAAAAAAAAAGATAAAAATTGAAAAAAAAAAAAAAGATATTTAAGAAACAAAAACATTTGACAGACAGCTAGGAATCTACATTTTTAATTCTTTAAAATACAAATATTATATTTTTGGTTTTTGAAATTGTCAAGCAAAACTTTTTCTTAAATTAATCATTAAACTTTAATGCGCATAAAAGCAGTTCTAAATATGTTATTTTCTTTTCCTGTCTTGCAACTCACACTTGTGAAGCTGCTTTATACTGATTCCTATTAATTCCTTATGTAATCACTTAAACTGCAGAGTACGCTAAAAACTTACCTCAATTTCCTTAGCCTTTTCTTCCGTAATGAATGATTCTGTTGTAGACTGTAGGAAAATAATAGTATACATACTTTGAGAAATATATTATTTAACATTTTTTTTTAATTATAAAAGATCTGTCATACCTACAAATTAAAGTTGAAAGTGTTTTGTGGTGTACCAATATTTAAGTCTAACATGGTCAAACTAAGTTTTTATGCCAGCTGTACCTGGATTAATCGTGACAACAAAAATCCTCCCTCGTAACGTCCATTTAAAACTGTAAAGTGGGTTTTCAAAAACTGCCAGGCCAACTCTCTACCAGCTACAGAGCCTGTCGTACCAGCTATGACAAATACTGCGTCTTGAAACCTAACTTTTTCCTAGAAAAGTATTAAATTAAAATAAATGTAAAGAAAGTTAATGGAATTTTCACCTAGAGAAAGTAAAAGTTTATAGTAAAGATTAAAAATTGAAGTAAATATATTTGAGAATTTCACTTATAAAATTTAAATGTTGGGCATTTTCCTTGTATATTATAATTTTAGATTTATTCAGAGATGATAAAGAGGAAGTTTAACTAATAAAACTTGGTGAATACATACATAGAATAAAGAAATAGGTAGATAGTACTCACTGATAGTGAAAAATCTAAAACTTCTTGGATCAATTCCTTATCTTGAACAGATCCCATTGCTCTGCTAATGCGAACTTTTTCTTCTTGCATATCAGCCTCATCATACAACTGAGGTGGGGCAAAAATTCATTTTGAAATGTTTCTATTAAATCAATTCATGAAATGTTTTAAACAAATTATAATTTTCAAAATAAAAGTTCTAAATTAATTTTTATTAAATAATTTTAAAATATGACCTTTTGAATTATTCTTTAATAAATCACAAAGTTTAAAATTTTATTATTCTGGGTGCTGTGTATGTGTTAGTTAATTAAATATTTGTTAAAAAAGTGTACCTTTAATAGTGCTTCTATTTTACCAGGACGATTTGCCACATTTAAATAAATAGTAAAGTAATATTACTAAGATAAAATGCTTGTACAGAAAAAATAATATTCAAACCTTTAGTATCTTGTCAAATGTTGTCCTGTCTCCATTATGGAGAACTGTATTGTAAACCTAAAATATAATATTTAGAATTAAACTTTTAGAATTGTACTGTAAATCTAAAATATAACATTTACAATTATGTATCATTTAGAACTGAATTGTAAACCTGAGAACTGTAACACTTAAATAATTCCACTAATTTAAGTCATAGATATTAAAAAAACAAACAAAGATTCTTCCTTACACAAGCTCTAAGATCAGCTGGAAGTTTGGCACCACCACTACAATGGGCCTCAAACCTCTTCTTTGCTTCAGCAATAATATCCTCATCACCACAGCGTCCCATCCTAGTCAGCACCACCTCTCTCAGCATGGGGATCAGGGTATCTTATAAATACAAAACAGAGGAATCATTTTTAGATGCGGTAATGATGCAGTTTTATCATAATCACTTTTAGTTAGATTCAGTAATTAAGTAGTTTATTTAATTTATCAACCAAAAGCAATGTAAATATATTTCAGGAAATACACTTATAACATATTGCAGACTTTACATCTACCTAATAATGTCATAAATGTCATTTCCTTGATGCCAAGCTTTTTATTTAACTCAGAATTTTGCAGCACAGCTTCCCGTGCTACTAACTGTATTGAGCTTTTAATTATTTGACAACACCTCATCAAACACATTTTAATCGTAATAAAAACATTTTGAAGTTTAAAATGTATAAATAGAATGAACTTTCTGTCCCAAATGAAGCTAAAGGTGTTTGAATCAGAAGGATTTCTGAAGCAAACTTTTAAAACCAAAATTTGAGCAGTTTTTCACAAGACAGGCAGGTAAAAAAAAACATTTCTAGGCTTCTGATTTACCTTCACCAGGTTTGGCATCCCAGCCTACAGTGGCAGAAATCTTGGAGAACAGCTGTCTGACAAACTTTTTAAAAGCTGGATATATGTCATCAGCATTCTAGGAATTAAAGTCAAATGAACAAAGAATAAGTTGAAACTGTATTTTAATAATAATGACAAGGGCAAGTAAAACTATTACTTAACAACTATAATAAATCAATTATAGAACAAAAACATATACAAAATAAACAAATAGTGTACATCAAATGTAAGTCAAACAACAAGAACAGCAACAAATACAAACCAAACAAATACTGAACAACAAATAATACAAACTATCACTGAACAACAAATTAAAAACTAAAAATTCAACTTGTTAGCTATGATCAGCTAGCCCTAGTTACTAAATAGAAATTAAAACAAATCAAAGTGTAAAGAACAACAATGTACCCATGGCAACTGTAGCTAGAAGAACAAATGCTTGCATTGAACCCACCTGCAATATTGTGCTGATGGTGGAGAGGTTGGAGGAGAGATTTGACCACACTGTGTAATCTTTTTCATTTTCAAAAGCTTGAGCTACTTTAAGGACATCCACAGCAGAGGTTAGACCAGCACGAGACTAGAAGGTTTATAAAAAAGTGAACTATAATTAGTGCCAAAATGGGTTCATACTCCAGACCCCATTTGTTTATATTTAAAAGATTAATCCCATGAATGGTGTAATTGATTTTTCCCTTGGGTTGTAGATTGAATTAAACTTTTTTTTAAAAATAGTGTCATTTTTTAAAGCACGCTTCTTATATATGTTGAACTAATAACAATATTTACCAGATATCTATTAGAGGTATAACAAATGTATAAGTTTTCTGTACAAACAGTGTAAGAAGTTCTGTGACTTTACCAGGGCGAATAAATCTGATTGAAGTCCAAGTCTGTCCTTTGGTGGAAGGGACAAGTCTTTCACGGCTGGGATAAGAGCATCCAGCATTTCACTAGGGTAGATAACTCTGTACACACCAACAGTGCCAGCATTCAACTAAAGAAGACAAGGATTACAAATATTGAATTTGTTTTCTTATCTAAACAGAAAAAAATTGTTTTTCTTGTTGCTTAGTTTTTTAAATTTTTTATATTTTAAAACAGCCTTTTAATAGTTAGACTTTAGGATAAAAATACTTTTTCCCCACAAGAATTTATTCCTGATTAAAAATTATTTCAAAGCATTTTGACAGATTTAACACTAACCTTGACCCAGTCTTCATTTGGAACATCTGACACAATAAATTCTTTGCTTGTAGAATCCAGAAGTCCAAGGACTTTTGGAGTGGATGGTGCCGACTTGTTGCAAGCCACGATAGGGACCATCCACTGGAACTCAGCTTTTGGTGTGGAGCCGTCTGCTGTGAATTTGCTCTGGCTGACGATCAATTTCCTGTCACTGCCCTCTAGCACTTGGTTCACCTGGAAAAATGAAAAACTGCTTTTGAAAAAAAAAACCTTTAAATGCTGTTGAATGCTGTTTAGAAGCAAGTGGTTAGCAAAGTCACATAAAGATCTTAAAGCAAAAACATTTCTATGAAAGTTTGAAAGATGAACCTGCCACATTTTTTTCATTTGGGAGTTTTTTCTTTTAAATTTACTAAAAATTAACTTTTAATACCTGGTAGTGAAATTAATAAAATGGCCCTTTAATTTTAAAAAAATCTTGTGGATTTTTAATGTTCAATTTACAACATTATGTAAGCAAATAAGTCAAATAAAAAACTCAATGGAAAATATTTAAAAAAAAATCAAGTCTGTAATTTGATGTAAAAAAAAAAAAGTGATATTGTGGACCTGATCATCAAAATGGCAGATTTTTGTTGACCTCAGCATATTAAGCAATAGTGTAGTTTATGCCCAGCCATCTTTACTCAAGTCAGGTAGTTATAAGTCTGACAGCTTAAAAAATTGTTAACGGGAGAATTCTTACTTTGAGGACAGGAAAACCCATTTGTTTGGTCCAGGTTTTCATTATCTCTCCAATAGGTTTGCCACTGGCTTCCTCAAGGGCATCCCACAGATCTTCAGTAAATGTGTTTTTATACTGGTGTCTGGTCAAATACAGATTCATACCTTTGCGAAACTCCTAAACAAAACAATCAAAGGAGTTTTTGATTTACAACTTGATAATAAAGTAAAATAAAATTATTTGTGCATAGCAACAGCCTATAATTTGCAGATGAAAGAAGAAAATATTTTGTAAATGAGTAATTATATTTATTTTTCATATTGTTTTATCAATTTAAAAAAAAATAAAAAAAACTGGAAAATTGTTGTGTTATTAGCCAAAAGATAAGAAATGTACCTCATCTCCAAGGTATTCATGAAGCATCCTTATGACTGAAGATCCCTTGCTGTATGATATAGCATCAAAGATCTCATCAACCTCTGATGGATGACCAACTTCTACCTATATAGGAATTACAATGAAATAATGCTGACTGTTGCAAGAAGCACTAATCAGAAGAAGGTTTAGTGATATGCGTTATCTATAGGTTAAGATGGTTGACATTGAAGAGATTCTCTAGTGAACTAATACGAACCCTTTCAGCCATAAACTTACCCTAACCCACCTCAGAAAAAAGGGCAAAACTTCAAAAACATAATAGTACACTTAAAATTATTTATTTAAAAACTTCACATTTTATCTATTTGAAACCCAATAAAACATTTTAAAAGTAAGCGTGTAACTAGGAAATACATGTTTACATTGGTAATTAACAGGATAAGTACAAAAATTTTAATAACAAAAAAAAAATTTCATAGGCTGAAATTGCATTTTTTTTTCAAATCTGAAGAGTCTAAAGGCAAGGGATTGTTTAGCTGAAAGAGTTAAAACAACCACAACAACAAACCTCAATGGGATGGCTGTTATCTAATGCATCCATCTCAAGGGCCTGTCCCAAATCACTGTTCACAAACTGGGTCCAAACATCATACTCAGGGAAGCAGTAATCAACACATAAATATTCTATCCAGGATGCAAATCCTTCATTTAGCCAGAGATGAGTCCACCATTCCTATTAGACATTAAATGAATATTTAAAAAAAAAAAATTAGAATGTTATGTGAAATAATGCAACCTAAAAATGAAGAATTGTTAAAGTTTTTGCAGTTAAGGTAGAGTTCATCTGTCTAATTGACCACAGCACATGAAGGGATTGTGTGGTCAGCACAATGCATGCCTCCCTTACTTTCCCTAACTCTAATAATTGGTTAACCATTAGTGTTGGTTGGCCTTGAGCCCTGGGGTGTATTTTGGGTTAGAAACTTTGCTCTATAACTAGAAGAAATTTGAGTGATTAAACAATCTTCAACCTTACTCACCATGGTAACCAAATTTCCAAACCACTGATGGGCCAGCTCATGTCCAACAACAAGTGCTACCCACTGCCTGATTCTAGCAGAAGAGTTCTCAGGGTCCACAAGAAGGGCAGTTTCCCTGTAGGTTATCAGGCCCCAGTTCTCCATAGCACCTGAGGACATTAGGTTTTTTAAATATTGTTTCAGCATTATAAATAGTAAGAAGTTTTAGCAGTATAATTCAACACAGTAGCTTCTTTAAGTTTGGTCATTTACTCCTACTTGTCTCAGTTTACTGTTATTGTTTTTTTAATTGTGTTTCTGTAAACACTGTATATAATTGGTGGTATCAGCAGTGTAAATAAGCATAGTGACCTACTAAAATACATTTTTAATCCTAATGCCTTCAAAATCTTACATTTTATGTGAGAAAATGATGTATCATAATTTGATGAACTTAGCTCACAAGTTTAAAAGCAAGAACTTAAAAAGTTTGTTCTACAACACTCAATGTGTAAATATAATGGAATTTATTATTATTATACATAAATTCTTTATGAACTCCATTGAATAAAAATAAAGGTATTTAATTTAGGTAAGTTGACTTGTTTTTAGTATTTTAATGTCACATCTGATCCTAAATAAGAATGAATTATCCAGGCACATACATTTAAACACAAGACAATTAATTAGACCAACATACCTGCAGAAAAGTCTGCAATGGCAATCAGATCAACTTTGGGTAAAGGATATGAAATACCAAAATACTTTTTGTAAAATGGTAGTGTTTTTACTGCAACCTGCAAATTTAGTTAAGTTGTTAGAAAAATAGACTAACTGCCACTCCACCAATGGACTAATACAACAAATATTAATCTTAGTCAAAAAGCACATTACCAGTAAAAAAAAAACTCACTGTCATAGTGACAATGTGCTAATGTAATTTTTTTTTTCATTAAATACAAAGTGTCGGTTTAAAAACCCAATTGGATTCATTTATTACATACTAAGGGCTAAGAGCAAACTGTCATTTAAATACCCATGAATATGTAATCTATGGATTAATACAATACATTTGTTTTCTTAATGGCTAAAAATGTTATGATAACTTACATTAAGTGCAAACTGTCCTTGCTCTTTCTTGCCCTTTGGTGTGTACACCCTCACTACCACTTTGTCTTCATCAACAGCTTCTAGGTAATCATAGTCTCCTACTACAAATGCCACAAGGTAGGTGGACATGATTGGGGTTGTGGCGTACTTGAACTCAACAGTTTTACCTTCCAGTCCTTTTTCAGAGATCACAGGCTAAAAGACACAAATACAATGAACATTTTACTTTTTAAAGATAAATGTTTAATCTTTTTTAAAATGAATAATATGTAATCTAATACTGGAACTGTCTGATTTTCAAGGGAGTTAAAATTTGATTTTGAACACTAAAAGGGGTCAGAAGCAGGATTTATTTTATTATCATTGTTTAACTTACCATATTAGAAAGGGCTACTTTTCCTTCAGGTACAATCAATGTTATGTCAAATGTAGCTTTAATAGCTGGCTCATCCCAACAAGGGAATGCTCTTCTAGCATCAGTTGCCTGTAAAATCCAATGATACAATGATATCCAATGATACAATTGAGATGATACATTAGGTACAATTGTATTTTCACTGCTATCAATTTACAATCATTGAACTTATAAAAAAATAAACTATGTTCCATTTTATGCCGTAACGCATGTCATTAACTGTTTAAACATAAATACACAGTGATGTAGCTGGCTTCATCCCCTCACAGGGTGAGGTAAGTATAAATATAAAGAAACTGTAATGTCAAATAAAAAGAAACCTCAAATTGTGTGACAGCTGCATAAAGGTCTTCCCCATCCAGAGTGTACTTGCTGCGATAGAACCCTTTCATTTTATCATTGAGCTCCCCAGTAAATTTGAGGGACAGTGTACCTGAGCCTGGCTGTGGGATTTTTTCAAAAGATAAACTTAGATTAGCCTCATTTAATAACAGAACATTGAAAATTAAAATGTATGGAAATTAGAGAAGAATTATACTGATACATATATCAGTTATGTATGCAGGAGACCAAAAAGATAAGCTTTCTCTTCTGTTATTATTAGTTTGTCTAATGATAGTTTACTCTGACAAAAACCTGTAAACAACAAATTTCAATTTTCTGCTTTTTACTTAGTTTTATATGTTTGTTCTATTATTTCTTACACGTTTTATTAGAGAAATTAATTTATGAAGTTTCATAGTATGTGTGACATTTATCATACAATTAAAAAATATAATTAATATGTTAAATAACAGCATCCTTCAACAACTACCAATCATTAATTTGATGCTAGTTGAACCATTAATTAATAACTAATTAAATTAATCTTTTTTACATTTAAATCAGCTGGAAACAGTAGTCCAAGTTCTTCATCATCCTTGTAATACTCAACAGTGGCAGCCACAGATGTATCATCTTGTGCTGGAAACAACAAAATCACTTAATTGCTAATTTTTAAACCATACAGTGTGTAACATTATCTAGATGGCCAAAATCAGTTAATGTACAATGAAAATTTAGATTGAATTAGTTTAATAATTGTGTTGTTTAAGGGCTGGGTGCAAGATGAAGTGAAAAACATTGAATAGTAAGAAAAATTAAATTTACCTTTGTAAAAAGCCTCATCAACCACAATTTCAACAGCATGTAATTTCACTTTATTCACAGCTGATGCAACCTAAATAAACATTCAAATACATAAGTAAATTTAAAATGGAGCACATCAGTAAAAACAAAACAAAAATAAAACAACTGTTCAACGAGAGAAAAAAAATTATTCATTCCTACCTCAACTTTTATGTCCACAGACCCTTCAAAGGTAAATTTCTTCAGATCTGGTTTCAGCGTCAAACTATAGTTAACTGGGACAACAGTTTTTGGTAGTCTCTCAAACTTCTTTTTACTGAGTGCCATGTTAGGTGAACGTCTGCTAAAGGTCGTGTGTGGTTTGGTGATAAGCTGCAACCTCAACCAAGGGAAACCTGTTTGAAAAATAACATAAGATTAAATTTCTTTCACTGCTTTATGTAATCAGTTAAGTTCCCCCCAGTAAAACTAAAAAATAAACAGAACTGAGAAAAATAATACATTTGAAAACAGAAAGAGTTGTATATATACATGTTTTAAAACAGTTTAAAATAGAAAAGAAACCTATTTAGAGTAGGCCTTTATAATAATATACCAACCTGTGCAGACACTGTTATTAACACTGGGAAGAAATAGTGAAAAGCTTCGAGGTTGCAGCCAAATAAAAGGTAATTTTAATGGCATTTGTCTTGTGATAATTAATTGAAACTCAAGAGTGTAAGAAAGTGTTCATCAAACAAATGTTGAAGAGACTAATAGACATTCAAAATAAAAAAATAATAGTAACAGTAACTTTCCTGTTAAAAGCAAGAAAAGAAAGGCCCAAAGGTAAATTATCTAATATGATATGGATGTGATTTTGCTATCTCCTGTATAATATTATATAGACTTTTACCTTATGGTAATACCAGATTTGTATATATCCATAGGGCCTATATATTTATATATATAGGCCTATAGATCAGATCTAAAAAATATCAATATGCCTATTTATATATTAATTAAGGGATTATTTAAATATAATGCTCAGTGTAGCTATACTAAAAGATTGCTGGTTTGATTTGAATAGTTGAATATTTCTAGTTTAATAATTTGGGCCTACTTTTTCATGGTGTGCAGGGCAAATATTAGTTATTAAAGTACACTACATTTATTTTGCCATTCTACTTCATCGCTCACTGAGTAGACATAGACCTAATCCTATAACTAGTCGTCTAGATCCCTAAAATAAAAATACATTCCATGTAATCTTGGCACAGGGGTGGGGGACGACTAGATCTAGAATTAAAAATTAGGGTATATTAGTATTATGTTTGAGAATAGTATTAATAGACTCTTCTGAAAATAGGTGTTAGGCTGTTAATAGTTTTGTAATCTCAAGTTTATTTTAATGGTCAGAAATTAGGGCAGGGTTAGGGCTATACTATGGTAGGGGTTGGGTTAGAGTTTGAGGGGGGGGGGGATTTGTTATTACTAGGGTTGGGGATAGAATTGACATCATTAGCTGTCATGTTTTAATTTTATCATTTTATATGTGGGCCTTTTTGAATTAATAAATTATTTGTTAGTTATCTTAGTAACCTAACAAACAACACCCCTTTTTAATGATTTAGAATTTTAGATTAAGATTCTTCTAATCTATCATTTCAAATTATGAATTACTGAAAAGTAGAAAAAACAACTAAATAGCGGCGTGTGATACACCGCAGGTCGGCTCGTATTATTATAAAAGACATAAACACAATAGTATAGTCTCTATTGTAGTTAGTACAATTGTAACAATAGTTCTGAGAAGAGATACTTTTTTTTTTTTCTGACTTTCTGTTTCTTGCTGAGGAGAGGAATGTTTCCTTACTGAAGACATTTATTATGAGTATTACTATTACAACAAAAACAAGTCTGAGCAATACCTAGATATGAATGTTGGCAATGTAGATATTATATTCTAAATGCTTCACTCGCAGCAATACAAGGTCTAGACTCATAGACCAGATCAAATAACAATAATGTTCAACTTCAACAGGCACAGCTGTGACTTCGGACTGAGACCGGCTTGGGGGGAACTACTTCCGGGTGGGTCTATCTCTATCGCTACTGTAAAACTTGTTAAAATTTACACATTATGCCCCTACATTTATTACATTTATTAATATCAATGTCTCTAGATCAGTGGTTCTTAACCTTTTGGGGGTACAGAACCCCACTAATTTCATATATGCATTCACCGAACCCATCTAAATACTTCTTTCGCCAGCACTGACAAAATCCGATCGTGAATCATGTGTCGCGATTGTGTCTTGATCCACCGAACCCCTGGGGCTGACTCACAGTCAGGGAACATCTTGGGTTCGATCGAACTCAGGTAGAGAACCACTGATCTAGATCTTTATAGTATGTGGTAGGTTCGGCGTAAAGGTTTTCTACGAATCACATATTATAGAGGTCATCCATGACGGTATGTTACGGACTTTGGGGTTCTAAGTGTGACGTCACATCTTTGATTTAATTAATTTTTTAAAGTGAATATTAGCAGCTATTTTAGAAAGAATCCGCTGCAATTTGGGATAGGGCAGAGGCGTAGCGATGGGGGGGGGGGGGGTCAGGGGGGGGGACATATGTCCCCTGGCGCCGACCCTAGGGGCGCCAAAAATGGGTTGTAAAAACAAATTAAAATGTCATTTTAGCTGCATTTATGCAGTTTGAGGAGGGGGGGGGGGGGGCTGCACATCAAAAGTTTGAGAGGGGTGCAAATCGAAAAGTTGCTCCAGAGGGGGGCGCTAAATTGAAAGTTTGTCCCCGGGCGCCGGGAAGGGTCGCTACGCCTCTGGGATGGTGAATGCCGAAATGTGACGTCATGTTAGGGGAAAGGGTCTGGCGTTTTGTGACATTATAATTATTTATAGTTATTTATAGGCCTATCTAACTTAAATTACAAAAAATTAAAACAAATGAGTAAAGAAGAAAAAAGGTCGTTCATAAATTAAGAACTAGTAGTTATCAACAACCAAATCCACATTGGCCAATCATATATATGTTTAATCTTTCATGGCGAGTAAGAAACATAGTTCATGCATCCCCCCTCCCCCCCTCTAGAGGAACTCCTGGCAACAAGCGCCAAAATGGTACTTCACTTTAAAATCTTAACGTATAAGATGCTCCTTGTCACTAATGTAAAGGGGGTCATCCATAAATGACGTCACACTCGTAAAGGGGGGGGGGGTCGGATGATGTGACGTCACATTTTGCATTATAAAAAAGCAATATTAGAAAACGAATTTTAACCGTTATTTCGCGTTTTAGAAAACTGTTTTAATAAATTGTAATAGGGATTGATTTGTAGGTTATGGCGTGACGTCATTTTAGGAGGGGTGGGGTGGTTTTTTGTGACGACGTGTGACGGAGGGGAGAGGTAAAAATCGTCAAAAATAGCGTGACGTCATTAAAGGATGACCCCTAAGCCAACCCCAGATCGCTGTAAAAACTGCTGACTCAAAATGTTTTTGTTTTCTTTTAAAGGGCAAGTCCATTTCTGCTAGACTTGTGGTTTCTGTCTCAGCACTTGTCTGATGATTATGGTTAACAGTAATAACTGCCGGCATTGTTTACTATATCAGGTGCCATCTTCGCAGATTTGAAAAAAATATTTCAGGGCTTTTTTATCTATAGGGTCGCCATAAATAAACGACGTCACACTCTGAAGGGGATAGGGGAGTTAAAGATAGTATTAAAAGCGTGACGTCGTTAATAGATGATCCATTATTCAATACATGACATTCTTCACGAAGTAACATTTCTGTTTAGTATTTTCACCTACCAAATACTCAATTTCCATTGCCCAAAAAAAAAGCACCGTGTTTATTTTCTCACCAGCCCATTTACCAAAATACGTTGACCGCATTAAACTCTACCCTTCTTCTTAGTTAACGTTTGGACAAAAATAGACAGTGAACAATCGTTGGATTCTATAGTTTACTGGAAAATTTGAATCAAATTTAGCGGTCAACGAAGTATAACCAAGGGAAGTAATTTGTAAGAAAACATGGCAACAAAAACGAAACAACAAATAAATGTATTAAAAATATAATTCACTGTTTTTTTTTGTTATTGATGAAAAAAACACACAATTTTAAATTGTTTATTGTGTTTTGTTTAGAAATTAGTTTTAGCAAAGCATCAAATGTATATTCAACTATAGCTACTAAAAGTACAACACAGTAGCTTTATTTCAAGATCATTTCGAACACTTTAGATATCTCACTCGACAGAGCTGATACTACCAGGGTCAGTAAAGCAATATATCTATAATGTTCGCCTATATTAAAGTTCTGCCTCGACATAGAAACCCAACTAGATCACCAGATTCTTGAGATAAGAGCTGACCAGCGAGCCAAACTTTGCAAAGCTTGATCAACGGCTATATATTAAAAGTTCGTGGAAAAGAAATATCCTAAAAAGTTGCATTGTGCTCGCAGTTATATATTGGTACAATTGATTTTTTTTTTACTTAGTAGCTCCGGCGCACCATGAAACCTTTTTGGGATGCTTAGTGACACTTACCTAACTCAGTTACGAACTATTCTGGACAGGTAGGGGAAAAAACCCCTCCTTGGACAGGGTGTTTTAAAGGCCTGCGTAGAAAAGTAGGGAAAGTGAGGAAAACATGGAGAAGAAACACCAAAGACAGGCGAAGAGAAAAGCAGTGTGACGAAGATATAGCGAAAGTAACAAAACATTATATAGTGGCATTAGGGTCAATTATGTTTGGTAAGTTTTGAGTTTCATTCAAACATTTAAAAAAATAAAATAAATAAATAACCGGTACAATGACACCGAGCTAGTGACACCAGTAGCATAGCGAGGGGGGGGGGGGGGGCATATGTCCCCGGGCGCCGACCTTAGGGGGCGCCAAAATGGGTTGGAAAAATAAATTGAAAGGTTGAGGGGGGTGTAAATCGAAAGTTTGAGGGGGGGGGGGTGCAAATCGAAATCTTGAGGGGTGGTGCAAATAGAAAAGTTTGTCCCCGGGCGCCGGGAAGGGTCGCTACGCCTCTGACACCACTGTCCAGCATAGTATCCAGGTATTCTGTGCAGGGTGCTCGGCGAAGGCGCATACAGAGTTCATTCAGGCATCTCTTCGTTAGGGGCGGGCCCCCTCTCTCTCCAACCTCCCCCACGAAATAGAATTTATATAGAAAATATATACTTTTACCAGGTTTAATCTTTCATTCAACAGACAAAAAGCATATTTCTTCTGTTTATTTTGCAATTTTGTTTGTCTTGGTGTCACCCCGCTAAATGGTGTCCAGTATGTCTCAAGTGCCCCCCCCCCCCACCCCCCGAGAAAAAAGTCTGGAAGAAACACTGGGCACGTATATTTTCCTCTATAATAGCCTATAGGCTAAAGTGACATCTCTATGTTTCGTATTGGTTGTGCATATTGGCGTACATGTATATCTTGTATTTATTATGTTTTTTAAAAATAATTTATGTAGGGCCTATATATTTATATTTACATATTTTTATAATGATGTGAATGAAAGAAGAAACAAAAGCTTCTCTATCTTTCATATTGTGTCAGGGATAAGTAAGTCAACCAGGTCCCTTTATCATCTTATTAGGATGGATGTTCATCCAGAAATCAAAACGTAGAGGAGGGTGGTGAAGAGTGGGGCGGTCGTGGCGGAGGTGTGTGTGTGTGTGTGTGTGTGGGGGGGGGGGGTTGAGGGTGCAAAATCAAGAGTCAAAACCCGAGCGTCGAAACGTGTAGACAGTTGATAGGAACGTTTGTACATAGGCTCTGTTTTAATATAACGCAAATTTAAAAAAAAGGTGGTTCTGTTTTCTTTTTTGTTACCTTACATACCCTCCCTCCCCGTATTTAGCCTACCTTTAATAAACTACCACAAAGTGACAATCCGTAGAATTATTAAACTATCATAGTCCACGTAAAAAAATGTTACACGGTAATGTTATTTTTACATGTGTTTTTTTCTATCCATCTCGTTCCGTCATTATTTGGCTGTTGTAAAAAGATATCCCAATAGCTACGCTGCAGACCAGACATTGATATTGCATTAGTTCGAATAAAGGCAAAGCGTATCCAGTTTTTAATAAGGAGAGCACTCATAGGCAATTATCGACCAGGGTATGTTGGACAATCACTCTTCACTTGTATCACTATCAGTCTAGTTGTGCTATCAGAGACATCGGCAGGTTGGAACGATTCGCCATTCTTGTGTTGGTCTCTGTCTGCAAGGGAATCATAGCCTCAATTTTGATACTACAATAAATATAAAGCGACATGGTCAAAATTTTGAATGAAATATAAACAACAATTTTACGCACTTAGAAATCGCTATGATATATAGGCATATATAGCCTACACACACACACATATATATATATATATATATATATATATATATATATATATATATATATATATATATATATATATATATATATATATGCCTATAAATGGGAACCCTATTTTTTCACACCTCCCCCCCCCACACACAAACTCATCACCATAGCTAAGTCACTAGTCTTTATATATAGTTCTGCAGAAATTAAGCTATCACACTTTGGGCGTTACGAGTTAAGAAAGATACTTCATAAAAAGCAGACACGCATTATTTTGCCAAAAAAAAAAAAAAAAAAAAGCACGAGTTTTTACTTGGAGTACGAGTATGACGAGGTGTGTCGCGAGGGTACCCAAGTATGCCACATCGAGTGGTGTACATTTTAATTAGAAATTGCATGTTTTTAGCCAACCAATTAAAGCAAAAAAGTATGAAACTTCTAATAATAGGTTTTAGAAAACATGAAGATGGTTAAAATATAAACACTGCTGATTAGGTTAATTATGATTTGTGCTGAGCGCCAAAGTGTTCTCACACATTGCAGATGCATAAAAAAGCACGCTTAGTCATTTGAAAAATGCGCACAGTTTGCAAAAATAGAAACATTTGTAATAAGTGAAAATAGGCGACGCAATTGATGCACCTCATAGGTTTGAGTGTTCATAAACTTAGTGCTACACGCAAATAAATTGTATATAGATATATACATACATTTATAAAGGTTATTATATATATACGCTTTTTTTACACACACACACACACACACACACACATATATATATATATATATATATATATATATATATATATATATACACACACCTATATAGTATATAGCCTACATGTATATAAGAAATGTATATTTTGAAATATCAGTTTTTTTCAGGCTAAAATTCAAGGCATCTCTATTCTTTTATGTTAATTATCCACATTATTAGAATAGAACAGTAAGCTCGATTAACTAATCCAGAAACTCATAACTAACACTATATTATGTTGCGGCACGCTGGCTAAAGTTTGTTTGAAAACATGTCGCACGCGCACTTGTACCCGAAGCAAACAGTAGCCGCTCCTGCTGGAATAAAAACTCCCTCTAGCGGGCTGACTCACCTTTAACTATTACAGAGATTGTGAATAAATATATACATTTTGGTTAGGACTATTTACATATGAAATGGATGAAACGAAATGGATTACTTATAAGAGACGCCAATTTCGTGCTTGTGATCATTAGCCGATGTTTAAATTAATAGTAAACTTATTTTCAGTTTGCGTTACGCACTGATGAATAGCCTAAGTAGCAGACAAGCCTAATCAACATCCGGTAGCAATCGGAGATTGCCGATCCAACACGAAGTCTTGTTATTACAATGGCCGACGGTGAGCTACTGAGGTTAGACGACGCTTACTTATCGTCAATTCTGTGATAGTGTAATAGACATGAAAAAAATTAAAATATGAGTTCAGGAGAACAAGGAGCAGAAGGCGGCGGTGAAAAGGACGTGGAGTATTATTACAGACCAGGTAATTTAATTTTAAATTATTTAAAAAAAGCGCTCAATCTTAGACAGTGAGCATCTCTCGGACGATTCCACAACACTCAGTGATCTGGCCTTCGGACACCAAAACGGTGCCATGCCTCAGAAAATGGTGCCAGAGACATTTAGTCCACCTTATCGTATACATTTATTTAGTTTACAGTAATGAGATTATGTTTCAATATGTTTCTCTTTAATCTAATAATAAAAATAGTCGCCGAAACAAAGCTATTGTAAAAAAAAATTTAAAGTTCTTTCTACAAATCTTCATTGTTCACCCTGAAAGATGTAAGATTATATTAAGTTATCTCCCTTTTAATTTTTAAATTTTTTTTTTTGCTATCTCAAAAATGTGATCTAAATTTTAATTTAAACTAAACTGTAAACTAGATGTACATCTTTATAAATAAGACACATTTTAAATTAAATTAAATTAAATTAAAGGAATAGAATAATAGATTAAAATAAAAGGTTGACAATTCAATTAGTTTACTTTATGCCTAATAAGGCCAAGGCCTATTAATTAATGCCTTATTACTATTAATATTTTATTTTTATTAGCCTAGACCCTCCTTGGCCTATTTTATTTAGTTTAAATATTTATTTTATTTTATTAGCTTATCTTTATTAATAAAATATTTAATATAGGCCTAGGCTATTGAATTGAAATATAAATTCAATAGGAAGTTTTCAAACTTAATGACCCTTAACATTTAAAGTACAACACATTTTCAGCTGGTGATTACTTAATTAGTTAAGCCTATTACTTATGATTAGCTGCAAGGGTATTTAACATAAAAAAAACAATTATTATTCAGTTCAGTTGGAGTGTTATTGATAAATAACCATTAAACTACTATTAGTATCACAACAGCCCTAATCCTAAACTTAACCCTGATCTTTAGTCTGACTTAAAAAAAGTTACTGTTTGTTTTTAATATGTGCATGGTTTAAAAAAAAGTTGAGAAGTCTTGTTTATACATATTTTGTTGTTAATATAGGCAAAGGACTAAATATAATTAATATAATAATTATAATATTACATAGGGCACCTTTGTCATCTAAGTTTCCCTTTTTTTACTGGAATGATATAAAAAAAAATGTTGTTTCACACCTTCCATGTGTTGGAAAATGCCAGTTATGAAATCTTGTCAGTAAATCTGTGTGAACTCAATAACTTGAGTACTGTTTCAGTTAGGTCGATGACATTTCAAATATATGTTTAGACTTAGACACAGGTTTCTTTCAACTTTTGAGTGATTTCCGGTACCAGAAAATGGCATTTTACTGTATTTTTCCAGAGTGAGCATGATTATTTAGTTCCTTTCTAGTAAAATAGATTGATGAAATTTTATAAACGAGCCGGCCCGCGGCATAACATACGCCGCTATTTAGTTGTTTCTAATTTTTAATAATTCATAATTTGTGAATTCGACAGTACCAACGCTGACACTGAAAAATTTCTTTAAAACACTATAAGTAGCTCGTTAAGGACCATAACCCCCCCCCCCTTCCTTCCCCCCCCCCTACGTTTAAAATCGTTGGTAAACATTTAGAGTGAACACAGCTCACTAAAACCATGTAGGGGTGGGGAGGTAGGGAGAGCGTTTGCAGCTTGTTTTCTAACGGCTCGAAGAGGAGAATTATATATATAGATATGTATAAGATCGTGTACTTAGGTTTAATTACATTTTAATAGATTTGATCTGGAAGTGATACTTTACTATATAAATATTTTTTGTTTGTAGAATACCAAAAGCTTGAGTATCATTTCATTTAGGTGACACATTTCATATAATTATTATATTTTGTATGTAGGTTTCTATCTACTTTTAAGCTATATCCAGTAACCGGGAAGTGGTACTTTACTTTATTTCTGGTTCCTCAAGAACCTTCAGAATATCATATTCTCTATGATCATTGACTTTTTAGTCTTGAATTTTGGCTGTCATTGGGTCAATCCAGCACTGATGAGTACCTGACTTAAAAGAACTTTACTATCCTTAAAGCTAACTACACATCAAAACAAATGACAGTCCATGATCTAATGTTTAAAAATAGTAAAGATTCCTCTTTTGAGCTAGCCATCCATTGGGCAGTTAAAGGTTCATAGGTTTATGAACTCAGCAATATAGCATAGGAAGGGATAATGTGGTCTGCACTATGCCCAACTGCCTTTACTTTCCCTAATGCAAGGTGGGCACCCATCAGAGCTGGGTGACTCAGAAACATTCCACAGACTTGAACCCGGATTTGAACTTGAGACATTTGGCTCAGAAAAAAAAATGCCATAACAAAATGTGGTGTCATTTCCTTGTCAAACAGTGATACTAAAATATTTGTGGTTTTTTTTTTATTAGGCAGCGTTCAGTTGCAATAGATAAAGAGCGTGCATACCATGTTACTCTTTGAAACTTTTGATTATTGCAATCAATAATAATAACATGCTTGGTAGTTTTCAGTAAACAACGTTATTTAATGTAATGTTGTTTATTTTTCTACACCGTATTGGAAGCAATAAATGTACAGGGAAAAAACATGCAGCATTTGATAACATTAATTTTTAAAGTGATAATAACCTAATTAGTTATTAATTATTTAGCTCTGTATTAGTGGTAATATTATTTATTTACTCATGATGTTACGTTTTAGAGAGTTTGCCTGTTAAATATAGATATAAGTAGGAAAGCGATTATTATCATAAATATTACCTTTAAAAAGATTTTGCCAATTGTTTGCACATTTTAAAATTATGATGTTAGGTTTTATTCTGTGTTTGTAATGTATTTTGGCTGTAAAACATAGCTGAGGTAAAGCTAGAAATAGAAATTAAAAAGTTATGTCTGATTATCGCACCAGCAGAATATGCTAAGGTATCAAAAGTTTTAGAATTATTTTTCACAAAAATCAGCAGTTATGTACATCTATAATTTTCAGACTACAATAATAAAAAAGAAATATAATATTATTAAAAATCAAATTAAAATAACTTTTAAGATGTGAAGATTAAAAAAGCATTTAAAAACTTGATTCTAAAAGTAAGTGAAGTTAAGACCTAATTATAGTCTTATATGTAATAAATTATGTTTTGTTATGTAGGTTATGTATATGTTGCAATATATATTTACAAAGTTTAATACATAACGTTAATTCATTCATACGTTTTAGGAATGATAAGGCAGTATGAGTATTGTATACACTAACTTCATATGAAATAATTTCTTAATAATTTTTATGCTCACATTGTAAAGTTACACAAGTAACATAATTATTATAGCACTTTAATAAGAATGTTGACTTTTAATAGGGTTTCTAAATAATAATAAGGATGTATCCATTTACTACTTTTTATGCTTTATACTTATTGATTACCATCATCTGTTTGGTTAAGCTCCATTGTATTGTACCAGCTGAACCCATAAATAATTAGCTTGTTCAGAGCCAACAATGAACATTATTTTTGTTAAACAGAACTAATAGAAGTACCACATCAGTCCCTTTGTACTACATGGTGTGTTATTTCCCCTGGATTTAACAGCAAGGTTTTTTTTTTTATCCAAGATGGACTTGTAATCTCCTCTGATCAGGATGAAAAATTACTTTGCCCAGTCACTACTGCCTGAGACTGAAGAACCTTCAGCTGATAACTAATCAATAACAGAAACTCATTGCTTCTGTCTGTTTTGGAGGAAAAGTTATGACGGACAGTCCAGACCATTGATCCACTTATGGCTTAACTTACTGACGGACTAGATGCTAATCGGGCTACATTTAAATGTTTATTAAAAACAACAACTGATATTTAAAAAATTTAAGTTTGGTCAAGATCTATCTGCAAATTTAGTTTTTTTATTTGCCCTTATTTTTAGTGTAAATGCTGAACCAGTTTCAGTTATAAGAATTAAGCTCCAGTTTATAAAAATCATGAAACCTTTCTTTACTGTTTACATTAAAAATTGATAATTATTGAAATGCTTGCATGTTGATGCTAGTTTTACAATCAGTGTCCCTCCCCTAAAAGGGATCCTCAACAGCATTTCTAGTTGGACCCTAATTCCAACTCACCTTATAATGTTAGTGGTTTTAACATTTTTATCACCAGTACTTGTTTACATTTTTACTTTCTCATATACGAAGTTTAGAGGAAGTATTGTAATTGTGTATAAAATTGAAATTGAGATTTTCTCAAATCTCGACGTTTTCACCAGAGTTGGAAAAACAATTTTGTCTGTGTGTATGTATGTCTGTGAACACGATAGCTTAAGTACCATTACAGCTAGGTTGTTGAAATTTCAAATATAAGTATTATATCAAATTTGTAGTTCTGTATCAACTTTTCTGCAATTTCCGGTAACCGGAAGTGGAACTTAATCTACTTTTGGTTTACTTTAGGAGCCTATAACTTGAGTACTGTTATGGTTAGTTAAACAAAATTTCACATATCAGTAAAATATCTAATTCTCTGCCTTCTATCAAATTTTGAATAATTTCCGTTGACTGGAAGTAGTACTTTTCCAATTTCTCAAAAAACGCATATGAATTTATAAAATACTAATATTTCGCACTATTATACACATATTGTTTGCCTTTCACTTGGTTTGCAATTCTTTTTTCTATGAGATTAAAAAGTTTAATAAGTGTTTAAAAATTGATTAAAAAATATGTCTATATCCCGAGGTGCTATCCCCCTCAGTGTTATATAAGAATATTCGAGAAAGTTTAAGGGATATCACTACCGCTTTATTTGTTTGTACTTTGAATTATTTATTAGCTTAGGTATAATATTCCTAGTCAACAAGCTATTGATGTACCTTTGCTAGGATCAGGGCTGGATTAACAGTTAATCACTCAATCATCAAGGGAAGAAGGGCACAATAAACATATCACCAGAATCATGTTCATTAAGACTCGACTTATTAAAATGTTTTAAAACCCAACTCAAACAACAATCAAACTAGACAGGCTAGGGTGGTTTATGGTTATTTAAATGTAGAAACTAATATATTACAAATTACATATAATAAGTTAAACATAAACATTGAAGAAAACTTTGTTATTACAAGTGTAATTTGTTAAGATTTAAAATTAAAAAAAAGTGCTTGGTACACCTGTGGTGTACATCAGACCCAAATTAAGGTGATAATCTGTGAGTTATTACAACATAATTTAGATGTTAAGGCTGGTTATTTATATTTTTGAAGTTGTTTTGCAACTGTTACAGAGTACTCAAGTACTGAATTTAGATTCTTTAGAGATTCAAAACAATTTATATAAAGTAGAACAAAAAAGCCTTTACTGTCATTGTCTCTGTATAGTAGTATTATAAAAGAATAGTTTTTATTTTTACAATAGAATAATAGAAATATTTCTCCTCTGGACTATACAGCTGTTATTGATTTTTTTCTATGACTAACTTGTTTTAATTTAGTCTTGGTTAATCATATGCATAGAGACATGTGTTAATGCTTTATGCTGCTTTTTTGGCTCTACATGTCTTTTTTGTGTTGTGTATAGTTTGAAAAATGTATTGCTTTAGTACTTTAGTAACACACTATTTAGGCCTATTTAGTATTTTACTGTTTACTTTTAAATGTAATTTAAAAAATGTTGCTATTTGGTTAGATTGCTATGGGTTTAGGAAATAATTGAGCGGTAAAAATTTTCACATACAAGAGAAATGTTTCCCTGACCCTTCCTTTCCCAATCATTCCTTTTCCTTTGGGATCAATTGCCTCACTGTTACCTCACACATGATTTACCTGCAACAATGCCCTGAGGTGTAATATCAATATGAATGGGCTGTCTCACAATTAAGCAAATAACTAAAATGGGTGGACTGTGCATATCAGCGGTGCTATTAGCTCTGGTGATAAAGGGTTGTGTCAGACAAACTGGCATTCCATAAATTGTAGACTAATGTAGATTAGAATTTCCATAATAAAAATCTGCCAAGTAAATATATTTATTATTTAAAAATAAATAAATATATTTAAAAAAAAGTTACTTAGGATGCAAGCAGTGGTCTATTATTAATGTCATATTACATATATGTTTTGAGACGGCATGATTGAATGGTAGAGCATTTGTCTGCCAAACCCCGAAAGTCTCCTGGCTTATGTTATGAAAGTAAAGGCGGCTGGACATAATGCTAACCACACCATGCCTTGGCCACATAAACAGGTGAACTCTAGATCACCTGCCCTGTGGCCTGCCAGGTTAGATATTATCTGATAGGGAACATTACTTTTTTTTACATATATATGTTTGCTCAGAACATTTCTGCTTATTTTAAAATTAAGTTTTTCATCATACAGATCTAGATACATATAAACATTTAAGTGAGTTAGGGTTGAGAGGTTACTAGGCTAAGGGTCAAGAGAGGTTTTATTTATGGCTTCACTGTAATGTGATCCTATCAGTATCAGCACTTCATCAATTTGATACATTTAATAGGTTCCTAGAATCAGGTACTAGTGAACTAAAAGCAAACCAACCAGCTGACATAGTTTTGTTGCTTACACAACTGAAAATCTACATTTTTATCTAACTTGAATCAAAAGGGTAGATTTATTAATTTTTTATCCAAATAATTACTTTATATGTTTTAGTATATGTAAAAGATTTGTATATCCATTCTTGGAGTTAACATATAAAATACATAAAATATAACAATCAGTTTTAATCTAATTACAGGTGGGAGACGGAATGATGGTTTAAAAGCTGCAGATATTGTTCATGTTTTACGAGAAAGGGTGGCTTACCTTTCAGGTAATCATAAATTCATTTCTTTATGTTGCTCTGGTCTTTTAACTACTCTACTTTGATTCCTTATTAAAAAAAAATTATATATCTTTGTGTGCTTCCAGACTTCTAGCTGATGTTAAAATTAAATAATCTCTTATCCTTGTCTTATCTTGTTATCATAATTCCTCACAGGTGGCCGAGATAGGAGAGGTGGTCCTATTTTAACCTTCCCCTCACACACACACCCAGAAAGATTAAAATATGAAGACCTGAGAAGGCTTATGACATATTTAGCAAGTGTTCCAAGGTGAGGATGCTTTAATTATTCATTAATTCATTAGTGTTGCACATTAGTCCTCAATGCTTCAACTGTTCATTAGTGTTACAAATTAGACCTCAAGTATTTCTTCTAAAATAAACATTTCTGAATTTTTATTGTGAAACACACAACTTTTCTAGTATTTTACATATCTATATTTATTTCTGTTTTTGCCTGATAAATAAAAAAAAAAAATCAAATAAAATTTAATGATAAATTTAATTCAATTAGTTACAAAAACTACATTATTTTAAAGGTGTTAATTGTTATTTTCAAAACCTGATTCTAAAAAGATTAGAAGTATCAAGTTGGTTTTACAATTATCAATGAAATTTTCATTTCTACCAAACTTCATTTTACTAGTGATGAAGTTCGAGAAAGAGGCTTCACAATGATACTAGATATGAGGGGCACAAAATGGGAAACAGTAAAGCCTATATTGAAAGCTTTACAGGTAATATAAATCTGCTTTAAATATGGAATAGGTAAACCTCATGCTAAGTAAATAAACTGGATTATATCATTACCCAAAAATTCAATAAATGTCCATCTTTTTTTACTTTTTCTTCTAATTTGAATAGGCAGAAAGATCACCTTCTCTTAATGCTTTAAAGAAAAGTCAAACATTTGTAATTTAATAGTAAATTGATAGTAATTTATTTACAAATTAAATTTAAATATTCAGCATAAATATAATAGCTTTCTTTTGTCTTTTAGGAATGTTTTCCTGGCAATATAAACATGGCATTTATTATCAAACCTGAAAAATTTTGGGAGAAGCAGCGAACTAGTCTTGGAAGCTCAAAGTATAATTTTGAGGTAAACTTTTATACTTCTCCCCCCTTCCCTGCTTATTATGCTGGTAAAATGAAATTTTCTTTACAGAACAATTCTTAGTTATTCCTCCTCTGCTCTGTATTACTCTGTACACAGCATACTTTTATACTTGTGTGCTTAAAAAAATCTATTTGTTAATTTCCTTACAATTATACTTGTGTTTCTGTGTAGACCAACATGATATCATTAGACAGTCTTAATAAAGCCATTGAACCTAGTCAGCTAACAAGAGAGTTTGATGGAACACTGGAGTATGATCACGAACAGTGGATACAACTGCGGCTGGTGGGTTCAATAGTTGACACTTATTTAGATAACTATCACTTGCAACAAGTTAATGTTATACAGAAACATTTTTCACGCTGACATATGTACTTACTTGCTGCGAGTTTTCTTTTCTAGACATGTATAGTATACATGTTGTAAGTGTAAACATTGCGTTAGGAGTAATTTTAACTCTTGCATAATTTCTTTTTTCTCTCTCTCCAACATGTTTATAATTTAAATGAACTCTTTGTTTAGCTTTCAATTTTAGTGTTTGTCATTTTTAAACTTTCTTAGTTATTATATAGGGCTTTTACTTTAAAAGTGTTATTTAGTTTAGATTCCTCTCAATTCCTCTATTTAAGTACAATATTATTTTTAAAAAAATATTTTTATTAGCCTAAATATTATAAATTGAATAGAAAAAGTTAACATTACATCTTCGAAACTTAGTTACTTTCTGTTAAAAATAGAATATTTGTTTTATTGAGAATGATGAAATAGTTTTTAATTTTTAATTTTTATCTCAGATGTTAGAGGAGTTTATATGGAAGGCTCTAGACCTGCTGGACAAGCTGGATGAACTGGGAGAGATCCTCACCAATCCAGAGCTACCAGATGACCTTAATGGTGCTCAAATGGTGCTGGAAGAACACAATCACCTGAAGAAAAGGGTCCAAATGGCACCAGTGGAGCAGCTGGCCATGGAGGGACACCAGATTTTACAAAGGATCACTGGGGAATATAGTGGTGAGTTCTTAGCATTTAGAGATGGTTGCGCTATTAGTATTTTTATTAGTCTTTAGTAATTAGATATATTTTGGTAGTCTAATTTGCATTTATTTATAGTTTTTTGTGCTGATATTTATCTTTCTTTTTTAAAAAAACATTTTGAAGAGAAAAAAAAATAATGTCATATAATTAATTGGAAAAAAGCACAAGATTGATACATTTTCCATTAACCCCCCCCCCCCCCCAAACCAGAATCATATGCTAATAGTTATATAAATTTATGCTCATCAATGTCCATGTTTAGAAAGTGAGCAGCTCTGATTTATTGGAAAATTTAAGCTTTGATCAAAATTCTTTTGTTGTCTTCCCACACAGGATCTCATGGAAGGAGGTATGTGATTTCTGGCAATGCTGACTTCCAGTCTGCTGTACCTCAGATCTCCCAGCTGCTTGACAACCTCCAGTCCACCAAGCAACACCTGAACCAGCTGTGGAGTGTCAAGAAGATGAGACTGGAACAATGCTTACAACTTAGAATATTTGAAGAAGATGTAGAAAAGGTCTGTTTTTTTGCTGATTTGGTTATGAAAGTTAGAGTTTGGGAAAAAGTAACTGAGGATAGAAAAACCTGCTTAAAATATATTAATGGAAATGTATTTTTGGATGATAATATAAGATTTTGATTGCTTTTAAAATCCTCAAAAGACAGCAGGTTGAATTCTAATGAATTTGTCTTTATCATGCTTTTTGTTATGATGATACTAAAAAGTTAAAGCCTATAACTAAAGCAGTCATTAAATTGTTTTAAGTTGTCTCAAAGTTCTTAAATTTATAAAAAAAAAAGGTTAAAAATGTAAATTCTGATTATGATACTTCTTTATGTTTACAGATGTTTGAATGGATTAGTCATAATAGAGACCTATTTCTAGTCAACTACACAGAGATAGGAACCTGTCATCAAATGGCAGTGGAGCTTGAATCTGAACATTGTCAGTTTGCCACAAGTGCTGAGGTTGGTAATCTTCTCTACACAATCTTAAATAATTGCTTAATTGCAAGTTTATTTGCTTTTTAAAATTATTTTGAGTTAAAAGAGATGTTTACTTAAGAATATATGTTTAAAAAATGTTTTTAAGAATTTTTAATTTATAAGGGATGGTTTTAAGCATACTCATTTTCCCCTTAATCTTAACAGAATGAGCAATTGTAGGTTCAATAAAGTTTTAAAATCCTAACACTTATTCTGTTTCACCGTAACAGATATTATGCCTGTGTTTATTGATATGCATTGATTTAAAAATCAAATCCCTAACCATATTTTAATACTTTGTTTGATAATTTATTTCTAGAATGTGTATGTGAATATAACAAGAATTCTGGGTATGGCCCAACGCATGTGTGACTCTGGTCATTACGCCTCAAATACTATTAGAATGGAGGGTGGGAGGCTTGAAAGAGAGTGGAAGAGTCTAGCTGCGGCATTAGAAGACAGAAGCACTGTTCTGCGCATGTCAGTAGTGTTTCATAAAAAAGCTGAACAGGTAATTTAACAGAATTTAATAGATGTACACAATTTTATTAGTTTAAGTTAAGTAAGTCAACCGGATCAAAGTTGTAATATGTTTACAAATATGTTTTTATAATTTTGCTATAAAGGCTTTCAGAATAATTTAATACTAAAAATGTATGCATAAATGAAAATGATTTTATTTAATTTTTAGAATTATTTAGCATTGTATAATTATTTAAATTTTTTTTTTTTTTTTTTAGTAATGTGTTATAAGTTTAAAAAATGTCTTAAAGAATGGACAGCCCTCAAGTCTGATAAAGTAGCGTGAATTGGTGTTTGCAACATCTGCTAAATAAAAGTCTAGTTAGCACTATGCCCACCGCCTTAACTTTTCTTATCAGGGGTTAGGTACTCATCAAAGCTGAAAGGACTCTTGTAACTTAACAGGAGTCAGGAAGTGAAACCTCCCCCCCCCCCCCCCCCCCCCCCCCCCCACAATGTTTCCTCTGTCTATTGTTTCTAAGTTGAATTGTTTTGTTTTCCTCCAGTACCTTGCTCAAGTGATTGTATGGCAGAATACATGTGAAAGTCTCAAGATTCCCTCAGGTATTGAGGACCTTGAGGAGGCTCTCCAGCAGCATCAGAATCTCATAGAAACCATCAGTCAGACATATGCTGAGGTAGGATGGCACTTTCAAATCTCAAATATATATTTCATTAAAAATGGCTGTTTATTTACCCACAATAAACAAAAACTGCATTGATTACTGGAGCTGGTTTAGTCAATATTTTTTCAAACTTTTTTTTTGTTAATAAAAATTATTTGATTTCTGTTTTCTAATAGGTTTGTGGTGATGGGAAAGCACTCTTAGATACCCTTCAGACACCTGTTACATCCAGTAGTGCTAACTCTATAACTGCCAAGGCAGATTACTCTGAGGCTGCTGGTCATGTTTTAGATGTAGTTCACGAGGTAGGCTCCCCTTGTGTGTTTGTACTTCCATTGCATGCATTTCCATTCAACTATTTTAGTTTTTGCCCAACCCAAAAAAGTCATATAAGTCATAGGCTAAATTAACTGAATAAAATGTATACTTGGTGAAACAAATGTACAACAAAAATAATTAATAACATTTTTCCACTATTTCCTCGTGGTTATCCCCATACTTTCAATAATGTGTAAAACACAATTCTGTGACCACAGGTCCTGGCACACCAGCGTCATTTAGAACAAATTTGGCATGGCAAAAAGGTCAAGCTTCACCAAAGGCTAGGACTTAGGCTCTTTCAGCAAGACGTGAAGCAGGTAGGTCAACAGCTTCATTACACCATGCTCTGTTTCCTTTATTGTGTCACTCAATCAATTTCAAGGTAATAATCGTTTCACTGTTATGATTGAAAAGAATCTCAGCTTACTGGAATGTCATTTTACTCTTCCTCAGTACTTTCTATACTGTTTTCTTTTCTTTACTATCACTCTTAGTAACTTAGTCTTTTTTGTCTTTGTGTGGGTCTAAAGCCACATAAGCTATGTGTAATATGTATTTATTACTATTGCTTTCATAATAAATATATATAGAAATCTCTTAATTCATGCCTGATTAGTAATTTAGTCTCATCGAGAAAGAAAGGTTTCGCATCATTACTAGAACAAACGTAAAAAACCTGTGGATTTTTTTTTTCTGTGGTGATAGCCACCTCTAATTGTTAATTACAAATTACATTTTTAAGAAAAATCGAAAGATTTATCAGTCAGTATTCTTAAATTTTAATTTTCTTTTTACCTGTTGAACACACTACTCTGTTTGGGTGAGGCTTAGTTGAACTTGAGGGTCAATTTATAGCAAGTACTGATATGCATTTCTAGTACTGACCTTTGTCAGTAAAAATTACATTTCTAGTACTGACCTTTGTCAGTAAAAATTACATTTCTATTACTGACCTTTGTGAGTAAAAATTACATTTCTAGTACAGACTTGATTGTGTGGGTCCGTGTACTTTCGTTCTTTTAACTCCTTTACCTACATAGCATGTATTTTTAAACCACTTTTGAAAAAAAAATATTGATTACTAGCAAACTTACTGTATTGAATGTGCTTTAAATAGAGAAGCATTTTAATCTACATAACTATGTACTGTTTCAGAGTAAGCTTGAGTGAACTTAATGTGTTTTTGTTAATGAATATTTATCATTCTGGGTTCTCTAGGTGATTGACTGGCTAAACAACCATGGTGATGTTTTCCTCAAGAAAAACATCTCTATAGGGAAATCACTGCAGAGAGCCAAGGCATTACAGAAAAGTCATGAGCACTTTGAGTCTGTAGCAAGGGTGAGTTATTTCTTATATGCTTTGTACTTTAATCATTTACATTTTAAAGACATTTCTTTTAAATAAGTTTTTTTTTTGTAATAAAATTCTACATAGATTATAACAAATGTTAAATGCAAATATTAAAATATTTTTTATTTTTTTAATTTAATTCATGTTTTTCTTCTATAATATATTTAAACCCTTCCCAAATCATAACCCTAGTACTTAAACTATTGTCAACTCCAATACAACTTGTATTTCGAATGCTTGATTATTGAAAATATATACATTTTTAAGGAATACTTTCGATGTCAGGCAGATAGATTGCTTTCCACGCTAATATTGTAATGTTTAATTTTAACAATAATTTAAAAAATAAAATGACCATCAATTTAGGATATTCTTTTTAGTGTAGCAACATTTAAAACCCATACTTAGAATATCCCATTTAGTTGTTTTATGACAATTATATAATTTTTGTACAAACCATCTTAGCTGTCTATCTTATTAATACATTTTAATCACTGTAAAAATATGTTAGAGTAAGTTATTTTCATGTCTTCTCACACTTAAATTCTGTGAACTGTTAGAAAATTCATTCCATTCCCCGTGGTGAAATGTCTCGTTGTTCCTGTTTATGGTTTAAACTTCCTGTAGTTCCCTAAGGCTAGTTTTATGTCTGAACAACTTCCTTTTTAAGATGAAGTTAAAAAGAGATGCTTAGTTAAAATTTGCTGTGAATTACATTTGATGTCAACACTTAAGTTCTGTTGAAAGACTTAGCAATATTTTTCTTCAGACAACCATGTATACCATTTTGTTAATTTGACCCTTTTGATGCATTGATTAGATATGCTTTTAGGTTTTAAACTAGTACCAGCCTTTGTATTTCTTTTCTTAGTTTACTGAGGCAATAAATACATTTTTGCAGTTTAATAAAGAAAAAAAAAAGTTTCTGAGCTATTGAATAAAAAAATAGGTTTAGTTTACCTCAATGATGTATTTTTAAGAATTCAACTTAGCTGATTCATTTATCAGAAGCCCTTTGTTTTACGACCAATGTGTAGGTTAATTTCTTGGTGCCTTCATACTTTATTTCAGTTAAAGCCTGGAATTTTCAAAATTGGATATCTTATTATCTTATAGCAGAAATATTTAGAATTCTTTACTAGTGAATCTGTATTCTAGTTTTAACAGAATATCAATAAGACACTTAATCTTACAAAAACATCTGTTGAAAATTCAATGAAAATTGACCTCTGACATATTGACTAACGGTTGTAGACATCCTATTAAAAAAAACCTTTCTTTGAGTGTTAAAACCAAGTTATTTCATGAATTTTCAATCATTTTGATAACAATGACATTCCTCCCATAGCTCAGAGCCAGTGACACTAAAAATGATGTTATTCTTAGATACATAAAAAAAATTAGCATAATGATTTGCCCTGAACCCTGGTCCTTTCAACAGTGTTATTCAATACATGAGTGCTGCCATCAGCATGAGACTACCCCTTGTAATTACACTTTAATTTAGAAAAACACCCAGATAAAAAAAAATTCTTTACACATTTAAAATTTTCTTTCCTATCTTTATTCTTGTTTTCATTTAACGCCTAATTATTTACTGGTAAACACAGATTAGATATGCTGTCTTGAGCAGGGCAGCTGTGTACATTCTTTCCTCCATTTTAAGTTTACATTGCAGAAGAAATTACTTGCACTTTTAAACTCTGTTCCCAGCTATAGTTTAACCTAATGGTTTAAACAGCCGTGGGAGTAACCATGTAAATGTAATGGCTTAAACAGAATTGGGAGTAACTATGTAAATGTAATGGTTTAAACAACAGTGGGAGTAACTTTGTAAATGTAATAGTTTAAACAGTAGGAGTAATTATTTTTTAAAACATCAGTATAAGTAATTGTTAATGTGATACTTAAAACATTGGTTGAAGAATGAAGAATCTGTAAATGCAACAGTTTAAAGAGCATCTGTGAGAATAACATATACAATCAGTGTCAGTAGGGAGCAGGGGACAGTTCTTGCCCACTGTTTACATTAGCCACTTAGCATGCACATCTGCATAACTGTACATATAATAGTAAAATAGCAGTTGATTTTACTGCATAAGCCCTATAGGTGAAATCTGAAGAAAAAAAAACACCTGTAAATTGTATAGTAAATACACCAGTGGCATTGTGGAGCAGAAGATAGTTTCTCAGACCCCTGTTTACATCTACCTTCCACACTTTTAACAGTGGAAATAAGTACATGTCATAGTAAAACAACAGTGGAATTTACTGCATAAGCCCATTGGTGGAAATAGAAGTGAATGGAATAGTAAAAACATCTGTTGCATTATGGAGTAGAAGATAGTGGAGTAGAAGATAGTTCTTCAGACCATTTGTTTACATGTGCCACTTAGCATGCACATCTTCCCTGCACACCTTTGTCAGGTGAAAGGGTTAATTGCATAAGCCCAATGGTGGAAATAGAAGTGAATGGAATAGTAAAAATACCAGTGGCAATGTGAAATGGCAGAAGTGAATGGAATAGTAAAATTCTCAGTGGCAATGTGAATAGTAAAATTCTCAGTGTCAATGTGAAATGGCAGATAGTTTCTCAGACCCCTTGTTTACATGTGCCACATAGCATGCACATCTGCCCTGCACACCTTTACCAGCTGAAAGAGTTAATTACATAAGCCCAATGGTGGAAATAGAAGTGAATGGAATAGTAAAAATACCAGTGGCAATGTGAAATGGCAGAAGTGAATGGAATAGTAGAAATAGTGGTAATGTGAAATGGCAGAAGTGATAGGAATAGTAAAATTCTCAATGGCAATGTTAATAGTAAAATTCTCAGTGTCAATCTGAAATGGCAGATAGTTCCTCAGAGCCCTGTTTACATGTGCCACAGCGTGCACATCTGTCGGGCACGCTGTTATCAGCAGCAGTGGCTGCCCTAGACACCCTGAATGTGGGAAAACTGCTGCCTGAATTTTGTACATTCATAGATGACACAGGATACCCCTTTTTTTTTTTAAAGAATATTATCTTAGCTTATTTTCTCATTTCACCCCTCTCCCCCCTCTTCCTCCAACTTTATGGTAGGCTGTCTCTTCCTTGCTTCATGCACTCTTTATTAAAACCCCACCCTTTTTCTCAGCTACCCGTTCCCCTTCATATGTATCCTACACAGTAACACCCTTCCTTCCTTCCCCCCCATCCCCCACCTGCGGTTGTTATGAATGTAAAACCTAGTTCTCACTGCCTTACACACAGCCACTGTTTCCCCCCCCCCCCCCCCCCCAACACAAGCATCTTTATTGCTTTATGAGGTGTAAAATTTTACTCTTGCCCAATTCATTTCCTTGTATAAATTTGTTGATTATTGGCTAACAAAAATTAACCAAAATATCTGTTGCTCACAGAGGCAAACATAATGCTTCTTTAAGAAAAAAATAAGTTTAATCAATAGTCAGCTAATGTAAAATTTAAAACATTTTTTTTATTTGATTATTAAAAGCTAAATTTTAACCAGCAATTATTTTCAAATGAAAACCTCCTTATAAGACCTTCTAGCTATCACTCTTCCATTTAACATCTTTTATCTGCTTTAGAAATTGGCCCATTCTAGAAATAATAAAAGTTTTTTTTTTTACCTAAACACAAATTTAATTGGCTTGTCTGTAATTGGTGGTCCCCCTGACTCTTCTAACCCTCCTCTCTGTTTAACAACAAATCATGCACCCACATTCTTCTTTATCCATGAACAACACCCACCCATCCCCACCCTTTCGTTTATAGTGTCACACTGGAATGGCAAACATGTGGTTGAGATATTTTTAAAGGAAAAAACCCCAAAAAAATCACAACAGCTTAGCACATCCAGAGGAAAAAAAATTGGAGTTTATTTTCTCTTTAAAAAAAAAGAAAAGCACTCAAGTTGACTTGAGTGTTTTACTTCTTAAAGATGGATTTTTATTTCTTATTTCTTTCTGGATGTGGAGAAAATATTCCAAAACTGGCCAGAGGTTGTGGAAACCTTAGATAGATTTGCATTAGGGGAGTTGTGAATTTTATTATCTGTTTTCTTATGGAGTTAGCAGTTTAAAATCCTGCTCTGTGACGCTATGTGTTGCTGCTGTTTGGTTTTCTGTGTGTTGGATATACATAATAATAAAATTGTTTTTATTCATTTTGGAAGTGTTTGGATCCTTATCAAATAACTGGAGGTTAATGAAATTTAGTACTGTTTTTTGCAGTGTTTGTTTGCACACCTAGCTTGAAAAAAAAATTGGTGACTTCTATACATTTCTCTTATTGAAAACATGTAATTGGCAAATTCAATGTAAGTTGTTTCTTTAGGTCTAGCTCAGTGAGCAGTTTTTTTGGGTACCATGGGTCTTTATCGTCTCCCAGTTTCGGAACTGCTAGATTAAAAAAAAAACTGATTTAGATCTTCAAGAAGTAGTCTATATGAAATAGCTTTCAACCAATTGAGAATTTATTTTAAAAAAAAATGTTGAATCACATTATTTAAAATTAAACTAAATCAGTTATTTTAGATAGACAAAAAATGAAAAGAATAAAATATTTAATTAGATAACAAGAAGTTTAATATTTATAATGTTGTGGATTATTTGCAGCAAAGTTAGTATGAAGTAATGTAGGTATGTCATAAAGTTTATCTGTTTTTGATAAAAATATAAAAGTGTGCTGAGCCATGTATTCAGGTCACTTATGAATTATTTATTACAGCAAGGTCAGAGTTCAGACAAATAGCAGGGTCTGTTTTAAATTATCGTTTTGATTCTGTAACACTTAGCTATGTAGAGAAGGAACCATTCTAAGTGTTTGTAGAAGCTAGCTTCTCACCTCACAGCAGTTGATTGATGTCTGTGTATATCAGCCACATCTCATTTGACTAGGGAAGTTAGGAATTTATTTGAGACACTAAAGGGCACTAACTCTAATAGATAAACCAAAACAAGTATATACTTTGTACACTTTAATTATTCATAGTACAATTTTTTTATGCATTCTTTACAGAAAGACTAATGTATTCATTCTACTTATTATTCTGAGAATTGAATTCCTTTTAATGGCTCTAGAGGGACTAAGAAGCACTGTCTGTAAATTTATCTTTGTTCTTATTATTCACAGAATACAATAACAAATGCAGAAAAACTTCTAGCAGCAGCTGATGAGCTTGCTCAAACTGGAGAGTGTGATGCCACTGAAATTTACAGCGAAGCACATGAACTAGAGCAGCGAATGCACTCATTTTTAACTGCTCTTCAAAGGCGAAGAGCGGTGTTGGACATGACAGTGATATTTTATTCACATGTACATGAGGTAATGTATAGAGTAAAACAATATGCTCTTACCTAGTCTTATTTATATGTAAAATTAAAATAAATTGTTTACTAAATATTTTTTGAAACAAATTGTGGTCTAAAAGTTCAATTTCTAAAGTTATTTTATTTCGGACCAACAGAACAAGGGGATTGTATTAATATTTTTTTTTATAAGTGAGTTACACTTTCAAACCTGGTGGTCTATTGGGGGAGATGAAGTAGAGTTCACTTGTTTTTTTTGACCTCATAATGAATGGATAGTATGGTCAGCACTATGCTCTATAGCATGCTGGGTGGATTCAAGGAGGGCCTATGGTCTTGAGCTTAGGATTTAAACTCGAGGCTTTCAGGTTAGCAGTCTACCGTCTGACCACACATTCCCGTTTTTGTTGTAAAATTCAAATTAAACTTGTTCTGACAGTTAACCATTGTTATCCTAACAATTTGTTCCTAACGTTTGTATGACATGGCTGACTTGCAGTTGACCAACTGGTTAGAAGATCTGCACACAGAGCTACAAAGCACAGAGCTAGCTGACAGCGTTGAAGGGGCAGAGCATTTGATAGCACAGTTCAATCAGCAGAGGGAAACAACTGTGGAAGCTGCTATCAATACTGTTGGGGAGGGAGAGACGCTGTTGGAACAGCTAAGGTAAGTCACAATGGGGTTGTTATGGTTGGTCACAGAGAGCAGTCATTCTTATCTGTTAAATATAACTCTGTTGCAGCAACATGAACTATTCTATGTATTATATTCAATGTTATTTTGTTCTACAATTTTTCTACATTAAAAATCAACTTATCAACTTGTAAAAGATTTAGCTTTAGATTTATGCCTTTATACTTCCCTAGATAAAATATGTTTAGTATGAGCGTTTTGTAAAAGTTCTTTCCCCTTATATAATTCCTGCTTTGTGTTTCTATTTAATAAATTACACTGTTAATTTTAAGTGTGAATTAGAAAAAAAGCAGAATCTCTCTAGTACATTTATAAATGTAAATACCAAGTTAATTTAAAATTAGTGATATTTAGCATAAGTTTTATTTTGTTTGTTTGCTATAATAGTTCATAATTGTTCATTAACGTGTAAGTGTAGCATACACTAAGTACTGATATACATGTGAATTATGTGTTCACTTCTATAAAGTTCAACAAGTGTGAACTTGTCTTTACTAAGTTCTTGTCTTTACTAAGTTCTGCCAGACAGCCTTATTTTTTTCCCTACAAAACAAGTGTGCAGTAAAATTCTAAAGCATACTAATGCCAGTGATACCAGGAAACAGAATCACCAGCTTTTTAAAAAAATTTGACAAGCCATTCTCATCTTTTCATCTGTTAACCCCCCCCCCCTCCCCATTATTAAAACAACACCCCTCAACACCCCCTCTTTCATACTTAACAGGACTAGTTTTTTAAAATTCAGAACTGGCAAAAATAACCAAGAATAAAAAATAACAAACATAATAAAAAAACCAGTATGTAGGACCATGGTGATAAACTTTGAGAATGGCTACCTGAATAACAATTTTATTTTCAATCTTTCACAATTGCACAGTTGTCTGTGGTTACAACATGTAAGTTGTGTGTTGACAAAATTTATTTCAAAACAGTTTTTTTTTTTAGTTTTCACTTAAGAAAAAGAAAGTGAAGTTTTTACATGAAATACTTTATTCTAAAAGGAATTATATGCTCTTTTTGTATGAGGGTGGTATGTTTGCTGATATAATAATAGTTGAAACATGGAAATAATATGCATACTCTAGACATCTATTAACATATGTTTTGTTTAAAGTACACAAACTAAAACATGAGGGAAGTAATACTGGAAGATTTGGGAGGGGGGGGGGGTGGGAAAGAGATGAAAGAAAGATTGTGTTTACTATTATTCAAACAACCTTGACCAGTATAGCAGTTTCATTGCATTTGTTTTCAATTTAGTTTCTACTTTTAAAATATTAAAATATTTAGACATTTCTTGTTTTCAATGTTTAATTATTTCATAATTTAATTTAGATTATTAAGTTTGTTATTGTAGGATGCTTTTAAAAAAGAACACAATTTTTTTTGTATTCAGTTTACACCTTGTTACATGAGAATCCTTGTTTTCAAGATACAATTTAAAATTTAAAACATGTCCATGTCTGGTGATTGTGCATTTTGACTTCGTAATGTTATACAGTTAGATAACTTTCACTCAGAGCACATAAGGAAATTCAAACCTTTAGGGTCAATTTTAGAACATCAAAACATTTCCCTGATTCAGTCAAAGATGTAGTAAAGTTGTGTTCTTGTTTCATATTTAAATTTTTTTTTGTCTAGGATCATTTCCATGGAAACAGAAAAGACAGGACACAGTGCTGATTACAAGCACATAGAAGGTCAGTTTTTGATATGTTCGAGTAACTTTAATAGTTGGCGATTATTGCTTTCTCTTAGTTGCGTGAGTCTGAAGTAAGATGTTGAAACAAGAATTTTCCTTTAATTTAGCATTCTGTGTGTATTTTTTCAGGGGTCCTAAGTCAGCTCAATGACAGTCGCAGTCAGCTTGAAGATTTATGGGCAGCAAGAAAAATGAAGCTAGATCTTTGCCTGCAGTTGCAGGTCTTTGAGAGGGATTCAATGGAGGTAAGTTTTATTCATAATTATTACTGAAAACATTTTTTTTATTACTATTGTCATTTGTCATAATTTATACAATTTTCAAGTAATTAATATGTAAAATTAAGGTATCAATTGTCAAGTCACCAGTGTAAACCAAGGGAGGTAATTCACACTTTTTTTTCTGTTGTAGGTATCCTCCCAGCTGGAGTTACTGTCAGAGGAGTTACAGCACATGGAAATGGTAACAGATGGCAGTAAAGCTGAGCAGCTGTTACAGATTCACAATGAGAGTGTCATGCATGTACAAAACTGCACATATGAAGTTATACAACGGGGCCAAGAATTAGCACAGGTCTGTACACAGTCACATGCAGTCAAAAACAGGATGATTAGCAGAAAAAGCTATTAAAAACAACAAAAAAAGAAACATGGTTTTTAGTCATAATAACTCAAAAAAAAAAAATAAACCAATCCTTTATGTTTAGTAGAAATGTTGTATAAGCAATGAAGCAACTTAAAATATAAAATTTAATAACATTCTAAACGCTACAACCCCTTTCATCTTAAAAAATGTTTCAAATTTTTTTCTATAGATTATTGTTTTCTGTTAACATTTATTACTCCATCTATATAAAAACTATTTTATTTGATATTTTCATCTGAATTTTACCCAAATCCTAGCTTTACACTAAAGTTGCTCAAAAAACAAATCTATCTAGTACAAGGTAGTACAAACCACATAAGCCACCACATAAATTAAAAATGAAAATGATTACAGGCTAAATACCTGTATAAGTCTAAAATTTAAATAATTTCTTTTTACACATCACATTCAAAATAGGTCAGAATATTGAATATTACTATCTTTGTTAATACATCTTTCAAATGCTAGTTGGTCTCATTTATTAAAATAGATTTACGTAAATTACATTGACAAACATGCACTGTTATGTCCATATTCATTAATATTATATTCTTGTAGATGTGTATTTTTAATATCAGTGTACATAATTTACAATACTGCAGGTGATGAGTGAGAATGATCATGACGCAACCAATCGCATTAGTGTCTTATTAGAATATCTAAATGAGAGACAAGTAGATCTAGAGGGTCTGGCTGAACAAAAGAGGTTAAGACTTCAGCAATGTGTGCATCTGAGGAACTTTGAGATCGAAGCCAGACAGGTAATGATTGCATCATTTACTTGTAGTTCTTATGCCCTCATAGAATTATTTATACATGTGTTGTAAATTTTTATTTATATATTACCATATTTTATCAAGCTAAAGGTGTGGTCAACTGTTATAATTTGAGCTGCATAGCTAATGACTAAGCAACTACATTTTTTAAATTATGGGGGAATTGTATGTTTCTCCTATCACTTTAATTTTATAAAACAGTGGCTTTTTACATTAACAAAAACTTTAGTTTTATAAAACAGTGGCTTTTTACATTAACACAAACTTTAGTTTTATAAAAATGTGGCTTTTTACATTAACTCACACTTTAGTTTTATAAAACCATGGCTTTTCCCATAAACACAAACTCTAGTTTTATAAAACCGTGACTATTCATATTAACCCAACTGCTGTCCCCTGCTGTTGAAATCTGAGTGGATTATAATTCACAGAATATAGCAGATTTTATTATGGTACTAAAATAGCTTTTATCAGGCACATAAGTAGAAATATCTGTCTTATTCTGAATGCTCAATCACAAATTAATAGATGCAATATTTGATCCTCAGGTGATCTTGTGGGTAAGAAATGGAGAGTCAATGCTGACTGACAGTTTTATGTGTCCAAACTCACTTGTAGAAGCTGAACAGCTGAAGAAAGAACATGAACAGTTTATGATTGCTATAGAGGTAAACATGGATAATTTAATGTATAAAAAATATGTTGTACGTGTTTAGCTGATAGCCTTTGAGGTAAAAATTATTGGGAATTAAGTGTTTAATTAGAGATTTAAGTTAAAATTTTGTACCACTAAAATGTGATCCTTATGAATTTAGTTTAACTTATCAAAATGATTTAATCATTATACAACTTTTTAAAGACTAAATGTTATAACCCGGATTAAAATTTTCAGTACTCATGAGTTTAAAGCATTTTAAATTTCATTATTACATTGCAATTGAAATAAAGTTTCATGTTCATGAATTAACTAATAAAATATAGCTATTGGTGAAGCTAGTGGAGTAATGGATTTATTTTGTTTTTCTCTAAAGAAAACCCATTTTAGTGTTGTGACTGTGACACAAAGAGCTGAGGCCATGCTCCAGCAACAACACTACAACGCAGAGCTGGTGCGGGCTATTGCAGAAAATGTGACCCTAGCCTGGCAGCAGCTGATGTATCATGCAGAAGAGAGGCAGAAGCTGGTCATGGCATCCACCAATTGGTACAAAACTGCTGAGCAGGTCAGTGATTTTTGTAAGAGCTGTTTAAAGTATAATAGCACGCTGAGCAGGTCAGTGATTGTTGTTTGATTGAACTGTTTAAAGTATAACAGCACCTCATCATCATCACTCCTTTATGGCCCCTGGGGAGCAAAGGGCTGCAACCACACATCTCCAGCGGACTCGGTTTTGGGCTGCTCCTCCAATCTGTGCCCATGAGAGCCCAGCTGTTTTTGCCTCTTCCTCAACCGTTCTCTTCCATGTTTTCTTTGGCTGGCCCACCCTCCTTTTCCCCTGGGGATTCCAGTCCAATAACAGCACCTACTCTCAGTAATATGGGATGTCGTGGTGGCTAAAAGGAAAGTCTCTAGTTCTTATTCCGGATAATAACTGTCTTCGTACTTTTTGAGTTCCAATTTTTTCAAAATTGAAATGCTTTAAATAGTGGTGTTTTGAATTTGATTAAATAATTTTTTCAGCACCTGTTTTTAAAAAATGACTGCATTTTTATTAAAAGATTAATGGTTTCATTTTCCTGTTGTCCAATAATCAGGTCTGGTCAGTATTAGAGTCATTAGATCGTGATTACAAGCGCGATGAAGACTGGTGCAATTCGGAGAAAGCTGGTACCACCAACACGCAGGCTAAGGCAGCTTACCTAGTCCAACTTATAAATAAACACAATGAGCAGAAGGAGGCTTTTCTTAGGGTATGTGTTGTTCAGGCATAGCAGCTTCATCTAAACTTTACAAATAATATGCTTTATTGTTATTTACATTTTAAATTATTTTCATGGTCATTACACTTTTTGATTTTTTTTTAAGTTAGTATTTGAAATGTAAAGTTCACACATTTTTCTATAATGGTCCTAAATCAAAAATATTTTTTAAAAGACATTTCCTTTCTAAAGCTTTTCATTTTTTTTCAAGACCACCCAAAACATAAAAAATGTCTGGTTTATAAATATTGTGTTTTTAATTAATTCATTTTTACAATAAAAGAAGCATTATATTATAGACAAAAACATTTGATTTAAAAGTACATTTAAAATGTGATGTGAATTATTTGTATGATTTTATGTTTAGGCTTGTACTTTGGCAAGAAGAACTGCTGAAACATTCCTCAAGTATGTGACCAGAAACCTTCACTTTCTGGGCATGCAGATGAAATTTAGAAGCCCTGAACAAAGGGTGAAAGGTAAGAAACAATAAAATCAACATTTACTTTAAATTTTGTATAATCTGGTTTTTAAAATTTTTTTGTTTTCAAGGTCTTAAGATATTAAGGGGGCAGTATCACCCAGACTAAGGGAGGGTAACAAAAACATTCACCAAAAATAAACTATTAGACATTCACATGTCAAATTTTTACAGTGGTAGTAACGCTTCTACAGCTATAATACAGCATATAATTGGTGAATCATATGTTTCGCAAACATTTGTCTAAATAATTTGCTAATATTTTTTATACATTTCTAAATTTATTGTAAACAATTTTCCGAAACCATAAGTAAAATACTTAAATTTGGTATAGTACAGTTAAAATTTGGAGTTTTATTGTTCTACTTACTTCCATTTTCTGGGTGATACTGCTCCTTTACAAAGTTCATTTTTTTTCCAGATTTTAATAAGTCTTAAGCATTATGTGATGTAAAGACAATAAATAAACACTTTTCTGTAATAACAAATAGGCTACAAAGAATTTTTTCCCCACAGCCACATTGACCAAGTTATTAGGGCAGGAAAACCTAGTCTTAGAATTCTGGACCATCAAGAAAAGGAAACTTGAGCAGTGCCACCAGTTTGTTTTGTTTGAACAAAGTGCTAAGCAGGTCAGTACGTTTTTATTATGTCATACATGTCTTATAAATTTTGAATATTTAGTTCATGCCCATTAGCCTCACCTAAATATTTATATGTATTGACAGTAAAGTACCTTTATAAACCCTAACTCAACCCTCAGAACCAACCCTCAGAACCAACCCTCAGAACCCTTTCATCAGGCCAAAAAAGTTGAGACATGAATACATGTGTACAGCTTATTTTTGAAGATTACATATGTTAACAATTGAGACACATATGTTAACAATTGAGTTTGTTTATCATTTATTAGTATTTGTTTCAACTGTTATCTTTGGAGTCTTTTTGTGTTGAATAATTTGTTTTAATAAAGTTTGATGGGTTTGTAAACTGAACTTGTAGTTGTTCAAAAGATACTGCTTTACCTTGTAGGCACTTGAATGGATCCATGACTATGGTGAGGCTTATTTGGCATCACACACCAATCTAGGCGCAGACAAAAATGAAACAGAAGCTTTGCTTAAAGAACATTATGAATTTAGAAACAGGGCCAAGGTAAGTTGCACATTTTTTTATTGTAGCTTCTAATCTTCTGTGTCACATTTTTAAATACAGTTCATAATGTTTGCTAAAACTTAGATTTTGTCATATATATCAAAGACACTTGTTCCTACTATTCCAGTCTACCTCTGTCTATTATATCAATATTATTGCTTAAATGTTTACTTATCACTTCTTAAAAAAATTTAACATAAAAGGAATAGCTTTTTAAAATTTATGAAATTATTTTAAACTGTGTACTTAATTGAATAAGTATAAAAAATAATATCACAGGAAACGAAAGAAAATGTTAAGCTACTTCTCCAACTTGCGGACGATTTCGTCACAAAAGGTAACATCCATGCTACCAGCATCATGGAATGGTGCTCTATGGTGGACAAACGTTACAAATTGTTTTCTTCCCGCATGGAGAAGTACAGGATTCAGCTGCAGGGAAAGCTGGGTGTTACCCCACAAGAGGTTAGTTAATCATTTAAATCTGTTTGTAGTTTCTTCTTTTTCAGCAAACTTATGAAAAAAATATAAAGTACTCAATTTTGGGATTATAAATAAAATATTTAAAAATATTTTTTTTTTTTTTTTTACTTTTCCAAACATTGACTTTAAATTTATAACTTTTTAAAGCTGTATTGATGAAATGAGTTGAAGATCTATCTACATTTGATTTAAAAAAAATATTTTCTTGTTAACTTAAATCAGCAAAGTGAAAAAGATGAACAAAGGCAGAGTGACTCTTCTATTGAAGAGAAACTGGAGCAGACAGGAACAGCAAAAGAAATAACAGAAGAGAAGAGAAAATCTGCTAGGAGGAGAGAGTAAGTTGTAGTTGCTGCTCAGATATTTTAAGTTTTGAATTTCTTGACTACAAATGTTTTTAATGTTTAGTAAAAATTTTTTTTCCAACCTTATGGTCCATGGGGCAAGTGAAGTAGAGTTTACCTGTTTCTTTGATCTTGGCATTTAATTGGATAGTGTGGTCAGCCTTTTTACTTTCCCTAATGTGAGTTTGGTACCCTTCAGAGCTGGGTGGACTCAGGGACGTTCTACTAACTTGAACCCAAATTTGAACTTGAGACTTTTGTGTTAGCAGTCCAACACTCCACCGCTAGGCCACACAGTCCCATGTTATCAATGTAGTTGCTGTAAAAAGTTAGCTTTAACAAAAAAAAAATTCTAGCTAAATTGAACCTGAGTACTTAAATAAAAAAACTAACAGTACAGAGTATAATATATTTTAAAGAGTTATATAACTGATTTATTATGATATACTATAAAATTATAATTCCAATACTCTTCTGTACTTTTTAAAAATGATATAGCTTTCACTCCTGTTGAACATTTCACATTTCTCTGGGAGTCCCATTTTATTTTCACCATAGCTTAAGAACATATTGTATGTTTAATTAATATTTCCTTTTAGGTTCATTATGGCAGAGCTACTACAGACAGAAAGGACTTATGTGAAGGATTTAGAAACATGTATTCAAGTAAGAATTTTTTTCATTGCCATGGTTTGGTTGTTACATTTCATGTATGGATAATTATTCTTTTTCCAGCATTTAGGCACTGATTTATCATACCTCTCTATGCATTTTTGGTATCAATAGACAATTTAAGATTGAGTAAATGAGTGTACCTTGAACAACCACTTGGTATTTTCTGTTACCCTGTCAAAGGCAGACATCATGATACTATAATTCTTTTTGCCTAGCAAAACTTTAACCCTGCATAATTTAAAGCCAAAACTACTTCTATTATTACTCAGACCAAATTATTCACTATTCACCTTTTTGTGACCTGTATTTTCCAGTATTACATGAAGCCTATGTCAGACCCCAACATGAATGTCCCATCTGGCATCAATGGCAAAGAGCACATTGTGTTCAGCAACATGGATGAGATATATGAATTCCATAAAGAGTAAGCACATGCTAAATATTTGACATTCAGAAATAGTTTTATTTTATAGCCATATAGAAGCACATGCTAAATATTTGACATTTAGAAATAGTTTTATTTTGTAGCCATATAGAAGTAAGCTTGTTATTTCATTTTTGGAGATGGTTTATTTAAACATTTTTTTCATTACATTTACAGTGTTTTTCTTAAAGAACTAGAAAAGTATGAAACAATTCCAGAAGATGTAGGCCATTGTTTTGTCACATGGGTAAGTGGATTCAGTTTTTTTTAGCTATTTCGTGCTAGAGATTTATCTTTATGGTTGTGTAGAGGACTACTATAGGTACAACAGTTTGATGATTTAAACACATTTTAAATTAAACCCATTATTATATTTTGATGTTGCTAATGATGTTTAATAGACTGTATCATACAGGTGTAATATTTAACAGTGATAGGGATTAGTTTAAAGAGATGAGTGTACATTTGTACACCTGATAAGGAATAAAACTTAAGTTCAATTGCTAAAGATTTGTGAGAAAGATTTTTTCATCTAACAAGATTAAAATAACAAATAGGCCTACCTAACATAAATTTTCCTGCAAATTTAAGTAACATTAAAAGTAAAACTTTAAAAAATATCTTTAACAGGCTGAGAAGTTTTCCATCTATGTGACTTACTGTAAAAATAAACCAGATTCTAATGCACTGCTTGTAGAGCAGGCAGGCAGTTTCTTTGAGGTAAGTATTGTCACTTATCACTTAATGTGTCATCAGTATCATAGATAAAAGGCTGTGTTCTAGCTTTTCTTGTAGAGTGGGACTTGTTTAAAGGAGTCATGAAATTACATATGTGACAAACTTGGGTAAAATTGGTATCTTATGGGGATTGAGGCTAAAAACCATGAGTAATGGGAATTAATACTAGTGTTCTGATGGTATAGAATACGTGAGAATTTAGTTTTTTAGGCAGTGAAAAAGTTGCACTTTAAATCAACTGATTTAACAATAGTGTCATATAGTCTGTTGTACATTTTAAATTTTTTATTCTTTTTTTTTGTGTGTAAACAAAGTACTAAAATTTAAGATTACATTTATATGATTAAATTTAATTTATTTAAAAAGTTCAACTGGAAAGGGAATTTTACGCCACAAAATATTTTTTTATGTAATAGAAAAATAGTTTAACATAAGAGGAGAAAAATGATAAAATACCTTTAAACTCACTTAACACATCACACTAGTTTTCTAGCTAGATCTAACCTTATAGACCCACTGTAAACAGATGCTTGTCTCTGCTATTGCAGGAGATGCAGCGCAAGGCCACACTAGACGAGCGCATTGCCTCCTACCTGATTAAGCCTGTGCAGAGAATCACCAAGTACCAACTTTTGCTCAAAGATTTGCTCACCTGCTGTGAGGAACACACCGGAGAAATAAAAGTCAGTTGAAACTTTTAAAAGTGTTTTATGTAATGGTTTTAAAAATCTTTAGGGAATAAATAAGCAGTTCTTTTAAATAGAGGATGTTAAAATTATTTTCTCGGGACTGAATAAATTATATACTTCATGGACACTTTTTTTGTAAATTTTTTATTTCAATTTTATTGGGTTTAACACTAAAAGAAAATGACTTACTAAAGTAGCAGATATTGTTGAATTTTAGATGACTTAGAAGTTAATGAACCCCTCAAGTATGTTTGCAAACTTGGGTTTGGAACATCTTGGGGAGGAGGGGGGAAGTTATTACATTATTATTACTTAAAATTGTTTTACTAATTTTAAAAGAAATGTAAAATACCCCTTACGGCATTTGCGATCTTGTCCTTTTAGTAATTATCTCTTAGGTGGTATCATGTTAATGATCAATTAGCTATTACTGGTATAGAGTTAATGTTCTATTAGATGCTAATTTATATCAGTTTAATGTTCTATTAGCTGTTAGTGATACTGAACTGTTAGCTATTAGTGGTATATAGTTAATGTTCTATTAAATGTTAGTTTAAATTAGTTGAATATTCTATTATATATATCATATTAATGCTCTATTTATACTTATAGGAAGCCTTAGAAGTGATGATGAATGTCCCAAAGAAAGCTAATGATGCCATGCATCTGAGTATGCTAGAGGGACTGGAGGACAGTCTGCAGGCCTACGGTGAAGTCCTTCTGCAGGACAACTTCACAGTCTGGGACCCCAAACAGCTGATCAAGAAAGGGAGAGACAGACACCTGTTTCTGTTTGATGTCTGCCTGGTATTCTCTAAAGAGGTCAAGGACAGTAATGGGAAATCCAAGTATATTTTCAAGTTTAAACTTATGGTAAGAACTCAACACAAACGTAGCTGTTTATAGTTTTCTTCCTTCAACTTGTATTATTTTATTTCATTTAAAAAAAATCATAACTGGAGTTTCTCTGAATAACAAATAAATTAAATAATTGAAAATAATTTAATTATTTTCTAGAAAGAAAACCTCATAATTTAGTAAAAGTGCATTATTTATTTTGACGAAGATTTTTTATAGGAATGCTTTTCCCTTTCAGATCTCAGAAATCAATGTTACGGAACATATTGAAGGGGATGAGACCAAATTTGCACTATGGACTGGCAGGGCACCTATTTCAGATTATAGGATAATACTGAAGGTTGGTCTAATGTAGTTAACCTGCCTAGTGAAACTGATCCTGTCATGAGACTTTAAAAATAAATGTTACGGTTAAGCCATTTTATATTGATTGATTATCTGATTGTTTTGATTCTTGACCACAAATGACAAGCTACCTTCAATGAAAAACTCTCAAACATCTTTTTTGTATTGTTAAACCATTGTATTTTGTCAGTTCTATATATTTTTATCTCTGCCATAAACTGAAAATAAGTGAATTGTTGAAACCATGATATAATATATATACTATTGTTTATTAGCTTTATTTTCTTTGTTGCCTTAAATTAAAAAAAAACGGTTAATAGAAGTGAACAAAATCATATCATATTACAGGCGTCTTCACTTGACACCAAGCAACAGTGGGTGAAGAAACTGAGAGAGCTGATACAGGAGAGAGTCATGTACCTCAACGACGCCCTCAAAGACAAGCAGGCAACAATGTTTAAACCCCCACCCAAACTGTTCAACACTAGTCGTGTCAGCAGGTGAGTCAGCTTTACCTGTTGGTCTCACACTTAATTCTTGATCTCATCATCCATTTTTCCTTCTTGTGCCCAAGACAAATGGGGCTGCCACAGAAAGCTCCCTCCACTTTTGTTGGTCTCCTGCAATTTTCTTTGCATTACCCTATGACAGTCCTGTCTCTGCCAGCTGCTTTCCTGCCATGCACCTCCGCGTATCTCTTGGCTTTCTCTGCTTTCTTTTTCCTTGAAGCGTCCAGTTTAGCCTTTTTACTGCAATATCATCAGGATTCATTCTTAGGTTATGCCCCATCCAATTATTCTTGATCTAACGTCTAGAAAACTCTGACAGTATTTTGAATCACAACATACTTTTTTTTCACTGAAAAATCTGGCTATTTTGAATAGTACAGTTCTTCCTGGAAAAAAAAAGTAGTAGATAGGTGTTATAATTTGGTACAGTAGTCTGTATCAGTGAAACAAGAAGTAAACTCATTTATTGTAAACAAGTATTACATGTTCAATAAAATATTTAGAATATTCAACTATTCAAATTTTAAATGAATTTGAAAGGAAATATTTTGTTATTAAAACGAAAATAAGCATCTAGCTGTTTTTAGCAAGTACAGGTTATTCAAAAATTTCTGCATGTGTATTTTGTCAGTACATGCTATCATTTAATTAGGTAATGGTACATATTAAATTTTCCCTAAACTGATGGAACATTAACTTCATCATGCAAGTAATGCTTTGATTGGCAACTTGATCTTTTCCACATAAACATGATTACCTTTTATTTATCTTTTTCATGCAGTTAAAAAGCATCAACAGTCTTATATGTCAGTTAACACAGTTTTGGCAAGTGTGCTTTTAAAAAATAAAAAGCAAGTGATACATTTCTTTAATAAAATTGGTTTCCGGGATTCCACAGACCCTGAAACAAATTGACATTCAGACTGGTAACCAAAACCTGTTCCTTGATGTTAGGGATGAATAAACTTTTGTTCCCTAAGCAGAATATTCTCTGTATTTTTCTCCAGGGAGATTGAAGGGGAGACGGTTGAAGGCTTATCTGCCCTTGAGAGGCGGGGATCTCTCATGTCAATCACCTCCAACACCACTACAGGGACCAATGATAGCAGTGGCAGTGGAGGCATGCATAATAAGGTCAGTGATTTGTTCTTCCTTCTCTACTAGCTTGTCTTATCTGGTTGTCCTCTCTTAGGTCTCCTGTTACATGACAGTGCTGGGGTTGTCTCCCTGTGAAAAACAACAGAACAACTTACCCCTGTCTCTGGGATTTAGGTTTATTTTTATAGTTGAACAAATCAAGTGATATTTCAAGATTTTTTTCCCTTACAATTTGACAAAGAGAATACAAAAATTCTGCACATTGATCATTTTTTTACACCTATTATTTTCTGGATGAATAATATTGTTTTCTGATTTTTAAAGGTTTTTTGGTGTAATTTATGTTCAATTGGAAAGCTTTGTTCCATTTTAAATTTAATCAAACTGGAGATGGAACATGATTACTCAATTAAAAGTAATGTAAATCTTTTTTAAAACATTCATTAAAAAAATCACATAGAGTTTTATTAAAGTTCTTTGCAAAATTTTTGTGTGCTTTGATAGGTTTAGGGATAGATTGTTTGAAAACTAGGTTCTATAGCTTTTTTTTCATTTAAAAAAATTGTATTAAGGACACTCTATTACATTGTGAGTAAATTAGCATCTATTGTTATTTTTATTAACATGAATTTTTCTATTATTAATACGATTTAAACTAGTCGTAGCTCAAAGGTTATTTGTTTTAATCTTTAGTGGTTTTTTCACCAGTGTAATGAAAATATAGTGCTTTGACACTAAGGACACTAACTTTAATGTAGGGTCACATATGACATAATCAAGTCTTAAAACCAAGTAAAACTTAACAGTTTAAAAATAAATAATTTTTTTTCCCCACCTCCCCACTCCATTTTGGTCCCAAGTTACATTTCTAGTGTGGTCCTGTTAAGTCTTGTCTGGCAGAAAGTCTGGACCAGGCTCTGTTTTGACCAGCTATCCATGTGACCCACACTGGGATTTCTGGAATGTAATTAGGGCTTAATGATATAGGATGGTGGAAAGCTAAAGTTACCTCTTTATTTTACTATCTCTTTTTATTTTGCTGCATTTTGTGGGTATACATAGTAATCAATTTATCATATCATTTTGAGGATTCATATTTTGATCATGTTGTCTTTAGTAAAGGTGGTTTAAGTACAGTAGTTACTTACTAACAATTATGTTGCTCTATAAAAAACTTAGTTTAGATTTCAAGGAATTTGACTTGCTACTGTACACCATCTCTAGCCCTTAACATAGCTCTAATCTAGATCTTTTACTCTGGCTCTGATCATGACCTCAACAATGAAACTGTAAAAAAACCAAACAATCCTCCAACTACCTTCCTTCTTAAAGAACTGTTATTTAGTGAAACAAATCTGTAATTCAAATATCCTTTACTGAACATGAACATCTTCAGATGTTGCTTATTCAGTAACCAAGCATTGTAATGGACAGTTATCACATTGTCTCACCATTTGCATGGGAGTTTTGGTCTTTATTTTTCAAAGGAAACTGCCAGCCCTTCTTTATACACTAATTAAATTATTTTTTCCTTCTTCTTTATCTAGATTTCAAAATTTCATACTTAAAATATTTCTTTTAACAATCAAGGCATTTAGGACTACAATTTAACGCTCTTAGCATATATTTACTTTTTTTTTCATGATTCCTGAGTAGAAAATGTAGATTTTTACAATAATGAAACATTCAATTTTTGTTCAATTCTAAAATTGCAATTTCAACTAAAATAGATATTATAATTTTTTAGAAAGCAGTTAAAAGTAGAAGTCTATAATATCTTAATAAAGAGTCAACAATGTAAGTGTAATGTTCACATTAGCGCAGAGGCGTAGCGAGGGGGGGGGGGGGGCGGGGGGTGCGGACCGCACCAGGTGACACCATTTAGGGGGGGTGACACCAAGGCAAAAAATAGCAAAATATATAGAGAAAAACATGAGGGGGGGGGTGCAAATCGAAAGTTTGAGGGGGTAGGGGGTGCAAATCGAAAGTCTGAGGGGGGGGGGTGCAAATCGAAAATTTGAAAGTTTGTCCCCGGGAAGGGTCGCTATACCTCTGGGGGGTGACACCATTAAGTGCCGCACCGGGTGACACCCGACCTCGCTACGCCACTGCATTAGCGTCATCCTATGTATCTGAAACCACTGCTAAAAAAAAAGAGTTAGGATCATTTACTGCCTACCTCAGGTTGCTCTTAAAATTTGCTCTATCTACACAAAAAATTAACGTTTGGCAATTTCAGGAAAACCACCATCCCAAACCATAAAACCTCGCGGAAACTTTATTACCTTTATCATGTTTAACTTGTATGCTTTAACGCCTTCAACATGTTTAATTATGTGGGGTAAACGTGAGGGAATATTTTTAGTGCTGCTGTAGGTGTTGTTCATTTCCCGAGGCGCCGGATCTCTGCTAGCTTGAGTAACTTAAAATTCCGGCTATTTAAAGTGAAGCAGCGGTAAAGTTTGTACAACATGTTATTTCAGAAAATATTGTTAAATGTAGCACGTTCTTTATTTTGTAAATCTCAACAATAGCCGCTTTAGCAATTAGCTTTTGATTGACGTAGTTCATGAAATTACCATGAGGTTAAACACACCGACTGTGAAGGACATTATCGACTATCAACGAAATACTCACGCTGGTAAATTTTGCTCACTCACATCGAACTCAAAAAGTTATAGATTGAAAAATTTTAGTTTATTTTTATTAGTTAATAGTAGCGCAATTAAAAAAGTCCACATAATTCATTGTATATTGAATAGTAAAGGTGTGGTGTTTTCAAAAAGGAAATAATATACTTTTTAATTCCGCGAGTGTATGGGAAGTGTTGACAGTTCACAGTGACGTGGGTATGGTGGGGCGTCCGTGGAGGCCGCCGCCTTTGGAATAGTGTTTATTTATAAACATAGGATGTGCGTATAAGATGAGGAGGGGGGGGGCGGAATCGATATTCTGTTTTTATAAATAAACGAGAAAAATGGCCCGTTGAGGAAGGATACACCGGGCGCTAGGTTGATAGTGCTGTCTCTTTTCTCTAAACTAAAACCAACCCCCCCCCCCCCACACCACCCCCCACCCCCACCCCCCCCAAAACACACCACCCCCCACCCCCCAAAAAACATGTCTACCGTCCCATTCAACGAAATATAATTATATACTTTTTCCAGTGTCCGCCCCCTCCCCGAAAATTCTACCCCCGCCCCCGAAAATTTCAAGTACCCCCCACCCCTCTCCGGGGAGAAAAAGTCTGAAAGAAACACTGGTGTCGCGCTTAGCCACTACCCGAAGAATTGCATTAAAGAAATTGCGAGAAAACCACTTTTTAGATTAGACACATTAATTAGGCGGTAATTTTATTATAGAGTATCGATGAGGAAACCACCCCACCCCACCCCCACCCCCCACACACACCACCCCCCCCACCCCCCCACCCCCACCCCCCAAAAAACATGTCTACCGTCCCATTCAACGAAATATAATAATATACTTTTTCCAGTGTCCGCCCCCCTCCCCGAAAATTCTACCCCCCGCCCCCGAAAATTTCAATTACCCCCACTCCTCTCCGGGGAGGAAAAAGTCTGAAAGAAACACTGGTGTCGCGCTTAGCCACTACCCGAAGAATTGCATTAAAGAAATTGCAAGAAAACCACTTTTTAGATTAGACACATTAATTAGGCGGTAATTTTATTATAGAGTATCGATGAGGAAACCACCCCACCCCACCCCCACCCCCCACACACACCACCCCCCCCACCCCCCCCACCCCCACCCCCCAAAAAACATGTCTACCGTCCCATTCAACGAAATATAATAATATACTTTTTCCAGTGTCCGCCCCCCCTCCCCGAAAATTCTACCCCCGCCCCCGAAAATTTCAATTACCCCCACTCCTCTCCGGGGAGGAAAAAGTCTGAAAGAAACACTGGTGTCGCGCTTAGCCACTACCCGAAGAATTGCATTAAAGAAATTGCAAGAAAACCACTTTTTAGATTAGACACATTAATTAGGCGGTAATTTTATTATAGAGTATCGATGAAGAAATTTCTTTTGAGTTGGGGAGGGGGGGGGGCTCAGACGTTCTTACGCGGGGGGTGGGGCTTCGCCCCTACCCGAAGAATTATATGCAAGAAACTCTTCACGCAAACCATTTAGATTAGACAAAATTTCCTTTTCATTCAATGTTTACTCGATAATTAATGTCGTCATTTTACTGTGTGCACTCTCTGGTTTGAGATTATGTTCTACTCTATGCTAAATGTGTCGACGTCATATTTCGTTTTCGTTTGACTGTGAAGGTTTTTAATTTCCTTGTGTTTTCTCTAGAGCGTTCTTGTCAGATAGATAGATACACAGACAGCGAAACTATTAGTATTAATAGTGTCAACGAATTCGAGTTTCCGCCCTGGGTGGAGGAACGTGAGACTAGGCCGTTGACATGTTCTGTGCCAGTGGCCGTCTGTCTGTCTGTCACCCCTTGGCTACCCATTACCACCAAAAGATGGGATTCAACAAGAAGGGTTCTACTCTATCACTCCCCTTATTTATTGTCTTTTTATAAGAAAATACTAGCAGGCTTTTATTAATTTTTTTGATGTTTGTAGCAGAGTTTCTTCCAGGCATCTCTTCGGGCCCCCCCGAAAAAATAATTCTACCGCCCCCCCCCCCCCTCCCCCCGAACGAAATTAAATTTATATAATTTATATAGAAAATATATACTTTTAACAGTGTCCCCCCCCCCCCCCCCCCCGAAGAAAGTCTGGAAGAAACACTGGTTTGTAGTCGTTGGTACGTGTCTAAATAGGCTTGTTATTTTATTAACACAGTCGTCTAAATTTTTATTCTAGCGACCATTGATCCTCCGTTTTCTCTTAATTTTATTTTATGAACAACTGCTTTTGTCTTCCATATGGTCATACTGTTAAAACCTTTCCTTTAAAAAGAACTTGGACCACTTTCCAGCCAATGGGATACTCAGAAGAAGCCGTGGATGTGGTTGATCTATTTTTTTCACCGTCAGGTTTTTCTTCTATCAACTC